CCTCAGCAGTGCTTCCTGATGCTTGTGGTGCCGTGGTAGGTACAGTAGTGGTGGTGGTTGTCAACACGGGACGCTTGCTCGAACCATTGACCAAGTTCCACAGATCGTGAACTTTCAACATGCGGGTAGCAAGGTCTCTCCATACAGTGTAATGGCCTTGACCATCCAGCTTGCATGGGAGTGCGGGAATTTTGATGCTCCTCTCAGACATGATTGAAAGTGAAACGAGAAAGTGTACTTTGTGGTAAAAATGGTGAAGAGTGTATAAGCGTGGGTGGTCTCCGGGCTCATAACCTAGAGAAAGTATGTAGGAGAAGTAAAGTAATTGATCGTGTTGATTTGTTCTAGCTAAGGGGGAATGCCCCGTATTTATACTAATGAATGGTAGTACAAAAGAGATACAATGAGTCATGGACGTGTGAGTAATAGAATGACTAATAGGAAAGTGAGTCATACGCCGATGACAAATACTATAATGAAATAATGAGAATTTTCCAGAACTATGAAACGTGCCGAGCGCCCTATTTCAAGACTATTTGGTAGTCGCTTGGGGAGCAATCAACTGTTCTGACTTAGAATAATAGTCAGCCAAACTTGGGTACCTTAATGGACTATCACTTGGTAGTCAGCCCGAGGGAGCAGTCAACTGTTCCGGCTTAGAATAATAGTCAGCCAAACTTGGGCGCCTTAATAGGCTATCATTTGGTAGTGAGCCCTGAAGGAGGGGTCAACTGTTCCGACTTTGTAGGCCACCGTTTCTCATTAGTTAATGTGGAAAAGTGCCTGAGCAGCTTGGTGGGAGGCCATATGATTGTCAACCCTTCATTCGTTTAAATATGGTGGGGAAATCTTATTACGGAGTAGTTTGGATACCTCAACTTTGACCGCCTATAGCTCATTAACTACCACACACATTTTTAAATTTATTCAATAAATATACTCAGTTTCACCTGCTCAATCATTATATCTGCTCAGATTTTTAAAATCATTCTTTGTTGTAGAGTTATAAAAATATTTTGGCCAGGACAATGTCGCTCCTAGACCAAGTAATTTGTGTGTTAGCAAGCAAAATCAATGTTGTGACACTCTGTCAAGTTTTTTCCACCATATGCTTTCAGAAGGTAAGACATTGCAGGTCTGGGTTTAATTTTAAACAGTGCTACTTTCAGCTCGATCTGAGGGATCTTTCAGGATTTTGGGGGATTGTTTGCCTCACCCGTGCAGGCTTGTTGGTGATGCGCGCTGTTGGTATATTTGCAGCGGAGCGGGGTAATGGGCGTCTAGGAGGACATCATAAAACATAATCAAAAAGCAGTTCTCCACGCCCAAAACGGGTTCCCCGCGACCATTTCCAGGTTGGATCGATTCCGACATACTATCACATAACCAACACATCTCCTAGTCAGTACTGCGGTGGGTGACCACGCGGGAATCCTGGGTAACGAACTCATTTTCTTTACTTTTTATAGTTGAGGATAATTTCCTTTGTTGGTCATGGATTACGGATGGGTGCGATTAGTGATACTGATTACACTCCGTTTTAGATCGAGTGCTCAGGCGCTGGGGTGGCGGGTAGGTTGATGTTCTATTTTTGTCCAGCACGTCATGGTGTCGGGTCGTGCTTGAGCAAGACTGCACTCGTTCGCCATCACTGGACGAAACATTCCAGCTCACAGTGCAGGCAGTTATGGCAGGCCGTAGGACCTCCAGGTTCTTTTTTGGGTTTATTATGTAACCACAACTCCTGTCCGCCGCTAGATGATAGCGTTCGTCAAAAGGTAGTGAACGACTGTAAATGGCCAACTAGAATCAGGATTTCGTATCGGAACCTCGATGTTTAGGATAACGGAGCGTTCCTTCGTTAATTTTGTCTCCCTCGGCCTCCGGACTACTAGTAAAGATTAGAGACCGGTGTCGGCGCGGGACAAAGTATAAGATACCGACGGCAGCGGGGATAGTTGACGAGGACGATAGCGCCGGAAGAGCTAGGGCGACGATGGACAGCACAGGACAGCAAAGGACAGCACGCAAGTTTAGGGAGGATCTAGGATGCAAGTACTTGTACTCTACGGATTCTAACTACTTAGTTGCCAGGTGTCCCAACATGACGGTGTTAGCGGACTTTCAAAGCTCAACACCGAACGGATACTTCAATGTCCTCGTTGTGCGGACGCTATACCGCCACTATGTAGAGATCAACATGTATGTAGTTTTGCTAATATAAGCGGGCGCAGTGTCACATAAATTATAGCCGCGGAGCTAGACAAATGTCTATAAAACTCTCTCTTCAAGATTGCTCTTGATATTCGTCGTAGCCGCGCCAGATAAGACATGCGGCGGTGATCCCCGTGGGTTACGGAAGGGCACATACAGTAACGCAGGTTCGGCGCGGCTCCGCACAGAAAGGTGTGCCGCCGCGCGGCCCAGCACGACAACGCGGTGCGCTACCAAAAGGCAGCGTCGATCGGCACCACAACACCGTACGCAGGCTCGATGAACTACGAGCAGCTCTTTTGTAGGGTACAATAACCAACCCGAGCCTCAGCAAAGATTTCAGGTGTCGCAAAAAAAGTGATGCATTTCCCCGCCAGTCACGGTTTCGCACTCGTCTCCGTCACAACGCAGCACTCGGATTTGATTTCACACGGACGGCTTCCAACGTGTTCGTTCATAGAATGTTGAAAACTGGGCATCCCGTCCGCTCTGCCATACATAAACAACATATCGCCTAGTCAGTACTGCAGTGGGTGACCATGTGGGAATCCTGGGTAACGAACTCATATCTTTTGCTTCTCTTTTTACTTTTTTTCGCTCTCAGAGCCCTTTGTGTTTCTTTTTTACTGTTTTTTCTCTTGATTACGAGCGTACCATATAGGTGCCATACCCCTCTTCGTTGATTGGTATTAATTTTAATTGGGGTTGGTTGTTCTATGCTGTATCCCTTCGTCTATCGATTATTGCCCCGCTAGAGAAATTAAATTTGTATGGAGAAATGTCTATTAATTGGTAAGGAACGTAGCGAGACCTGCTAATAAAGCCACACTAGATCTGCGCTTTTCTTGGAGGGCAGCATTTTGCCAGCAGGCGATGGGATAACCCTGAATCGAACCATACATGTAGCTCGATTTCATGATGCTTGTGGTTGGCTCCACTCCCTAAGGAAATGCGCTCCTGAGCAATACGGTGCTGTGACTCAGATGCTTTGCGTGCTATGCTTTCTACTAAGTAATCCCACCAAGACTTGACGAGCAACTATTATGGTCAGGTGGAAGAACCAGAAAAAAATCGTATCGTAATTGGCCGGCCCGGCATGGTCAAGGGGCACTACATCGACGTCCATCTCCCTCTTTCCCTCACCCCCCGCGCCACGATTCCACCCGCCATTGCCCTTCACCATCATTCCCAGCAACGCACATCGACATGCCTCACCTCACCACTGCTTAAAAGAAAACAAAATTAAAGGTTAGCAAACGACAAAAGAGTTCGTTACCCAGGATTCCCACATGGTCACCCACTGCAGTACTGACTAGGCGATATGTTGTTTATGTATGGCAGAGCGGACGGGATGCCCAGTTTTCAACATTCTATGAACGAACACGTCGATACAGGCCCAGTCATGGATTATGATCCGGATGCGAATATGTCGGCGGCGGGTGAGTTTTCATGATGCGAGGTTTTTTCTGGGGCGCGCGGGGGGGGGGGGGTGAGCGGTTGTGGCTGGTTCTTGGTTGCTTAGCTTTCTGGGGGGGGGGGGGGGTGCTTGGCTTAATGTATCTGTTGTGGCGGCGGGATGGGCTGTTGCGCATATGGATTCTAGTATGGGGGTGGTACCACTACTTGTACTTGTAGTATGCCTGTAGCTCTCTCGCGGTGGGGTTATGGATTGATTCTGTAGAACATCCGCGCGCTCGCTGTAGTAATGCCTTTGGGTTCTTGTGGCATTCGATTTGCAATTTGTGTCAGATATGGCAGTTCTATATAACATCAAAAAGGAGGAATATATCCATAGCATTATAGCCTCCCACCACCGCTGATCGATCGCCACAAACCCGCCCCCAACACCGCTATAGCTAGCTGCGATATCACCAATGACCTGCCAAACTAAAACCCCCAATTCCAAACAATATCTAAAATCCCCACTCCCCGCTCTAAAATCCCTACTCCCTACTCCCTACCCTCATCCTCCTCCTCCTCCTATTACCCATACAGACCAGGCTAGCTACCACAGCGCAAGAGGCCAACTGCTCATCTCATCCATAGACAGACCTAGGCCTACCCACGAAAGCTACCTAGCTAGCGCTGCACCACAATCTCTATCTCTATGCACCTTCCCTATCCCTAGCTAGCTAGCTCACGGCCACAGACTAGATAACGCGACCCCGACTGGTAGGAGTAGGAAAATATCCACCCATGCACCCATTGGATGGCCGGCGCGGCACTGCACTGACTGGCGGGATCTCGGGGCGGTTGCGTGTGGCTGGCTGGCTGGATGTATGTATGTATGTATGTATACGCCAGGAGTGTCGTGCAGATCGGGTCGAGGGGGTGTGCGTGTGCCTGGAGCTGGCTTTTGGGTGGGGGGTGGGGGTGGTGGGTGGAATGGTGATGGTATAGGTATAGGTAGAGAGGTATGTGGAGAGAGGAAGGATACTGTGTGTGTGTGTGTGTGTGTGTGGTGTGTAAAAACGGTGCTAGGACCCCAGATCGAAAGCGGAATCCTCAGAGAATGGGTTTATTAACTCTCAACAACTCTAAGCACCACCACAACCCATTACCCCACCACCACCACCACCTCCTCCTCCCCCTCCCCCTCCTCCTCCTCATCACTCCCCCCGCCCCCGCCCCCCTCCTCGCCACCCCCGGCACCACTCCCCCCCGCTCCACAAACCCCCTCCACGCCCTCTCCTCCTCCCCCCTCCACCTCCTCTCCTCCTCCCCCCCCCTCTCCGCCCCATCAGCACACCACGCCGCCACCCCCGCCCTCCACATCCACATCACCCTCATCTCCGCCCACGGCGGCCCCACCATCCACCCCTCCACCCTCTCCCACACCCTCCTCCTCCTCCCCTCGCCCCCCCCTCCTCCTCCCCCACCAGCACCAGCACCTCCAGCAGCGCTGGCACAAACTCCAACACACTCGGCCTCGCCAGCCGCCCCTCCTCCCCGCCATACTCACCGTCGTTCAGCGCGGCGTGCAGCGCGTGGGTGCCCTTCTGGTAGGGGTACGCGAGCGCGAGGCGCGTGACGAGCTCGACGGCCCGCTGGGGCTCGTTGCGCCGGAGGAGGAGTTCGACGCCGAGGCGCCAGAAGGTGCGGATGTCGGTTGTGGGTGTGCGCAGGAGGAGGGCGTAGGCGCGGGCGGCGCGCGGGAGGTCGTTGGATGAGAGGGCGGTGTGGAGGAGGGTGGTGAGGGTGGCGAGGTGGCGCTGGCGGAGGGTGCTGGGGGGGTGGGGGCGGGGGGGAGGGAGGAGGCGGTGAGGTGCGTGAGGTGGGGGGTGGGGGGGCGGTGGCCGGCGTGGATTTTGTGCCGTGGGGCGGGGGTGGGGCGGGGGGAGGTGGTGGTGGTGGGAGGAGGAGGGGGAGAGGGCGTGCGGGAGGGGGGGGGACGCTTGCGTGGGAGGGGGGGAAGATGGGGGGGTGTGGAAGGAGGTTTGGGGGCGGTGGGGCTGCATGGTTGCGGGTGGTGTTATGGGTGAGTCGTGGCTGGTGTGTAGATTAGATGCGCGCGGTGATCAGACGCCGGAGCGCCGTTGGTGTTGGTCGTGGGCTTTGTATGAAGGCCGTGAGTGGCTGATGGAATGTGTGGATCAGCGAGGCGATGTGTTGCGTAGACGAGCTGGAGTGTTGATTGCCCTGAGTGAGAAGCTGTGATGACAGCAAGGTAAGACGGGTGGCTTGACGACAGCTGGGCGAGAGAGTCGTTTATTTGGTTGTGGGATGAAGGTGATGGATTGACGGGTGACGGGTGACGGGTGACGGGTGATGGGTGATGGGTGATGGGTGATGGGTGATGAAGGATGCGTGATGCGCGATGAAGGATGCGCGATGAGCGATGAGCTGTGAGTGGGCAGCGTGCGTGAGGAGAAACTGTAAACAGAATTTCCCTAGCGCGGCTCCCTCTACATGTGCTTATCTAATCTAATCAGACCCGTGGCACCTCGGCTATCTAATCAGCCTCTGCGTGGGGTAAACAAATCAAATCTTATCTTGACATCTGCAGCGCTGTTCCTGCACCGTGATCATTGACGGGCTGGATGACGTGAAGGAGTGCGTGTGCTAATCATCGGGGGTGCATGTGATTGGCCCACAACGTCTCTTCTCTTCTGTCTCTTCTCTTCTGTCTCTTTTCCTCTCCTCTCCTCTCCTCTCTTCTCCTCTCCTCTTCTCTCCCCTCCTCTCCTCTCCCCCCCTCTCCCCTCTTCTCCCCCCCCCCCCCCACCACCACCACCAATTCATCGCAATGGCTGCCCTCACGGCCGCTGCATCCCGCGTCAAGGTCAATGCCGCCGTGAGCGTCTCTCGCGCCGCCGTATGTGCCCTCTCCTCTCTCTCTCTCTCTCTCTCTCTCTCTACCTAAGCTAACAAACCCCCACAGGTCTCCGCAACCCGGCACCTCCACAGCACGCCCCACCGCCACAACCACCCCCGCACCGTAACAAAGCCTCAGACAAAGTTCGTCCCCCCGCCCCTACCCAACTACACCACACCGCACAGCACACACCCTGACGCCCCCCCCTCCTCTAGGAGCTCTACCTCTCCGTCCTCACCTCAACGTCCACCAAGCGCGAAGCCCGCTCCTACCTAAAGCGCTTCACCCCCGCCCCCGCCATCCTCAAATACCTCAAAGAGTCCTCCTTCACGCAGCCCGGCGCCTCTACCTGCACCCTCCCGCCCCCGCCCAGCGACGACCTGCACATCGGCATCGTCAAGATCCGCGACGCAACAACAATCGACACCCCCACCCTCCACGGCATCGGCCGCACCCTCTCGCAGCTCACCCGCCTCGGCCTCCACCCCGCCGTCATCCTCGACGAGCCGCCCCCCTCCGCCCCCTCCCAGCTCGGCCAATGGCGGGCGAACGTAGAAGCGCAATGCGACCGTATCCTCTCCGCCATCGAAGCCGCCGGCGGGCGAGCCCGGCGCGTCGACGGCAGCACCACCCTCCACTCCCCACCACGCTCACCATCACCGCCCCAGACCTCCTCCTCGCGCCGCTCTCCCGCGGCGTCATCCCCGTGCTGCCGCCGCTGGCGATGGACACGGCACACATGTACGCCGCAACCACAGGCGACGACCTGCTGCTCGCGCTGACGGCGCTGCTGGCAGCGCAGGACGGGGTGGCGCTCGAGCGGATCGTGCTGCTCGACCCCCTCGGCGGCATACCCTCGCATGATCGCCCGGCGGGCGCGCACGTGTTTATAAACCTTGCGCAGGAGCACGATACTATCACGGGACATCTACCCGCTGACTCGCCGCACGCGAGGAACCTGCATGTGCTGCGCACGGCGCTGGAGATGCTGCCGGCGACGAGCTCTGCGTTAATCACTACGCCCTCCCTGGCTGCCGCCGCCGCCGCTGCTGCTGCTGCCACTACCACCGCCGCCGCCGCCCCTACGAAGACGAAAAACCCACTAATCCACAACCTTCTCACCGACAAGCCGCTGACCTCCTCCTCGCTGCCCGTGCAGGCGCACCACACGGGACACTCACAACCCTGCTGAAGCGCGGGATCCCACTGACGGTTCACATCGGCGTGCAGCTCTCCGACCCCGCCATCGACCTTCCAAAACTCGTCGCGCTCGTCGAAGACAGCTTCGGCAAGCGGCTGGACCTCGAGCACTATCTGAAGCGTGTAGACGGGCACATAGCGGCGCTGGTGGTGGCAGGGGAATATGAGGGCGCTGCTATCGTTACGTGGGAGTACCCCGATTCCGACCCCGACCCCGATTCCGACTCCGAGGTGGTCGGCGGCGAAGAGGCCACACACTGCGACGCCGAAGCGGCCGAAGCCGCCGCCCTCCGCGCCGCCGCCAGCGCGCCGGGAAGGGAGAAAGCGAAACGCGTGCTGTATCTCGACAAGTTTGCGGTTCTGAAGCGCAGCCAGGGGACGGGCGGGGTGGCGGACGTGGTGTTTAAGGGGATGGTGGAGTCCGTGCGGAGCGGGGCGCTGCGCGCGGAGGGGATTGTGTGGCGGAGTCGGAGGTGGAATATGGTTAATAAGTGGGTATGTTATCTTCTCTCTTCTCTTCTCTTGGGTGTGGGCAGGGAGGGGTGGGATGATGCTAACTGGGTGTGTGTGTGTGGTAGTATTTCGAGCGTGCGAAAGGAACGTATAAGATACCCGACAGCGGGTGGACGATGTTTTGGACGTCGCGGGATGTGGGCGCGGATGCTGAGGGGGTGAGGAGGTTTTGTGAGTATGAGAGGGTGTGTAGGGCGATTGTGCCGAGTCTTGTGGATGAGTAGTGTGCGGGCGGGTTTGGGGGGTGATACCAGTGGTTAAGTAGTTAGTTAGTTTTCTGGGATAATAAGTGGTTTAGCTATTGTGGGTTTTTGTGGTGATGTGATGGGGGGATCGATCATGGGATGGGTTGCACTTTTCGGGCGGGCGGTCTGGTGGTTAGTGGTTGGTGGTGGTTTTTCTTGGGCGGGTTGGCGGGTTGGCTACCTGTGTTGTGGTGCTGGGGGCTGGTGGCTAGAATATCATTGCTCTAAAAGAAGAAGAAAAAACCATTTCGCCTTGAATTACCGCTATCGCCTGGAACTCTGTACATTCACGTGTCCTATCATTGCAAAGTATTGCTAATACCTTATATAAACCCATCCCGGCCAACCACCCACATACATGATATAGAATATATGGGCCAATGATCATATCCCCCATTGAATGACTACTTATCACACCCAGATACACCCACAATTACTTCATAAAAAGTTGTTAGTTTTTCTTCCAGTATGTGTATAGCAGTTCGATAACAAAAAGGACAGCACTCTCGCGATTTTCTAGCTTCCTTGGATCATATTTGATGCGTAGATCTAGATCGAATGCAGTTTATACATCCCAAACAGGCTGCAAGTAGATGGTCTTATATAAGAACATCGATCCCAAACAATATGTACATACATAACATGCACATCCAACAGAGCCAGAGCTAGAGGCGGCAGATCATGAAAAAATTTCATATATTTAGCTATGCACACGTCGTACACGCACACAACGCAGCCCGCAGCTAACAAAACAAACCCCCCCCCCCCCTCCCCGCGCGTTGTGTATCAACCACGACGACGCGACGTAACCACATCCATACATGGCCACCGAAACCCCCCACAGCTCTTAAGCTTAGCGGGGGCACCGGCCGGCTGTCGGTCGTAGCTAGCTAGCTGAACTTGAAGAGAACCACCACAATAGTTATCATACCCTGAGCAGAAAAAGCCGGGGATAATCGGTCCATCCGCCGCGTACATTGGTATCGATAACAGACATATACCTCTTAATAGTGATACGGTACGTACGTGATTGCAAATAACAGGATGATTCTCTTATCAAAGTTTTTGTAAATATCTGCACTATCCAGCATAGAAAGGGTTTGGTTTTCAGGTCATTTAATCATTTCCAGAGCAGGGGGCGGGGGGCGGGGCGGGGCGTCTCAGACATACGCCGGATGTCTGTATATTAAGTACCAGGTCCACCCTAGGTGTATTTCTTGGGCCGTGCACGCCCGCTAGAGGCGCCCAATAAACGTATATGTACTGCCGGAAAAGGTCCCGTAGAGTTACTATACAATCTCTCTGGATCGAGCTGGAAGAGGGTGAATCTAATAGCGCACAGAAATACCGGGCCCGGTTCCCACTTGGTGACGGGTCACCTCGAGTGATGGTCTGTGACTGACTTAAGCCATGACGTGCATGTTCTTAGGCCACACATACATAGTCCACCTCTTGGCGTGCGACGAACATGCCAGACATGCGTGTGTAACGGTTTAGAGGACATGGACATTGATCCACTGAGAATCGACGTATGATGGAATTCATAGCTAACTTCACCTGTACATGTCATCTGACATTAATCGATCAACAACACCACAGCCACTCCCCCCTGATCGTGAATCGAGACTCATTGTCCATACCTAAGATCCATACAATCCCATAAATGTTCCCGGCGGTCTCGTTCTCATAAATGGTGTGACAAATGTCAATCTCCATTCAATGGTGGCCATATCATTCGTTTCTTCAATGGCGACTACAAGACACTGTACAGGCGACACAACAGTCAATAGGGATGATAATCCGCTGCAACTCAGTAAATACTGTGTTAATACTAAAGGTAGTTTCTTTTAGAATATCCACTAAGTAAGGTGCTCTTCTTAGTACTCCGATACTTGTAGCTGATGGATTTGGCATAGCTACTTGCCCTTTTTATGTCAACTATCCAGATGCGAAGGCAGTCCGAGTGAGTGGTGGAGTGTTAACACTTTCATGGTCAAGCAGCTACTATGCCAACAGGTTCCTTCACAGTCAACAATGAGTCATGGTTAGCCCGTATAATTTCTGTTGCCTCACATAACGGCGTGATCCTGACATTTCTACAAGTACATACTTGGACCTCAAGGTAATAGCAGCCAAGAACTTCCTTGGAAAGCTACCCAGGAATAATCTACAAGCTCCATGCCTTTGCAAACATCCCAAGAAGAAATATTACCTCGTATCATGAAAAATCACTCGATCATCTTTCTCCCCCACTTGAAAGACGTTAGATCAACCATTTCCGACGTGTTCGTTCATAGAATGTTGAAAACTGGGCATCCCGTCCGCTCTGCCATACATAAACAACATATCGCTTAGTCAGTACTGCAGTGGGTGACCATGTGGGAATCCTGAGTAACGAACTCATCATTTGTTTTATTTCTTTTACGTTATAAACAATGTACTCTACAAGGACACTCGGGATGAGGTTTGGTGTGTTCTCGAGATGCTTCGTCCTCGGTGGCCCCTGTCGTTGTCTGTCCTCGAAGTCCGGCGCCTCGGGGGGGGCTGGATTTGGGAGAGCGAAAAGTGTGTTAGCGCCCAGAATTGACCTAAATGTCCTCTCGAGGCAGGGAAATAAAGATGCTCGTCCTCGTGGACCACATCTTTAGTGGATTATTCCCGTTCACAAGCTATCAAACGCTCAACCCTAAACGTATCATAATCCGTGACTAGGGTTGTGTTGACGATATCGCCTAGTTAGTACTGCAGTGGGCGACCATGTGGGAATCCTGGGTACATAATGAACTCATATCTTTTGCCTCTTTGCGCTCCTGGAGCCCTTCCTCTTTTATCCTTGATTGCCAGCCATGTGCGTCTCATATTCTTCTTTTTTGATTGGTGGTTGGCTGCAATGCCGTTTCCAGGCGGCCCTTCAGTCCTGATATAGCTCGAGTTGAGGTAACGGCAATGATGCTTTTAAATTTAGCTGGCTCCATTCCCAAAGGAAATTCCCTGTAGAGTAATTGGGGTGACTCTGATACTTTGCGTGCCAGTGATTCCAGCTACATGACATGACGAGTTACCATATACTACGCCAGGTGAAACCCAGAATATCATAGTCAAACCCATCGGGGTCAAGGGGCACTACATCGAGACCCAGAATTGACACAGCAACCATACTAGTACTCCGCCTCCCAAATAACACCCCTCAAGACCCCCCATGCTCCATGTAATAATATACCACGGATCCGGAGGGATCACTCAATTACAACCAGCCCAATCCACGCACGACCCCCACATTCCACTACTAAATACTCCACAAGATCACCCCCGGCAGCAAATGTGTAGGCACGTTATAGAGTAGTTACTGATGTCCATTCAAGTCTCGGTCCTCCTCCTCTAATTATAGTTACATGTACTAGCTATGTGGCCTTGACCTAATCTAGCTAGTTGCCTTTAACACACTGTCTTCATCTCTCATTACTAAGAGCTCCCTACAAAATGCCTCACTACAGCCTAACTAGCTAGTACGAAAGAGAAGCTCTGCTTGTTCCAATTCCAGCCATCCCACGGCCAAGAACGTTCAAGTAGTTTCAGAATCTTAAACTTACGAACCTATCCAACTTTAAGTTGCATGTAATTGGGTGAGGGATCATTGAAAGCCAGGGCTAGGGGTGTTTTCAACAGATTGGATGAGTTTCTCTCGCCCTTCAGCATACGCACATAAAGTCACTCCTAGATCGACGTGCGAGTTCATCCAGGTGCCAAGGTATTCACACCTAATTCTAGCTTTCAAACTTCTCATCGCGGTTGCAAGGAACCAGACGTACTTTACAGCCGGGATGGGTAAAAAAAACAATCGTTATATAAGGGTCATATAATCGTTATATAATCATTATTTAACGATTATTAATGGATGACGCTTATTTTTTGTTTAATTGCTTAATAAGCTCATGGAATGGATAATTATTAGCTACAAAAAACGATTATTTGATAGTAATGATTATGTCTATGATAGCGAAAAATGCAAAATAGAGGAGCCGAACCCGGAGCCTTGCAGGTAGCATGTGCCTCATGCTACCCCCTGAGCCATGGGAGAACTGAGATTGTAGTCCTGGAAGTAATATACAGGGTAGAGAGCCGATAAAATGCTAGTAAAACTCGAATTTTTAAGCGTTATATAATCCTTATCCTCCAAAAAGTCTTATTTGGTGGGCAGGAGAGGTCTGGTATAAGGGTTTAATAACTATTATCTATTTTAAATATGTATAGATAAAATAAGACATATATAAGCCTTCCTTTCGACAAACCATTACACAAAATAGAGGCTTATATCAAAATAACCATTAAATCACGAAAAAACGCTTAATTAAGGCCGATTCGGAGTAAATCGTTACTAAACGCTTGTTTTTTTCCCCCATTCCGACGGTACCGTAGGTTTAAGAGTTCAGAACTATAGGAACCTCAAATATCCCAGAGGTCAGAACCAATGCTGAGTAAGTAAAAACAAAAGCTAAGGATGAGTTCGTTACTCAGGATTCCCACATGGTCACCCACTGCAGTACTGACTAAGCGATATGTTGTTTATGTATGGCAGAGCGGACGGGATGCCCAGTTTTCAACATTCTATGAACGAACACGGTAGTTTATACTCAAAGACAGTATTTATTGATTTGACGAAGAATTCCCGACTCTTGCGGTTTACAACTATAACAACCCCAATTACAAGTAAATCTCCGCGCCATTTCCCTGGAGTACTTAACTTATTATGGCGGAGAAAGTATCAAAAGTGCAATCCTCACCCAAGGCTTGTAAAACCCTTATTCGGAAGGGGAGGCTATAAAGACTTTTCTACGTATACGACTCAAATAAGTCAGCGATTTTTTTTTTTTTTGTTTAATTCATTAATTGCATGCAACCTGACAGTTATGGCTATAATAAGTCACCGATACTAAGTAAGCATGTTTCAATGCTTCATAAGGCTTAAATAAGAATTCGAAGTGTGTCTTTATTCAGATAAGGTTTTTGTAATTCTTGCCTCCTTCTAGATAAATTTCCAGTCGCTTCTAACGATACGACGATAGACCCTCAAGGGAGGATCGAAGAACTTGAAGGAATCAGCCAAAAGGCACGGAGGCAGCGAGACCAACAGTTAATTACTTCGACAGAATGTACGAGTTTGATACCCAGGATTCCTACATGGTCACTCGCTATAGAGTAGTATGACTGAGCAGACGGAATACCCAAATTTCATTCTTCTATAGCTACATTCTATTAATTTGAATATAAGAAGTAACTTCTTAGCATAATAGCCTTTTTGTAGATTGATACTAGGCAAAAATTACCTCTCTAGAGAACATTCTAATATCCCGTACTGGCTTTCTTTTCACTCACTCATCACCCCAGTATGAGCCGTAAGGCTCATAGTACACTCTCGTTAATGGATATTAGAAAGCTACACAGGTTATTTCTATTATATATCTCTCTGAGAAATACTAAAGGGATATTGTTACTAAATATCAGTTTTTAATAGATGTAACCCGAGCTAATCGATTGTTAATGCGATGACGACAAGTCTGACACTAGCCGCATTTTCTCTACGGCATAATTAATCGCTTTATGTTAATAAAAATACATAGACATCGGTAATTCTCTACTCCATAAGTAGAATCATCACTGACTGTCGTCGTCATAAGGCTGAAACTCGTATTTCAGCCAAAGGCCCCGAGCCATCGAGGCGCAATATTCCTGCAGTTCATGCTATTACGCTCCTGACATATTAGTCCGAGCACAAACCCGCCCGTATTCACCGTATTCACCACTTCGATCATTGCCAGAAGCCAGCATCTAAAAATGGCTATTCTCCAGTACTTGACACCCTTTAATCACGACTATCACTCGGGCCCACCCTTGAAACCCAGACTTTGGCCTACGAGGCCTAGCCTAGACCACACCTGATTAGAAGAAGCACCACGGGACCTTCGTTCCCCCACCCTCTTCAATGTTTCACCTTTTTTTGCACGGAGCCAAAGCTTCCCGAGAATGCAATAGGTTATGTAGCTAGGGGTTATCAATCTCCGACATCTACTAGTTGCAGGAAGGCAATGCCTTGGCATAGATTCCGGATGTAGAGTAGAGCCACATATAAGCGAGCGACTATCGCAACCGATATTGGTGAGGGATCGTGGGAGCCAGCTTAGGGATTCGCAGGTGTTGAGGACACTATCTATGCACTTGGCAAGGCGGATTGTTGATACCATGATCGATTTCCTCTTCTGGTGAGCTCACAAGAGTCAACCGATCCAGCCGGATGTTGAAGCCTGTCACGCAAGTTGAGGGATGGGCCTTTAGTGAGACTTATGCATGGGGGTTATGTGTGAATTGGCATCTACCTGTCTGATAGGATAATACAGGCAGAGACCATGCGAAGCATTTTGCGCTGTACTATCTGATGTGATCGCGACTTCTGAGCGCATAGCGTTTCTGCATTGCGTGGAATAAGGAATATCATGCGAATATTAATTTATTCTTCTTGACTCAAATAGGCCGCTAACTCTACTTTGCAATTCTTTACATTTGATCGGGCACATCAATCATGTATGATCACTCGATATTTATTATTGGCACGCACTTCAGCTTGCAAGCAAAAATTAATCGCCGAGATATACCGCCCTTAACAAGTGATAAAAATAATCAGGAACATCACAATCTCCGTTTTAAAACGTTCGTGGAGCATGCTCAAATTTCAACCACCCGCGGGAACATTTTGGTCGGTGGCCCATTTCGCAACCGTGTAACCCATGATACCTCCTGAGCGGCATGCTCTAGCCTAGATCTTTATAGGTGCATGAAGGCGCGGGAACATGCGGTAAAAAAGATATTGAATATATGCGCCAAACCCGGATCGAACGGGTGACCTTCAGATTATTTGACTGAGTGTTAACTTCAGTCTGACGCTCTCCCAACTGAGCTATTAGCGCATGCTGTCAACAACAAAATAAATAATATTGTTCCTAATAAACAGGTCGGCACAACAGTACTTCTCCCAAAATCTATTTTTTTCTTCCGACAGTGTCGCAAACTCGGGCAAGCAATCCTTCAATGTACTCAAGCTTTCCATGACGCACATAAGGCACTCCTTCATCAATTCCTACTTTTACCGTGTCCCAATCCCCCCAATAATCCACGTACCTAGAGCTGAGTGAGATTTGATGATGCGGTAATCGCGCGGTTTAATTTTAATACGAAAATCGTTAAGATACCATGTGGTTCTAACCCAATACATGCATGTACAGTCCTATTATGCTAAATAGAAAATAGGCCTCGATCACTTACTTATGTATCCAGTCAAAAATTCAATCATTCTACTCAATGGAATAATCACACTAAAGTCGAATTCGATGCCCCGGTTGTCGTGAGCGGAGAACCCTGATACTTGTATTCAGTTAGCCCCGATATTGCAGAAGAGGAATGTACTCTAGAGATTTATCTCAGGACCATCACCCTTGTTGGCCTATCGTCAATGACCGATATCACACCATCCCATGGCAGTCCATGGATGTGTAGACGACGCATACCCTGAAGAAAAAGGCTATGATATACCGATCCGGAATTTGAAACTGGACTTGCTCGATTGGAATTCCCTACTAATAAGTACTAGACGCTCGTAGTATTTAGCTCTGTAGAGCCAAAGCTAGTCCCTAAAGGGCAAGTTCACCCGCACCAATCAAACAATTTTTATAGGGGAGCTTCTCGGATATCCCAAGATTGTAAAGCAGATAACCGAATATCCGACCGTGAGCCTCAGAGTCTTCAGTAACGGACAAATATTACTCAAGATCACAAAATATCACTCAAACACAGGCAGGGTCGCCATGATATGACGAAGATGTGCCTCCCCTTTCCAGGCACTGGTTTGCATACACTGATCTGAATTAATCTATTGTAGTACCGGTTGGAGATTACTGATAGTATCCATTAGTTTCTTGATGTCAAGTAAACAACATACTGGAAACAACAGGGAGAACGTGCAGATAAAGCTATTACTGGATTCATAGCGCAGTTTGATTTAAAGAGAGGGAAGCTTGCGAGTAAATGTATTCCATTCAAGTCTTAGCGGCACATGTTCTTATGTCCCCCAGGCTAGACCCTAGACGGGATATATAATGAAGGGTAGTGCCGATACAGGCCCTTTTTTAAGTGAGCCATTAATTATAAAATTCTACCAGTACTTTCTTTTTATTTTTATGTAGGTATCGGCTATTACTAGTATATCAGTCTCACGATGCGAGGGAAGTACTTGCCAATTTTTTTTTCTGTGTCCAGCTGCTTCTTCTACATCCGGAAATATAGGAGTGCTATGAAACAACGGCCCTAAAACTTCATGAATTTTGATGGCTATTTGGCGAGATGAAGTCGTTGCGACTCTTCCATATCAGGGAGAATAGGTTCGCTGGACACAAGAAAAAATTTGGCAAGAATGTAACCTTACAGAGTCGTGATAGTCGATTTCAGCATCGTTTCATGACCAATGAGAGATCCGCAAATAGTGTATCGCGCTTCCAATGCTCGGACCAGTCCCAGCGAGGCCGTACTATATCTTGCGAGTGATACTTCATGAGTTCATGGGTCATAATTCCCGACAGAGCGGTTGAGAAAGGGCCAGGATAAGTGTCTAAGCAACCACCAGTTGCAACGCGTGTGTGAAACCATCACTTCCGCTAATACTAGTCTTTCGAGGTTTAGAGCTAGAAGCCAAGAACTTTCCGTGCATCAATGAAATGAATTGTATTTGTGCGACTAACTATATTGGCCGCCCATGTACTAGGTCCTTGGAGATAATTTAAGGCGATGCAATCATGCGGGATTCAATGGCCTGTTCCTTGGTACATGTGCTGAGGCCGAAATGTGTGGTCAAAGAGCTTCAACCGTTTTCTTCTGACCAAATCAGCATACTACCTAGAATTATATCCACAGCGATGCCTTCGTGTCCCTTGCCGTTAAGCAGATTTAGGGTGTACCCGAATGTCCACAAAAAGCACCGAGCTGATATTTTCCACGGATTTTCCCGGTGGACTACCTACTCGAATTACGAATAGGTAGCCCTATCCCTTTAATTTTATCTGCGAGCCCCCACAATGCGGGCCGTCCCGAGCTGGTACTTTCTCATGGAAGCTGTCCTGAGTGGGGGCACACCTTTAGTTGATGGGACCTGGTGATTTTGAATGATGCATGATTGTAGGTACAAGGCTAAACAACTCCATACAACCAGGGGTGTTGGCGCAACAGTTGGTTGTTAAGGGGGAACTGAAACAATTTTGATACGCCTACCCGGCCAGACGGTTCGGAATTGTGTTCTTGGGGAACGATTTCCGACGGTTTGGGCGCTATAGTTCAACTACCTGTCATTGGGTAGGAGGGCAGCTCCAAGTAGATGTCCTCGCTTCCAAAATAGTAAACACGTAACAAACAACCAATGATCGATGTAAAACTAGACACAAGAGGTATCCAGGCCCGTGTCTCAGTCATCCCACATAGAGGAAAAGGCATTGAGAGCTGGGTATTTATGCGTGTTTCTTTTCCTGCAAGCCGCATCCAGAGAGCCTGTCGAAAACAGGGAAAAGTCCCGGAACCCCTACCAGCCCGAACAGCGAAGTCAACATAAACCAACTTCTGTTGGAATTTTTATTCTCTTCAATTGAAAGGAACCTACTATACTATGGTGATAGCACCGGTGATCTATCGCTTTAAGGGTAATTCGCCGGGTCGAGAGATGGCGACCCAAGTGGCTGGTAACATCAAATACCAAACTGTCGTATCCGATCGGCTGGAGAAATTTGTTGCAGATCTGCCGGTAAACAGATCGCCTTTTGATTCCTGAGGACTGCAGCTGGGATACCACCCACAAAATCGATAAAATCATTGATTGGGTTTCTAATTGTTCCCAAATTTCCCACTGTGCGATGTTATTCTAGTTATGCCTATAAAGAAGTTCAAGTTTTAGCAAAATGAGTACTTCAAGAGAATCCGTTGTGCTTCAACTTCAAGCTCCGGCTTTGCTTTGACCTCCTTTCTGGAACAGATAGCAGCAGCATCATACCCTGTTATCCCGAAAGTAAACCGCAGAATAATCACCCCAACACGTCCCGGGAGCCCGTCTCTCTACCCCGGCTCTATTGCACTGGCTGCAACATGCTGGCACCTACAAAGTCGGTGCTCGGGCGCCGATTCCTAATTCGTTAAAATCCGATGAGCAATCGATGGTCCGATCCGGTCATGCGTAGATCAGACATGAAATGACCTGTTACCGGGTTGGTCTCAGACGATGCCAAAGCTTCAATCAACTTCACCCCACCACCACCACGCCAGGCCAGGCCAGGCCAGACCGGGCCCTGGTAAGTCTGCCTTACTTCAAGCCACTTGAGTGATGGAAAAAAGCGTCATATTGATTATGGAAACAGGATTTTGAAACGGTGTGTGGACTTCAAAGCGTAGACGCCACGCCTTAAAGAAAAACGCCGTGTTTACTGAGCCGAGGGGTTGATGAATCTATGGCTTAAAGTGAGTCAATCAACAAATTAAGATGTAAATTCAAAGTCATACAAAATACCATGATGTCATAATCGCAGGTGAGGGGGTATGTTGAGCTTTCGAACTTCCCTTCAAGCTGGTCATGGTCATTATGTATTTTTTCTGTAAATTGGTGATTTTGGGTGTCCACCGAATTGGAGACGAGAGGAGTGTCGAGAATATAGTAACTGATGGAAAAGTATAAAGGAATATATGCGCGTAATTTCCCTCGGTCCTGCGATAAATAGCTATGATAATCAGTATTCCTGAGTCTCTCACGTTGTCATACCTATTCTATATTTGTAAAATATAACACGACTCCCGGCAGCAAGCATGTCGAAGTTGAACTGCCGCGAGGTTACCAAAGTCGTACAGAGATGCCCTAATGCAAATCATCTAGAAGGTTATGTGAATGGAACTAAGCTTAATATGTAACGGCTTGGGAGAAAGTCGATATAAAGGCGGTTTGGCGCGTACGCATGACCTGGAGTAGTAAATTTGAGCAGCACCGGCCTAATACAAAAAAACGAACATGGAAGCTAACCTCGAATATAACTCAGCACATTTTATTAGGTTGGGTATCTGGTCAATCGACCATGCTTTTACGTTAAAGTGTTTCAGATTTTCCGATGGTTCAAATTCCACTACTTGAGAGGAGCCACCGAATCGAGTGGTCCGCCACCTTTATACATGGCGAACCGGAGAGTGGCCCCACCGTCAACTGCAAGGTAATAAATTGTTCTGACTTGTGTCTATGTAGGTAAATCAGCAGACGTGATGTCGGACTCTAGCCTCAATATGTTAAAAAAGCGGTAGATGAGTTGACATTTGACCCCCGTCGGTGATCGCGGGATCTTGGACCATAGTCTCTTCGAGCTTCTAAATACAGGTTAGTCATTAAGCAGCCCCATAAAGATAAACATTTGAGTAACACCAAATTTCTCAGCGTTTAAGCGGTCCTAAAAGTAGCACGGGGTAAAATACGCATGCGAAATTTGCATAGCCAATTATCAGGGATTTTCCAACAAGTGAAATGGAAGTATTTGCCACTTCCCCCCCTAATCTTAAATGAGGGTGTTACGTGGCTGATGTCGATAAAAATTCCTCATGTTCGTCTGGTTTTTGAAAATAGTTACATATTTATTGACCTAGAAGATTTATATTCTGTCCTTAATTGAAGTTTAAGGGATATTGCATTTCATTCTGATTTTGAAAGCCACCAACGATGTGCTAGGCCTAGGTCTTTCGGAGCCCGACCTCACTTCAGCTTAGTCGGTCCGAAGGGGTTTGTATTCAATGACATCCATCTTGCAGATATTTCAAGGTGTTTCCCAGCTAAATAACAGCAACAATTGCTTTAGATCACGTCATCGTGCGGTTCCCCAGAGACCTTTGACCCGGCATGCGTCTCTCATAAAGCTCGCCCAATCGGTATATGCAGAAAAACTCTTCAGAAACCACCTGCAGAAGGTTCAATGCTTCCCGTACTTGGCGTACAGATGTCTAGTCTAATCCTCAGGGAAAACTCGGGCTGACATGAATTGCAAACTTCCCCTCTTTTTTTTATTGAGATAAGTGCCTAGTAGTTCCTCTAAGTTGAAGAGGGGATTATTGGGTTCGTAGGGAAGTCTTCCATATTATTCGGAATTTATAACTAAAGATTATATCTCTACTCAGATACTCAGACATATATTCCACTAAAAGAACAGAAGTGACACTTGTAGACGGATAGGTTCTGTCGGTAATCAATCGTGCGACATTGGGTCACAACCTGCCCCTTTCTCTCCCTATACTGACCTGGAAGTATCATGTGGTCAATGGTCCTCTCACAATCAAGACCCAAAAGCACCTCGAATAAAATGTGACAAAACTCACAAGGCGAATAAAGTCGACGTGAGGTTGATCTGCCTTTGAGTAAGACCCTGCTTGTTTGAACTATGTGTGGATAAAATTGAGAGCCAATGACTACCTTCCGGCTATAGATCAAGGCATGGACCCCATCTTTTGTATGCAAAGATTTTGTGGTCACCTACAGAAGTTACATGTATTCAATCTATAGGGGACACGTGACAGGTCCGCGTGGTCTTCAAGAATCCGGCAAACGGAAAGCGAGGAGAACCCCATAGGCCTCTCAGCTCCAAGTTCTAGTTCCTAAGATAGGTATATTGTGACGAGAGATAAGATTTCCAAAGAGGGCTTAGAAAGAAAGGTTAGCTCCTGGTTGAGGAAAGAATGCAGAAATAGGATCCAGGGGCAGACATGCAGAAAGGAAAAACCAATTAAATAAAACGGGTATTATCACTTTTTCGTACCGTCGTACAAGGATCACCCAGTACAATTTGGCCCGCCTAGACTCCATAGAACCGGCAGCGAACTCTGGGGCACATACCCTACCACCCTTAGATGATTGAACGCCAAATTGCAAATCCTATTCGTTGATCGGGCCCTGGGTTATATATTAAAGATAGTTAGGTAAGACTACTTTATTGTACAAGACCTATACTGACTTAAGACCCCGATATAAACATGGGCCCCTAACGGCAGATCGGGGTAGGATCTCATTGGTGAAGTTATACTATATGGGAAGATGGTGTAAAAGGGCCGGGCTGGTTGAGGCTACGACCTGCTCGCTAGATTAGAGCATTATATGACCCCTGCACTCGCTGCCTCAATGACGAAAGTATCGTCCATTAGGTCGTGTTTCTACAAGACGGGTGAGGGAATTGGAATAGTTCCAGGTTGCCCCAAGCTTTTGGATGTTTTGTCCGAAGAAACGTGTATGTACGAGTCATCGACATTCCTTCCTTTGAAAACATAAAAGTATGCAGCCGATATCCTGAGCCTGTTGTGTTAGGGCACTCAATAGCAACTTCGACATGAATGGTAGATCACACAATGCGCACCGGCCCTTCGCGACACAGACTTAGTAGCTGCCTAGAGAATTTCTCTAAGGCATATATGTGTGCACATCGGGACTGAAGGTAGATTTGATTATCATTAATGCTATCGTTTTTATCGTTTGATTGTCTCGCCTCATCTGGAATTGCCTTCATCGATCTCTGGATTTAGAGGTCTTGCAGGAAATATTGCTCATATGAAAGGTATCTAATTTGAGCCATTACCTATCCGGGAAGCGAACCGTCCCAAATACATAAACCACTGCACGTGTCGTAATATATATTACGTGCCCGGTGTCGAAAGCGTGTTTCACAGACTTGTGTAGCGTGGTGCCGAACACTTTGAGAACGCTCAGGGTCAGACATGGGAGATCTAACATCCTAGACATGGACGAATATTGACAATGCTCCGTCCTTGCTTCTTTATTTAATTTTAATGTTCGTTGTCGTATTATGCTCAAAATCAAGATGAGACTTTGCAGGTCAAGCAAGTATCAATCCAGTCAACAGTGACAGATAAAAACTCCCAAATCAAATAAATCAAAAGATACTGACGTTAAGATCCCGAGTGACGGCAATGCCCGAAGGCGTCGAACCTATGGAACATTCCTGTGGTTAGGCCTCGTGCGAAAAATTTCTCCGACACGCTTTAAAAAGATGAGAATGCTTAGTTTTAGAGGACTGTGCGCACACAACTCAAAAAGGATATCGAAAAGCCCAGAATTCTTCGCTACCAAATTGGCGGGAAGCCATTGGAAGAAGTGGAGTAAGTAAGAGAGACATGCGAAGCCGCGGAGATGACTGTGCAACATCTGATCTCAGGGCGACTTTCTACCTGTTACGACAATGAGGGTGTCAAGGTGGAATGAGGCATCCCGAGACCCCGGTCTTGGATCGGGGCCACCACCCAAGTTTCTGAACCAGCAGCTTGGTCCACTCGAAAGGGGTTCTCCACACCTTCTACAGCGGAGACATGTATGTGAATTGAAGTTATGTTGATTTCTCGATATTCAACGAGAGGAGGGTACTTTTTTTCTCTTTCCATGTTGTTTCAGAAACGTCAAGAACAAAAGAAAGACCGCCTGTCTCTCTTCCCCCTCCCATTAATATGCCGCAAGTCAGTAACCCTCAGTGTCGGCACAGACTTCCCTCTAGATCTCTCCAATGCATACTTTACCTTTACTGACTTTTCCACGCGGGGGGCTCGTCCGCCCTTGCGCACAGACACCGTTTTTTCCCGGAGTAAGGCAAGCATGAAAATGTGAGGCTAACGACAGGACAAGCGGAAACGGGTCCTCGGTTCTTCTTCATACAAAGATCCCTTGAAACAGGTGCTAGCTCAAGTCTTTGGAATTATCAATTCCCAATTCCACGGTTTGAAGTTCTCTCCGTAACGGGTAGTACCATAGTGAGAACAGACACCATAAAACTAAGACCGGGGTTATCGCGGCAACCCAACCAAGATATGCATGCCCGAACGGTTGGGTCACAAGAATGCAGGAAAGGCTATAAGACGATTGTTGCTGCAGTCTGGACGGGGGTGCCAATCCCCGACTTTTCTCATACCTTTGATGGCCCCGTGTTGTGTTGTTCTATGTGCGTGCGTGTGCTCTTTTAACTAGCGGTGTTGTCGTGCCCTTTTTCCACCACGTCCAGCAAGTCGGTAGCAGCACCAATCCAGTAGAACACAGTATTCAACAGGATTTTGCAAATATATCCAGCGTTCCCCGGCAATTTTCGGTTTCGTAGAATCCAAATCCAACCCAGGCCAGAACAACAGTAAAATGAGGTATAGCAAAGCTCTCCTTCCCCTTTGCTTATTCTATCCTTTCTCATTTGTGTGAATGATTTTGTAGTAGTGGCTCAGATATCGACCAAAGCAACCCTGAGTTTGAAACTTGGTCGCTTGACCCCGTTTACAGAACAACGATCGAGATCAATGGACGGCTGTACCAGCAATGGGCTCTGGAGAATGGGACGTCTTTCTCCCCCGTCGATGAGGTACTCCCAGTTATAACCTTTCAAGTGTTTAGCCGTAACTGTGTTAATTCTATGCTGAAATTTGTCTAGGACGAGAGAGAAAGGCTTGATAGAGTGCATAACGTATTCAAGCTCGTTTTCGACAATAGATTAATATTTCCACCCGTCAACAATCCTCAGAAAATTCTGGACTGTGGTTTTGGTTCTGCTGCATGGGCAGTAGAGGCCGCTGAAAGATATTCGAATTGTGAAGTCCGACCCCAGCTAAACAAGCCAGATCGTTGATAAAATTAGCCTGTTCTAACAACGAGTGCTAGGTTATTGGTGTTGACATTAGCCCACATATGATGCCAGAAGAAACGCCTACAAACTTGTGGCTTCAAGTAAGTAATCTTTGGTTAACTGAAGCTAATCAAGAGAAGAAAAAAGAAGAAAACCTCAAAGTGACTGACTAGGTGTACTTACCGTAAAATAAAGATCGATGATTTGAATCAACCTTTCACATTCCAAACAAACGAGTTTGACTTTATCCAATCCCGAGATGTTATGGGTGGTATCAAAAAGGATCGATGGTCATCATATGTTAAGGACTGTGTTCGGTAAGTTTATGAGCAGTTCTGGGATGCCCCAAGTAAAGGCTTGATCAAGTTCCATAATCAGTCCACCTGAGATTCAATAGCTTTATTGAACTGTTGGTGGAACAGGCCTTGTATGATAAATCTGTCTGACAAACATAGTATCCTGAAGCCAGGGGGGTGGTTACAGCTCGTTGAAATTTATCCCATGGTCCAGTCTGACAACGGTATGATCGACGACAATCACATCCTTCGTCAGGTCAGCAAGAATTACTTCAGCTCCATCGAAGATACCAAGGATCCGCGAGCCCCTTTGAAGCTGGATTCCATGATGAGGGAGGCGGGATTAGTTGAGCTGGGAAGCAGAATGGTTCAATTGCATTTGAATGGATGGTCAAATGGTTAGTTACCCGTCTCATCTTTTCGTCATCAGCTACTGTTACAAATTATGAGCAGTTGCTGTGTCTTAGCGTGGAAATAAGCATAAGGACGTCAATGGACCGAAATAATCGGGACTGACAACGTTTGGTGCGCACGGATACATTTTATCCAACTATTTTTCACTGTAACTTACTGACTCTTTAATCGCAACCATCAGTCGAGCGTGATCGCCTGATTGGCGAGAAATATGGCGAGGTCTTCAAGGACTGCATTGAAGGTCTACTTCAAATCCCATTCAAGGATAAATTTGGAATGTCCATAAATGAAGTTAGGGTCATGGCCGCGCGATTTCGACAGGAGGTGGATAACAAGAGCCTCAAGCCATATTTTGGACTGTAAGTCTTTGTCAATACCCCAAAAGCAAGCACTAAAGACGAGAAGAGTTTATAGTTGACCATTGCCTCTCTAGGTACATCTCGATCGGACGCAAACCCAATCCATAGCAGTACAGTTCCAGAAGGGGCTTTCAAAAGAGAAAGGGCTCACTTCGACCTACACCCATCATGAAATTTCAAATCAGTGACAGCGATAAGAAAAGCAGCCTGGTGAAAATTAACATAGGCATAGGGATACAAGTATACGGGTGCTTGAAGAATTTTGGAGTTACGGGGTATACAATGGATTGGAGGAGCTATTCAATAGACATGCGGTCATATTGACATGCGAGTTTTGTAGGGTGCAGTCATTTTAATTTTCTTTTTTTTTATCTCAAGCGAGTGGTTTTGTCGCGAACTTCTAAGGCGCTGCACTTCGGAAGATATTATCCTTCCACCACCCATTTCGAATTCCGAATTTGTCGAGATGACTGTTTTCCAAATCATTTATTCATATTCAATTTAATTTTTCTTTCCATATTTATTTCAGCAGGAAGGGTACGGATGTCGTGATATCTCCCAGTTTCCCATGGCGGGAGTTTCCGAGATGTTTCGAGGAAATGTTTCTTAAGATGTTTCCGAAGATGTTTCCGAGAGATGTTTCCGAAATGTCCCGCAGATCGTTACAGCCGGCGGATGAATGTATCAAACTTTGTTTTGTTTTTCTCGTTCATATTCTTGAATTCGATGCTTGCTGAAAATAAGTTGCAGGTTGAAATTGCTGCTGTCGTATGCTAGTTCCAAACAGACCCGTTGCAATCAACCAATCCGAACCAACCGGCCAATAGTACGCTCTTTCTCATCAGCTATGCCACCATTCCAGGACCCACCAACCAGGCGTTATGTTCCTAACGACAAAGATAATTATCTAGAAACAAACAAACGCATCAGCAGATATCTCCCACGATGCACTCGTCCTCCAGATATCCCTCGGTCTCAGCCGAGGGGGAAGGATATGCACAAATCATCTGTTTCAGCTGGAGGAAAATGGATCAGTTTTCCCATAGATCTAGGAGTTCAATTGCATCCGTTTCTTGGATTTGAAAATTATCCCATTCTTTTTTCCTGATGTTTTGTTTGTATTTTCGTTTGTGTTGATTCCGTGATGTGCTGACAACGAAGGAAGGGAGAAAAAAGAAGGGGTGCTTTCGTTGTGGACCAAGTACATGTATGTACACCACCGGTCCATTCAATAGCCTGGGTGAGCAGCGAGCAGCATACGCTGCGCAGAGTTGGCTAACTTTGCAGAAAGCTACCTGGCGTTTAGCCGAACGCGGTCTGCTGCGTCTATATCAAGGATAGCAAACATAGGCGAAGAAAATCACATGACTCTCTTTTCACAGCGAGTTATGTAAGCTCACGGTTCTATGTCTGCCAGGAATTTGTGTGCACTCACCATATTCTCCTGACTTTGCTTATGTATTGCCATGGCAGAAAACTCAGAGAGCAACTGGAATAACAATAGGCGGCCAGCTTAAGAAAGAGAGGAGGGAGGAGTGGGAAGCTGCAAATTGGATGGTAAGAGGAGGGAGTACGTACCTCTTAGCTGGTTGTTACTTGCTTGCTTAGGCTACTATCTGGCCAGCTAGCTGTCTGTGGGGTCTGTAACCATTTCCATTCAGGAAGTGACGGCGAGGCATGGTAGCGAGGAGGGCCCATGCTGTTCAATGTCGTGGTGCTTAGAATGGGGGAAAAACTAACGATGAGATATCAAACAAAGACAGGTGTGCACGGGAGAAATCTGATATTTGCGAGGCAGGAGGTGCCGATACATTGCCAATAAGACTCCGATCTAGATGTGGTTCCATGACCATGGGATCTTTGCAAGCAGCTCACGGGCCATCTTCCCGTTGGTATGCACCGCCGTGCTTTAACAGGTTTTTCTGCCCTTTCTGCCTTTCTGCCCTGCAGTCAATGCTAACTCTTGCACTTCTCCTCCCCCCCCTCCTGCTCCTCCCCCTCCTGCTCCTCCTGCTCCTGCTTCTCCTCCTGATCCTCCTGATCCTCCTACTTACTCTCCGATAGCCTCTTGGCCTATAGATATTTGAACCGACGATAAACGGGCGGGAAATTGCGTCTGAAAAATGCATGCTCTTTCCCTACTTCTGGTAAGGATTCGCACAACGGGAACCAGAGATAACCAAACCGTATTCAGTTTCCATTTCCGTGGGCCAATATTCTCCATGGTGTGTGCCTGCATAAAATCGAAGACGACGTTGTGATTTCCATTGTTCGTCCGCAGTGATTTTACAGCTCACAAGTAGCATTCTGATCGAAACTGGCTGTCACACTGTTAAATGCATAAAGAAAACAACGAAAGCTACTGGTCACTCCTAAAATTAATGCTAGTGATTGGTGAATCTGGATTCCGGCGACGACTAGAAGTAGCGTCACGTATAAAAACTCTGATTCTATTGGTGCACGAATATGACGAGATTTCTGTGGGGGGCATTTACAGTCCGAGCGAGAATTCTTCTGGGCCTAGACACGTTAGGTCAAGTAGCCCTCAAACCCCACTTATCAACAAAAATAACGTTCTGATAGCCCCCCACCCCAGGAGAAGCGCCTACAACAATTGAGAACATTATCATGGACTCTCACTCGTAAGGAAGCATTTATATCCTCTTTCTATCTTTATAAAATGTGTATACTGAAAGACACCCCGACAATTTACCCCTTATTCTCGGGTTTTCGGCATTCTTATTAACCGAATCGAAGGCTCTAAGCGCAACTTGCGCAATTACAATATGGGTTGGTAAGATGATTTTTGTCATATGGTAAAGATTTTTGTCATATGGTAGTGGAATTGTGGGCTCGAGCGCACCTGTCTCTCTAAACTCACGATACCCCACGGTTACAAGAGGAAGATTTGAAAAAGGAACGACCGACACGATCCTAGCTTTGGCAGTATTGTGGTCTGTGCTCACAAGTCGATCATGTGATCTCTAGGCCCAATCTCTTGGGGCAGGTGGCTTCCCGCACATCTCGCGAATCATATCTTGAGAAAGAGGACTCAAACAACCCTTCAATAATGTTTCTCAAGCAAGTATGATCTTACAGCGTACGGCACGCTGCATGGTATGAGAAGGTTTCTCACTGATGCTTAATTTGGTCGTATGAGACATTGTCTGGGACCTTCCGTGTACTCCCTTAGTTTTCAGGAAACATTATGATTTCAGCAACAATACAAATACGGTACACGTGTGTATGGCGATACAAGGCGTGTAGAAATATTTATCTGAATGCTTTAAAACGTTGGTCAATGACTGGCCGTAACGCTTGTGGCTTTTGTGCAATTTCATCTAAACCAGCGCCTAGAGGCTGACCAAAACAATGTCCCTGGAATCTCTCTGCTGAAAACTTGGAAGAATATTTCTCATGTCTGAGTCAATGAATCGTCATCATCTAGAGAGGTGAAATAACAAGACATATATCATCATCGCTGAGAGGCGTCTGTTTGATCAATAAACATACTCCCCGATGCCATCCCTGTTAGCCGAATATTGAACAGGGTTTATGAAATAAATGCATCACATATCATTTCATGCGTTGGCGCGTTAAGGAAATCCATCGATATGCAAAAGTAGATGCCTATCGATAGCTAGGCAGTGATGCCCCATTTCTACAAACCCGAGAAGGTAGAGTAGACCATACATCGGGACAAATTTCTAAGAGGAAGCTCGGATTCGTATATCATTAACGCCGGAATTCCGCTGACTGTCTTGTTTTGTAGGCAGTGAGCCGCCGCTGCAGACCGCTCCAGGATACTAATGCAAGTCTCAGACAACGTACACTTTTGCAAAAAGGGGGCTTTCCTGCTTTCAACGACATATCTAACAAGCTACACACCCAGGAAAGTTCATTATTTATGAGTTATCTATCAATAATACGCCAGAATTTTCCCCTCAGTAAATTCAACGTGTGTGACTTTCGCAGAAATTAAATGGAACGGCCCTCGACAATGTGGTCTAAATAAGGTGCGGCGTTCTGAATCAGGTGATCCGAATTCAGCCTTGTCTAGTTCAACGGGATCGATGCGTCTCAAAGTTAGAGACGGTTGACGGGGCAGAAAAGACACATCAAATAAAAATTATGCAGCCAAGAGATTCAACCATTCAACCATCAACGGGTTACCTACTCTAGAAACGTATTCAAGGAGGACAGCAGCTTTCCTGTTCTGCCGTGTCCTTTGGAAAATAGACACGTCAGCTCAGCTCTGAAAACTGGGTGAGCTGTTTTGATGATACATGTACTAACTTACCTACATGTACATGTATTTCTTGAGGTTGTACGTGCATTCATGTATGTACACTGAGAGAACGCACGATAGCATCGGTAATGTGTGGATGACTACTTCTGGCCTCCCGCTGCGTGTATATATATTGGTCGATAGAGCTAAGTACCTACATATCTAAATGTCCAAATCCAACAGCACAGCGGTACAATTCACCGTCGATCACTACTCTACCCTGTTGATGAACAAGGGAGTTAAGTCGCTAGAGATTAATAGTATTTCATATCTTGGCAATGTATTTCTTGCCATACGGAGATATCACTTCGCTCCCCGTTAGCCAGCCAATAGACACTTGGTGTAGTTACATACATGACTAACCAAGAGACGGTTAACGACTGTAGATTTCTACAGGGTAGGGTTTAATTGTTGATAGTTGGCCCGTGGCCGCAACATTTTAGAATTAGAATCTCATTGTCAATAGTTCTACCCGACAGAAGTATGTACATACCTACAATAAACTTAACTAACTGATACCCCAAGCCTTTAGGAAACTGAATTTGGCTGGGAAGTTGTACCTCAAGACGATTGAAATCAAGGCGAGTCAATGCGGATTTAACCAATTAAAGCTAGGCGAATATTATTATTCCTGGGATTTTGCGCTATGCCGGAAAATGTCAAAGGTAACAAATTTTATCCACCCCAATACTCGCTGCGATTGGGTTACGTTGTTTCCCCTGCGCTTGTTGGTTATGCATGTATGATTGAGAAAATTTTCCACAACGTGCAACCGATCGCGATGCAAAAAGCAAGGAAAGTAGAAAAAATAATTTCTATTAACGGCACATACCCATCAATAACGAAACACGATGAATCGTTTGAATCGAGAGGCTCAGCCTTTTGTATTTGCCGAGGACTATTTGTAATATATCCAAAGATTGTGGATGGTCACTCAGCGTCGTCTTATAATTAGTCGAGTGATCCAAGATGATCCTTGGCCAATAGTTCCCGGTTTTCTCCGGCCTCGTCCCTGGACATACTACAATCCCTTGGGGCTTTAGTGTGTGGGGGTCGAAGTGGACACACAGTATAAAAACAAAACAAAAACCCGAGAAACGGAGTCGTGGGACAGGTTCCCGGTCCTGCATTTGTACCATGGTCCTGGGTCCCGGGTACCAGGGTTTGACGGGCGAAACGCTCCTCGCATCGCAGATGTCATCGCTAAGGTGCAGTGGGTTATGGGTACATACATACATGCCTCAACGCTTGGAATCCTGGGGGGCATTCCCCCTTTGGCGGTGTTTTGTGAGACATGCACCCCATCCAACCCAACCCCCTCCTCACCCTACCTCCTTATTACTCCCTCCACCCCGGAGCCCGGGGGTAAGGTATGCCGGGGCGGCTGATGGGCACGCAAGGAATTGAATTGATATGTGACCCGGAAGAATTCTCAATGGGGGAGAGGGATTAGAGTACTACCGGCTGGATGTTACTGGACACCTCGTGTCCTTACACAGTGATGGCCCCCACGACCCTCTACCGTATTGTGTCTGAATGGCGTGCTCCAAGGCACCACATCCTCTGGGGTGTCCATTCCGGGAACACGGATCGGGGACTGGAAAAGTCAAAATCGCCGTGATGGAGGTAGTTAATTATGATACTTGCCCGCGAGACTACATCAGAATAATCGACCTGGTGAGAAATATCCGTGACGTCGAGTTACGCCACATTTTGGATTTGACCAAATGACCATCAGATACACACAAGGCCCCGAGGAGGATTAAGTCGGGCATTCAAGTTTTGCGGGAGCGTGAGTTTCTATGAACCTTCCGCTATAGACTCGGCACCTCGACATTTTAATCATGTGATATCACTCGCAAGATAATAAGGATTATTTTTTCTATGACAAACACCTAACCAAAAATATGTTTCACAGCCCCTACACGGGAAATATGGAATGGCAATCTTACTTAACTATTTCGCAAAGAGTGGCATACAAGCATTCAAAGTTTAGATCAAATTTGCTAGCCAGTGGATTCCCGGGCACTACGCGGGTTTGAATGTCATCGATTCACGGAGAAATTTAAGTTCAAATTTACGAGAATATAAAGTAGAATACTTCATCAATTGATTAATACTCTCTAGACATGTGTACCACTGAATTAATAGAATAGGTCACATCACCGCCGGGTCAGCTGGATGCTTCCGACGATATTTTCTTTTTAATCAATACAGACAATTTCAGTACTGATACACACAATAAAAAAAAAAGAGTCTCGAGACTTTATTTTCTTAGACGGTACGAGAGAAGAGGAGACCTGTAGGTGGGCAAGACAATTAGTCCCAAAACATCTCGTAACATTGAAAAATGTTGAAAAATGGAGCGTTTTCCGGGCGGAGGGTCTGGTACATAAATTGACACGTGCAAATATCGAATCTATATAAATTCTAACCTTAATTTAAAGTTTAATCCCGATACTACGAGACCACATTATTTAAGTTGGCGTGTAGTTGAAACTTGGAACCCGTGATTTTAGAGGTGACAAGGAGCTGTAGTCTCGAGACTTTGTACGATACCTACACTAGGTCTCTTCAGTCACATTAAAGGCCTCTCTTCCCAGATATAAGACAAGGCGCGCGAAATCTAGGGAATGAAGTCCCGCCTTGTTTTGTGCTATGTGCATCCCTAGACCATTACGTGCACCCAAGTATGTACTGTACATACAGCCACTCTGCAAAAGTGTTCGTGATTCCGATTTCAGAGTGAGACATTTCTCCATATGTAACCGCGGCGGACCATCAAGAACCCCCCAAGAGAAGACTTTCCCAGCACAGCAACCACAATTGATCCTTTGGAGAGCTGAATTTTTGTATAGTTGTTAAATAGTAGATAAATAACAATAATTTGACATTTAATATCTTGTGTACCAACCCGCCGTGAAAAGGTTGTTGCGCGCGCGGCGTTGCGACGCCGCGCCTGACGCTCAAGACTGGCATCGTACTGTACAAATCGGGGCTCTTCTAATCACTGGTCTCACAATTCATTAGCTACACACAGTATAGTATTACGAATTGAAGCAAACCAATTAACTTGAAAATTGCACAAGACTGTTGGGGTAATTTCTCTAGCTATGGTCTTTCGTATACTTAAAACCCTCTTATAAGCTAAGACCTCTTAAACATATAGCTATAATTTGCGCTAGTTGAAACTCTGTATTAGTTCTAAACAGGGTACTGTATATCTGTATTTTCAAGCGGCAATTCATGTTCTGCCCTGGTTCAGATGTTACATCATTTATTTAAACTTAATTGTCTCTATGCTATTCAATGACGCACTTTAAACCATTCCTCTCCTATTGCGTAATGTAACTGGCATCTTTCATGACTAATGTATAAAAGCATTTGGTATTTCTTTCCCAACGATCTACTTTTAAGTAAGAAAAAAAGCAGGCAAACAAAGCTTTTGAATCTGAGATATAAGCTTATGAGAAATTATCAAGACTATCTTGATAATACGAATTGTCTTTCATCGACGCAAGGCTAAAAATCCTCTGACTCTGAGCAGGACTCTAGACCCGAACATGAACTCCCCGAAGGGGCATATCCACGGTATGCACACTTTAGGCCTTTCGAGGTTTTATGGATATCTACATCTACCCCAATTGAATTCAAGAGAAACCCAAGTCTTTCCCTAAGATCGGGGCTGGCCGCCAGTGCTTGCACAAGTGAAATAATCGGTTTTTCCAAACTCCCTTCTGCCCCGAGCCCTCCTGCCACGTTGGTCATTTCTGCGCGCTGCTCGGCGGTGATATCCCCCGTAAGATTCTCAGGTGCATACTCGATATGGTATGGCCTGTTGAACTTAGTATCATTGTACCCAGTTTGCATACGAGGGGCCGGGAGTGGATCGATTTGTTTGCCCGACCATTCATGCTGCGCTGAATTACTCCTTAAGTTGTAATGGGTTACTGGCCTTATATTATTTTTGTGTCCAGTTGCGAATAGATCCTTGGTTTCTGTGTCTTCACGATATTCGCTGTCACTAGATTTAGTTTCATAGCTGAGATTCGCACCATCATTCTCTGTGGCCATTTTCGGTGTCCTTTTAAATCCGTTAGTCAAGTGAAGATTTTTATCCATGTCTCCCATCATAGAGTTTGCCTTCGAGTTGCGATCTCCAGTTTTGCTATCCATTACGTCAATGGCAGAGGTACTTTGACCATATGCATATGAACCAACGCCTTCGACACTTCTCGAAGCTAGAATTGGCATAAGAGGCTTGTCCTCTTTTCTCACAGTGGTAGCGTTACTTAACGTTTGTTCGGTATTGCTATCGCTGACAAAGAGGTTGACGATTTTTCGGGCGAGGTTTTCTTTATCATTTTGGGCGGCGCTTCCGTGGCTCCCCATACCATCAAAAAAACCCTCGAGGTATCCCTGAAGGTTTCCCACTTTCTGTAAAACTTCAATGGTCCTATCGTACTTTTGATAAGCCCCTGCCATGATTGAATCGCACCTCCTGCGTTGATGGTCGATAGTTTGCAGTGCCTTTTCGGTTTCCATTAATACAACTTCCTGGAGTTTAGTTCGGATTTCATCTCCGATAGAAGCCCTCTCGATGATTGTTACCTCTCCTGACATCACTCGGTCGAACATTGAAGTAATTTGGGAGAATATTGGATTATCTGTGATTTCCTTCGTATCGGGAATGTTTAAATCTAAACTGGTCGGCTGGGCTGCAACCGGAGTCTTTACTGGAGCTTGATCTTTGTGTGTTCCATTGGTAATAGGAATATCGTCGTGTATCGTGGCCTTCGCTAGGGAGTTAATTATAACTGGTGTCTTGACGTCCATCGGCCGCGGGGCCTCTCTCTCATGAGATTTTTTGATTGGAGACCTCTCAGTGGAGATTAGCTTATCATCCAATTCCCTTATGATAGCTGCCGGTCTCTCGCTAGGAGAAGTATAATCCTGATAGGATTCTAGGATCCGCTTGATCGTTTTATTAACCTCCTTTTTTGGGACAACAAAAACATCTTTATGGTTATCGAAATGATAATACTGCTCGTCGTTTGGATTAGACGGGAGCTCGCCCTTAAAATGTAATTGAGACATCTTGCTACCCAGCCTTGCAAGTTCCCTGGCATACTCCATATATTCGGGTATCCCATTAAATTCGACATTGACACATGTCAATTCTTCAAGGCAATTTCTATCGGCGTAAGTCTTGCGGTATTTGAGGAACAACATCACATTCTGTTTCATGGGGAGTAGCTTCAGGTTTTGGAAATCCTTATTACCCTCCAACTCCTTGCTCTTGATTTTCACGAAGGGGGAGAATCTCTCCCAGGTATATTTATCGCTTGTGATAAGCTGGATTGTTGGAGCTGTCTCAGACGGAGGCATCTGGTTTACAATTCTGAGTGCCATGATCATGGCGAAGAGACCAATATCTTCTCGTGGATCCCAGTAACTAGGCTTGTACGGGCGCCAAATGTTGAAAGGTGTGCATATGTTGGTATAGACTGCAACACCTCCTTTGGTGCTACTCAAATGTGATGCTGTGTATATTTCGAGACGAGTATTCGGCTTATCTGGCCAGATAGTGCGGTTGATGCAAGACTTACTCAACTGCAGTCCATTGTTGTTTCTCTTGTAAAAGAGGAAAGAGTACACATTGATGAAATCCTGACCAAGAATGAGGTCCACCGCACCACCTGTCTCTCCGAAGAAATCAACTAGCTCACTAGAAGATACAGATTCAACTTCAGGGAGCTTGAATTGGTAATCAGAGATGGTGAACTTCAACCCGCTTTTTCCATTAAAATCTTGAAACTTGGTCTTGCTGCGTATAACCCAAGTTGTGTGGAATCCTTCATCGATGTAGTATGCAGCAACAACAGGAGGCTTGATAGACAGGTTTACATACTCTCGAGGAGCACTCTTGAAAAGAGCTACTTGACGAGTGGTAGGTTTCATCCTAAACTGGTATGAGTCAGTACATGATAAAGAAGTAGACAAAATAACGATGATAAATATACCTAAGACCAGGGACGTAGCAAAGCTTTAACGAGTGGTCACTAATTGGCGGTTTAGTGAGATGGGAATGGAGTGATAATGTTATTGTTGTTGATGAGGATCGATGATGATTAAAAACAAGCGTATGGAGATGTGTTTAAGTATAGATGTACTTAGGACACTTCTAAGCTAATTCTGCCGCTACTTAAGTCAGACATACATGTATGTCTCAACTTTCGAACAACTGGCTCGAAGTGTAAAATTTAGCGCGCATTGGACTCAATGTAGGTGGCGATACGTACGCGTAAGCCTTCTGGCGAGTGGAATGGTTTTATAATTACAGTACACCCCCACCCGTAATCGTATCTGCATAAACTTCGATGAGAAGACAAAAATAAAGAGTAGACATCCCCAACAATACATAAGATGTGATCTTAGCAGTATGTCAATTTTATGCCGAGTTAAAGTAATATCACCAAACATCACTCGTCCTCAAAACTGGTAAAAGACTCGACTAGTGTGATAAGCTTATTGACAACGAATCATCTCCCCTGTTGGCTTCATGTATACATGCGCTAGTCGGTACACCTTCCAAGCGATCTGCGCTCCGACAGGTCTTTCATAATATATCACTCGATCCAATCTAGGACCTTCGATAACAATCGAGTGAAACACCGCCACAAACTTCCTTTGGTTCAATAAACTTCTCGGGAAAAAGCAACTCCACATATGATGAACGCAGCCTCGTGACATATGTTGGACGCCTTAATGCGTATATTGCTGACTAACCTAGCAAGGCTGCAGTGCTGTCAATGCTACAAAAAGAGGCGGAGACAGAGCTCAGCTTTCGTTTTTGCTACCCGAAACCCACAAACAATAAACAGGAGATGGAATCGACTATTCAGAGCATCTCAAATGCCCCCACCGCGGTTCAGGATAAAAAGCAAGGGTTATGGACCTGTGAGATCTGCAACCATCCGATGGGAGAAGGGTCCCAACAGAGCCATTTGGCAGGCAAGAAACATAAGGCAAAGGCTCAAAAAATTGAACAGCGGTCGAGCAATGAAAACTCCCCCAGCGTCCATGGAAATCTAATGGAATTAGGATCTCCCAAAACCGGAGCTCTAGCGAGGGAAGTAATAACGGACCCTGTCGTGAGTCATTAATGTCATTCTGCTTGAATTCCCCGGAAGCTAAGACTTAATTCCATAGAAACTTTCGTATCTAAGGATGAAACAACAAATGGAGTTATATGGTGGTTACCCAACCAAAACAATTACAACCAATATTAAGACGCCTAGGGGAAAGGAAGGCTCTAGCCGTGATACACGAGCTGTATACCCAGAAACAGTATTACATGGCGAAGAGTGTGAAGGCGATGAAAATGTAGAGTGTTCATTATTCAAGTCCACCGCCTCTCGAGTGCTAATATATCTGGTAAGAGTAACTCGACCACTACAGATATCCCGTTGCCAAAACCATCCCTACTTCAGCTTCGGAAAAAGTCCGATTTATATATTGCCCCTTTAATAGATCAGAATATCCCTTCTACACCCCCGGCTGCAGCTTTAGTATCATTGAAAGCAGCTCGACGGGTTCAAGATTTTGGGAGCCTAAGCTACCCCGCCGATATTTTGTCGCCAGGTCTGTCTCAACACTCTGCTGGGAATTTCAAATACGATAAAGATTTTTTGATGCAGTTTAAGAATGTTGTTACGGAGAAACCTTTGAACTGGGACAAAAAGGTACACGGACTTTTCGGGGATGGAGCCCCCTTGCCGGAGGCCGTCCGCGCTGCACTTGGTCTTACTACCTTGCCTAGTACTACACTCAGAAAACCCCGTACAAGTTCGGTAGCTGGCCAATTACCTCTAAATATGATGACTCCATTGCAGAGATTTCAGCTTTCTAGAGCCGGATTGAGACCTGAGACAGGAACCAATGCCACTAGCTCTGGGGTAGACATAACTCGAAAAGGCCTAGAAAACTCACTGAAGGGCCCAGAGCCCGATAAGTCTAGATCTAGCAAAAGTTCTTCATGGGGGAATTGGAAGAATGGAAAGAACACTATCGATGGGACCGAGCCTGAACAAGGAGATATTCCAAACCCGGCCCCACCAACCGCCGACTTTGGAAGCCCCCCCCAGAGTATGCTAGCCAATTACAAGCCATAGTAATTATAACTGGAGAACATATTTCTAATTTTCAACTCCAGACAATAGTTCCGAACGTGAAATCACTCCTATACCCGACAATCCACCCTATACTGCCCACATCGGCAATCTTAGCTTTGATATCGAAGTCCAAGAGATCTCGGATTTCTTCTCGGAGTGCGACGTTAAAACAGTGAGGCTTGTTCGAGACAAACCAAATGATCGCCCCAAAGGCTTTGGTTATGTCGAGTTCAACACTAAGGAGGGCTTGATTGCAGCCACAGAGCTTAATGGAGTCAAGGTCTGCGGTAGAAATATTAGAGTTAACATTGCAAGACCACGTAAGAAGCTTTCCCCGTGAAGGGAGTGTTTTTGTATTCAAAATGATAACATTACCCTCACTCTAGCAAAAACAACCAAGACAGATCAGGGCCCTGCCGCCGGAGGATGGAGAGATGCAGCATCAACAAATTTGGAATCTCTGGTAAATCAAACACCGATAGTAGAGTTATCAGCCGTGACGAGAGCACTTGAAGAAAGTGTAGGAATACGGAGACTGAGCTTAGTAAAAGAGCCTCAGGTTACAGACCGCATTGGAAGATGGAGGAATACAACACTGGAGAAAAAACCACCTCCAACGGAAATAACACCGAAATGGGATTGTGTGAGCTGTGGTATTTCGATTGCTCTAGATAAAAAAGATATCCATCTTTTGGGGCATTCTGCGAGGCTTAAGAAACAGCAGCAACAAAGATTAGGGAGTAACTCAAACATCCGGAAGGGTGAACGGCGCCGATCTTCGCTGATACGTGGCGAGATTGAGACCGCTGAAGAAGGTGATATCGATATCTGGGGTGGAAAACCAAGTGATGAAACGTTCAGTAATTGTGATTGGGAGTCTTAGCACTTCATATGGATAGGGTATTAAGTTACCCTTTGACGGTGGATTTGATGGGAGGAGGCGGGGTGGGGAAGATTAAAGTAACAATATCGATACATACATCACATTATATGAAGTGCTCACTGTATTTGAGTTTACACATGACGTGTCGGGATTTAACCCTTCCTGGTACCTACCTAACCAAAAATGTATGCATAAAAATTCTGTCCTGGAATGAGCAGTTAAAATATGCAGCTATGCACTTAAGATATACGTACATACACATTTTAGGCCGATAAATGTGTTGCATATTATATTAAATATCACCGACCGTGCCCATGAATCAACCAAACAAATAATAATAATAATAAACAGGTTGTACTCATTAATGAGAATGCAATGTATATGAGTGATATCTTATGATCACGACCAAGAGGCTGCATTCACAATTGGTTAGTTGAGTGGTAGTTTGTTAGTTGTCATGTGGCTGCATGCACAGGAAATTAATTAACGATCGATGGCTAAAGAAAATTTATTGCTATTTCTTATAGCTATAGCTATAGGATCGGGTAGTTCAAACAACAAGAGAAAAGAAAGAAAACAGTATAGCTGATAATAAGCTACAAAAAAAAAAAAAAAACCTATTCCCGCTAGAACCCATTGGTACCAATCAGCTCCTATCTCGTGAATGGAATTATTCTCTCCCCTTTCTTGAATTTCAAACGTTCATCAACGGCATCCTTATAGAGCTCAATTCTATGAACGAAACGCTCCTCCCGCTCACATTCCCTAAAGAAGGCCTTCGCTGCATTGGGACAGTGATTTATGATTTGACCAAGAGTAATCTCTGCCTCAGCAGCTTCCAATCTTTCTGTAAAATCTTCGGCAGATAGCGGTCCGTCGTCCTCTGAATCCTTAGGTTCTAAAAACATCTTATAAAAGCTCTCAGGAGTAAGAGGGAGGGCACTACCAAGGACATCGCCACGAATTGGATAATCGTCTTGCGCTTTCGTGGCGTTCTCAATAATCTGATTCGCCTCTTCATTGGCCTTATTCAGTAGTTTGCGTGCTTCGTCCTTTGCCTTCTTTTTTTGGGAGGCAATCTCTTCGAGTAAATTCTTCCTCGCTTTTCCAATCTTCTCCTGCTCTTCCTCAATCTTTTTATATTCATCCTTGATCTTTTCTGTACTATTCTTCTTCATATCTTCGCAGAGTTTATTTGTTTCCGCTATTTTCCTCGAGTTTGCCTCTTCTTGAACTCTCAAGGCCTCTTCTTGATCGCTCTTCATCGCTATTGCAAATGCAATTCCAGCGTCTTCACTTACCTGACGTTTCTCCTCAGCCTGGCTCACGATTTTTTTGGACACTTCTGTCGCCTCCCGTTTCTTTGCCTCCGCTTCTCGCATGATCTTATCTGCATGTGCCTTGATTTTTGATGCCTCTTCTCTGGCCTCGGCCTTTATTTTTTCACTGATTACCACCACACGTGACTTTGAATCTTCAGCATCTTTCTTCACTTTTAGGGCTTGCTGTGTAATATTTGCCGCATCCGTTTTTGCTTTTGCCCTGATCAAGTCAGCTTCCTTCCGTGCGTTTTCAACGCTTTCCTTCACTGTAACAGCCTCTTTCTTTACTTCCTCGGTTTCTGCCTTCTTAGCCCCGATATCTTGCTCCAAAATTTCGGCGATCTTCTTCAGGTTTTCAATCTCTTTCTTCGCCTTCTCGGCCTCTTTCTCCGCATTCTCAGCCTCTTTCTTCGCCTTTATAAACTCCTTGTATTTTTTCCCCTTTTCTGAGTCGATCTGCACAAGCTCAGCTTTCTCCTGTATTAATCCGGCAACAGTTTTCCTGGCTGCTAGATCCCTGGTTTGTTTTTCAATCAATATTCCTTGCACCCTGATGATTTCTTGCAACTCCATGAGGCGCATATCATACACCCTCTTGAATTCCCCTATCTCTTGATCATACTTTAATTTCTGTGCTTCCCTTTTCTCCTTTTCGTTAACTCGCTTTTTTATTGCTTGCTGTATAATTACAGAAGCCTCCTTTCTTATCTTTTCGGCTTCCACCTTAGCATCCTCAATGATTTTTTGGCCCTGGAGTTTGCTTTTTTCGCCATCCTTCTTGATTTTCTCGGCTTGAGCCATTGTACGTTCCTGCATCTTGATAGCTTCGTTGGTCATATCTTCGGAGCGCGTCCTAACTTCCATTGCTTTCGCCAATATATCTTTTTCCATCCTTTTATTACTCTCTAAAATTGCTTCGTTTTCCTTCTTTGCTTCCGAAATCCTCTCCTCTGTTTTCTTCAATATTTCTTCAGTCTCTATCTGTATCTGTGCCTTATTCTTTATGAGCTGCTCAGTCTCTATTTCCAATTCATGATCATCCATCCTCTTCTCGGAGCTTTTCCGGGCTTCTCCGGCAAATTTCACTTTTCCAGCTTGTTCGGCAAAGTACGTCTTGACCAACCTAATATTTTGCGACTCGTTGGTGATAGCTTTACAGACCTCTCCACTTTTTGCTTCTTCTGCGAGCCTTGCTGTTTCAGCTGCCTTTTCTAATATATCTTTTTTCATTCTTTCGGCACTTTTGACACTTTCTTTTGCCTTCCCGTTTACTTCATCGATAATCAACTTGGGAGAATAATTATAATGCCCGGTTTGCTGCAACTGTGGTGCCCCCAGGTCAGGATCTGGCCATGCGACCCTGAACCTCTTTCTCAAATCTTCCTCGCGATAACGAATATCCCGAAGTGCTTTTGATTTCATGTTTTGAATTTCTCCCAGTGTTTTTAACCAGATATTTTGTGCATCGGATTCAGCATCCAAGCGAGTTTTGGTCGCCATGGCTGAAGCCATGATATGGGAGTCAATCCCCTCGGCCCACATCAACTTGGCTTGTGAGACAATCCTGTCTGCCTCAGCCTGGGCCTTTAGGACTATCTCATTTGCATGAGTCATAGCTAACTGACCATAATGCTGGTTGTCTTTAATAGTCTTTTTCCCAATTAGAACTCTTTGGTCACTTAACTATTTATTTCTGGTTTACGTACCTGATACTCCCTGAGTATTTCGACAGGACCTGTTATTCCAGACGTATCCTGTGAGACTTCATCGAGGTAGTCATGAGAATTAGCCTGAGAGATAGTTTCAATTCTCTTGGTCTTTGGCTCCTGTGTCCCATTGGAACAGATTATCCCCGTAAGTTGCTCATCAATATCTGTTACCTGATCTACTCCAAACTCAGGTACCCCGTTATGGAACGGCCGATTCTCAATCCCATCAGTCAATTTCGAGAAGTACGGTAAACCATTTGAACCTTCCTTCTTAAATCTATCTGGACTAGTCCTTGCACTTGACATGATATATTTCGCGTCATTCGGTCCCTTCGAACTAAGATTATCGCTTGAGCTGCTAAGGTGGGACATTTCTGGACTACGCCGCGTGGGAGTTCCATCGGATGAATTGGCCTCTACTGACCCAGCTTTATCGTCCTCTGTGTGGGGTGTCTGGCAGGCCATTAATATTTTATCCATTGTCATGTCCATGATTTCTTTGGGAATCCAAATATGACCACAGGGAAGACATCTTAGGTAACAGTCGTGGTTTGACACATTTCGAGACATTGAACTCTTTATGGCCAGTTCTGCAAGAGCTTTAGCTTGTTCGTAACCGAGTAGTATTTGAGCCCTATTTGAATGGTTACTATCTTTGTAAGATAGTATATCAAGACAGTCATTTTCGTGGGAACCAACATCCATGGCAAGCCGCTTTCTTATGCGTATAAATCGTTTGTAGCTCTTAGGATAAGGCCCACCTTCTGGGCTAAATTGACTATCTGATATGGACTTCCACCAAGTGACAAGAGGCTCCTGATTTGTATAGAGCTCAACCCGAACAAATGGATTTATGTTGGACTTCCCTCTCAGGGATTCAATAACTTCCAAAAAGGTCTCAAATGTAACTAATTCACACATCCCTCGTCTATCCCTCTCTGACTTTGAAAAGAATTGGAGGTGGTCACCGAAACAGGGAATCCATGTATTTAAAGATACTTCTGGCCCGAGGAAGACGCCGATACCAAGGATAGGTCTCCATGACTCCTCTCCTAGACCGATCACTGCAATATCCGTATAAATTCTCAGTGTTCGTTGATCACTTGAATCATAGGGGAGTAGGGGGTAGAGTGAAAATCTTGATGGCATAATATATCCTTCCGATATGGATACGAAGGACATATAGTTGAATCTCTGAAGAAAACCTATACCAAATATTCCATCGACCCCTTTTGTAGGAAGATCAGCTCGATGCCATATCTGAGTCCCTTCGAGCATAAAATTAATGCCAAAGAGTTCCCATGTAACAGTATAATCCGGCCATGGTACTGTTGCACCGTAATCCGAAGAAATAATTGTCATCTCCAGTCTTGTATCAATACAGACACGAATGTAGTGTTCCTGGTTCAAAGAGCTATCAGTGGGAGAGGTAAGTTTTAGTAGCGGTTGAAGTGTTGGACCTGTGTAGGTATTTGGGGCACTATCAAAATCGTTATCTAGTAGCCTAGTGGTTCCGATTGTTACATCCATCTTCAGGTGTTCTGGCCCAGCCGATGGATTCAAGATTTCATCTAACGGCCCATATTCAGAAGGTGCTGCTGTATTTGCATTTTCAACAGCAGCTGGCTCTGATCCGGAGCGGTTTTTGGGTGGATACACGGAGACCCCGGAAAAGCTAGCCTTGGAATTCTTATTTCTTAGTTGGTATTAAGATCTTACTTAGAGCGATTTGCTAAATACTCACTTCTCTCTCAGGACTGAGCATGATTGCCTGTTCTGAAGTTGTTTCAGGTCCTCGTTCGATTCGACTAGATGTCGTCTCGATGGTCATGTTTGGGTCGAGCTCCTATATTCCAAACGGTAAATATATTAAACGTTAGTGGGATTTCATGTATCTGCTTGCTCTTGAAAAGGGTTTCAGGCAAGATGTATACGTTTACGGGTTGTGTTTGTTGAGTAACAGTAGTCACTTGAAGGCCGTCAAGTGGCTGTAGAGGATAATTATTTTGTTTATGCAGAGTATGGGGTGGTGGAGGGCGTATATCGGTTTGAGGTTATACATGTACTTGTCTACATGTAGTGCTGATGAAAAGAACAGATAGGGCCAGGTTGACCTGTTCGGAAACTTAGATGGCTGGCTACTTGCATGGATCGTGTATTTGGTTGGTTGAAAATACACGTTACTATCAATGTCAAGGCCCGGTTAGCTTAGTGGTAGAGCGTGTGGCTTTTACAGGACTGTATCCTCTGGAAGTTTACCTCAAGGTCGCGGGTTCGACCCCCGCATCGGGCTAGTAACTATCTTTTTGATGCTTCTACTGCAGCATTGGTAAGTGATGCTAATGTTGATGGTAGTCCCGTTCGCAGACCCTTACGCGCTGTCTTGACACAGAAAGCAGTATGGGCACAGGGCAGCTATGTTGATGGACGTAATGCTAGCATCACAGAGAAGAATTACAACAGTCCTCACTGTTAACAGACTTACTTGGGAGGTGTACTTTAGTAGCATGTGCTAATCGTTTAAGAAATCATAAAGGGTTGATCCAATCTAGATACTTGTGTATCCTTGCACCGAATTTACATGCAGAAAGCTATCGAAACTACGTGTGCTTTATTTTATTGCTTATCTCGAAGACGATTGAGTACGAATGTTAAATCTTATGTATTACAAGTGTAATGCAGCCTCTGGCGCAATTGCAAATGTGCGTGTGGTGAGTAAATAGAATTCCGTAGTTTATTGTGGTTTCATTATATCCCCTCGTCTGACTTTGGATCGATTGGATAATACATACTGCTGAGGTTGTCAGTTTCAAGTTGTCCGTCTATCCCTTGGACGGATGAAACTCTCAAATTCGCAGCTTCCCTCTTTCAGCTAATACTAGCTAGATATGGTAACTCGTGCTGATTTTGATTGGCTCCATTACTTCAACCGCACGCAAAAAGCAACAAACTTACCTGACTAAGTGCGTGCACGGACCAAGCTACGAATTTGAGAGTTTCATCCGTCCAAGGGATAGATTCGCTAAAGCTTGAGAGAGTGAAATAATACTGTCCATGATATATATATGATCTCGGTCCTTCTTTCTCAAAAAAGAGCTCCTAATAAAAATATGTAGTTCAAAAAAAGATAGTTTTACTCTTCTAAAGATCATCTAGATAGAGGGTTCAAGATTGATATATTAGTATCAAACTGGGAGCCTTCCCGTGGATATTTTTAAAGATTTGTAGGCGTTCAAATGTGGTCTGTAGATCCCCCCAGAGGGTGCCTACAGAGTTGCTGTGAGCCGTTTCTATGCAAGATCTGTAATTTATCTTCAAGGCTTCAAGTTTGAACACCTTCAGAATATCTACGGGAAGGCTTCCACTATTTCTATAATTATATCAGTATTTGCCCTTTCAATGTCAACTCCCTTCCTTTCCCTAGGGAGCAGTTATTTGTCTATATATCTGATGATATATCTAGCTGTTGTATGCATGCAGACTATTCAATCATAAATATTCCTGACCGTCGACCACGCCGATCAAGACTATTATTTAAGAACGACCTATTTTTAATGATACATAATTTGTCAAAAATAGTAGTAGTACGTACATAACTCGTGTATCTTAATGTTTGAATAATGCCGGCGAAGCAACCACGATCTTGAGCTCGAAAGGCTCAGACTTTGGGATGAGACCGGCTTTTCGGACTCGTCTTAAACTGGCTCAAATGCGGGTATTACCATACATACAAACATGAATGACTCAATCATTTCATCACCGATAAGCCTACCGGAGCATGATAATAACCTTCATTGGAGGTTGGTGATAGGTCGTATCCTACCAGCGGAGAGCGAGAATGTTAATGCAGTCGTTGACAAAATTAGGTCTCACGGCCTAAAATAAAACCTTGACACATGCACAAGAGTGCTCTCTAATCTGTAGAAATTCCCAGGTTGATTAGAACAGAGTACTAAAATTGGCCGGTATTCAACAATGCTGCCCTTCTTGCATGGTGGGCATAGTGCAACGAATTAAAGGCCGACGTCACACTGACCCACATATGTACCCAGCCCAAGAAACCCAAGAAAATCAAAAAAGATCTTTGTGAGTTTTAAATACTCTAGAGTACATATTTGCAGGATATTTTTAGCAGATATAAGGTCGTACAAACGTGCTACCTGCGGCGTGTAGGTATATACCAATAATATGTAGAGTTTACTAGGAAGTACCTTGTGACAGTATTTCCATCTACCGAGTTTGAGTTTCCTCTGGTTGCACTGACAGTGGGTAAATGCATGGCTAGGGTTACCTATTGCCCTCGTTAATTCAGGGTTAGGGTAACCAAAAATGATAACAAGATGGTGAACACAGACTATCACTCGGTAGGCGGTACCATTGGAGAAAAAACAGTGCTTTTTTAACATTACAACGCATATCGCTATGATTACCTGCAGTATTTTGTTTCTTGTCCTCGACTTCGACTATCTCAGTTTGTACACACATGGCTTGAGAATCTTGCTCTCATCTACCTCACCCTCCAAGAACTTTGACTTCTTCTTTTTCGCCTTCCAGGTCTCCCCCTGTCCCTGTCTCTCGCTTTCTTCTTCATCGTCTTGGATCCTCTTTTCACGCTCAGGAATTTTTACAAACTCCATACGAACAAACATTTTATTTCCAGAGTCGACCTGTCCCCGCAAAGTAAACCCACGTTTGGAAAGTGCGTCGATGAATGACTTGTATGTCTCCGTATCCGGCTTCTTGCTGCCATCTGGCTCGATACTCTCGCCATCATCTTCCTCTTTCTTGCCTTTCTTGCTGCCAACTGTTATACCTTTGGTTGACGCAGGGCGATGAAATCGGCTCTTAATCTCCGCGACCCACAGCTCCCCGCGCCATCGCAGTACGCGATACGCTTCCTCAATAAAATCGAGGAAATTGATCCCCATGAGAGCGAGACAGAATATGACAATATCAACACTCTCGGGTTCTAATGGGAGGTGCGCGATATCAGCCACTGTTACATCTTTGGTTGAGGCCTGCAGATCGTAGCTTAAAATCTTGACTTTGCCCTTCCCGCGAGGCTTTTGGTGGTTGATCGTTGCGGCGATCTTTGCGTCACCGCACCCCAAGTCTGCGACTGTGCACCAGCCTTCCTCGCGATCTCTCGGCAGAGGGAGGAGCCCTTTCTCAGTATTATTCCATTTCTTGTTGTGCCCTCGCTCAAATTTGATCTTTGAACGGTCTTGCAGCGCCTTGATGAAGATATCTACCGGATTTTCTGGCCACACCTCGACCTGCCGCCGGAAACCGGCATGGTATTCCTGGTACATTTCGGGCTGGGAGGTAAAGAGTGAGAGCGAAGAGTCTGAGGGTGTAGTATAGAGAATCTCATTGATATGACGGAAGCGCGCAGATGTGAGCTTAGCGCGCATCTTCTGTTGGAGAGGGGTCAGTGCTGGCATTGTGGAGAGCGCGGGTTTAAGTGTAGCGGGAGGATCGGGGGCTACCGCTGCGGGGGTGGTCGTCTCGGGGTCTGAGATCTTTTTGTTGTCTTGCTTTTTCTTCTTTTTCGGAGGTGCCGCTTCGTCTGATGCTGCGTCTTTGGGAATCCCGGACTGGTCTCCGTCGTCTAGTTTGCTGCGCTTCTTTTTCCGGCCCTCCTTCTCCTTCGCTGGTGCTGCGGGATCATCCTCCTTTGTGGTGGCAGTGTCTTGTTCTACCACAATCCTTTCCTTCTTCTCCTTCCTCTTCTTTCTGTCGCGGGACCTCTTGGCTGCCTTGCCTTCAATTACTTTCTCGTAGAGTGCCAACACATTATCGGGAGTCACCACTGTGTTCTTTACAGATGTGTTGTTATTGCTGCTGTTGTTCTTATTAGGGACTCGCTCAGATTCTAGTTCCGCAGCCTCGACGGCTTCATCCATACCAGGAAGATTCCGTTTTTTTGAAAGTGGGATGGCATTGGTATCGGATGCGGTGTTTCCGGATTTCTTCTTCTTGGGGTTATTTGTGTGCTTCTTTGAGGCCTTGCCGGTCTCAATGACCTGGGTCTTGGGAGCCGTTGCTAGGTTCCAGCCACTGACGGCAAACATGATTGCCTATCTGCTGTAGTCTTTGTGCGTTGGTGGCGATGATGACTGTTGTGCTGTTGTTGTTGTCGGAGGTGTTCGCAAGGTCACTGTCGTATGAGAGACGGAATTTTTTTTTCGGCGTTGCTTGTTTCGTGTAACATGCAGGGTCAGGGCTGTTTCTTGGCGAGTGCTATACCCGTTATCTGATTTGATAGTGAGATAGCAATCTTATCTCATACATGTACCTACATGTAGACACAAATCATGGTGTGCTAGAATCATTCACTGCGCATGAGCACGAGATAGGTGCATGAGTACAATACACAGAGGAGAGTGAGTGGGGTTGAGTCGATCTTACCTACACGCATAGATGGTCTGATTCTTAGGGGGGCGTACATGTATGTACTTGTATGCATTTATCATGTACTCAACTTGCTCTGGAGTACAAATTGCAAAACGCTCTGTAGAGTAGTGTCACAGGGGAGATCACTTTAAGCCTTGTGTTGACAAATGGATGGAACATGTATATACATGTAGCCAGACTTTCCAGGGTAGAAACAAGGCATGAAATCACGGCCTGGTTGAACATCAAGGGCCATATGTAGAGACAAACCCTGAGTAGTACAAGCAGCTACTTGCAGGTAGGTACATACATGTCTGTAGAGTACCTCACCAGCTTAGTATGAACACGCGGCGGGAAGACTTTTGGTATCAGATCCATAGAATATGTAAGGAAAGACAGTGAGAAAAACCACATATATCTCTATAAATATATTTTATCCCCATCGAACTCCATGTACCTATCTTGATTACTTTGGGCTGGCTCGACGAGCCTGTCCTAGGAGCCTCCTTCCTGCTGATAGCATCAGGCTCGTAATTACATGTACTCTTCCTACAAAATCTTGAAGATTTATATCACAAAAACAATTACTACATGTAAGTTAGTGGTAGGACCTGCATGCCCCACGCCCAGCTTCCCAATGCTATTTTTGATTGAGAAAAAATGTTCTGTTCGCCGGGCTGAAATCCGTTTACTTTATATCTGCACAGAATGATACGTAACGTACGTATAGCTCCCTGCACCCATTGCCGATTATTCATCATCTATGTATGGGGCGGCGGAAAGGCCGGGAGGTTGCACAAAGAAAATTCTCACTCTTACCAATTGCTCTCAAGTATCACGACATGGACAGGTTAAGAACTGCTATTCTAGAATATGATATGCTAACTCCATTTGCCCCACGATTTATTAGCGGGCCCCTTCTGTGGGGATTAAATATAGAAACCTTTGCTCCAAGTGGGGCTTGCACATCCCCAACTTAAGCTTCTTTTCCACGTTCGGCACGTTCCAGCGTCGCACTCTGAGGTCCACGTTGTTGACCCGAGAAAGGGTTTCGCGATATCACATCGATCGATTTCAACATCTTGCTCTCCTGGGGAGGGCATCAATTTCCAGGTCAATGTGAGAAAGATTCTACTCGTACGGACCCCCCCCCCCCCCCCGAATACGAGTACGCGGAGTCAATTGATGCCGAGTGAGTGGATTGTTTACGGCACAGACATTTGGCTACAGAAAGTGCGGTCTTTCCTTTTTTTCATTCTTTCCCGTTGGTTCTTCGGGGAAAATAATTCTTATTTGCCCGGCCTTTAAGTCGGTTGTTCATCGACGTATCAGCAACGGAAAACCCCGAGATTTCAGCTGAAGTTGAGCAGATCGTGCATGAAGACTAGTTCATAGAAAACTAATTTTATAGCCCTACCGAATGCATGATCTGCTATGCGAACCGTTTTTAGAGCAAGGCTAGCAACACGCGCAATTGATATGTAGCGAGTACTAATCCAACAGTTGATAGGATCAGTAACCTGCGCATTTAGGGTACTCTACTATCATTACTCATCTGCCTGTGCTTTAGAGAAAGCGATGTGCCTTTGGTTTGCGTTCTATGCCTTTGATTTATATCCAGAGGTGAGGGTCGGTGTGGTTAGTCGGGAAACCCAAATGGGTGTGTGTAAACCCTCGGACCAACAACCACAACAACGGCCAATTGAAGGGGTGCCACAGCCTGTGGCTTCCATGAATAACTCTGCGGTTTGCCACACCATATCTTACCTGGGAATCAATTGACTCGCATCCAAGGCGTCAGGGATTCTTGTGAACTGAGACCGGTCTATGTCTCAGTTTCAGATGTCACGGCGAAATGGGAAACGGTTGCCAGTTAACCCCGCTGAATTGAACTTGGATTGTCTTTGCCAAGTCTTAGTGCGCGGGTCAATGGAAAAAAGCAAATCTGACGCTGCCGGAGGAACATTCGTCCTGGCTCGCTTCTTTGTGCAATTGGAGGGAGGTGTAACATATCGATGTTTCTGTTCTGCGCAGTAGGAACATTTGTTAGAAGACATGGGTCTATTTGCTTCCATTTCCCGTGAGAGGGTTTAAACTTTGGGGTTTGGAGGGTGGTACCTGTATGGCTCGGAGGCGCCGATAGATGTCTCTCCCAGAACTATATTTTCTACGGGTACTTGGCGTCTGGAAGGGACGAGGATTTCTAGCCCCATATCATCTCTTTGTAGCGAGGCCCAGTATGATAAATCGGCAAGTTGAGTTTTCCATCTTCCTACGAAAGTGCCATAATTTCTAGAGCTATCTCTGACATTAGAACAATAGTACACATGTACCCTCATCCTATTTAACCCGTTTTTGGTTGAATTCTTCCTCTCCCCCCACAGTATAGTAATCTAAATTCGGTCACGGTGTGTACGAATAGCTACATGTACTCTACCTTTGGACACATCCCGTTTTTCTACCCTGCATCCCGGTCCAAAGGTAGGAAGGAACGCTTTTAGTTGCCCTTTTGCATCTACATCCCTCAGTTTCCGCAACTCCTAACCAGAAAGTCAGCCAGTTGGTGGGTTATATAACTGAGTGGGAGAGTGGAAGAAAAAAATGCAAGAGTGGTGAAAAGAGATTCGTTCATGTATGTACGATACAGTACCGTGCACCACTATTGGATTGGTTTTTATTCAGCTTGGAGTTCCACGGGTCTAAAGAGAACATCTCTATCCTCTCGGAGATTCTACTTCCTCTCTTCCCTTTATCCATAAGATTTTCTTCCCCACGGATCCCCCCATCACCCTGGTTCAATAACGCCTCCAAAAAGGACCATCTATTAGCTTGTCTTCATTGGTGTCACTACTAGTACTGTTACTCCACCTTTTTGTGCAATCAGCCCATCTCTACACATACACAAGCTTGGGTAACACAGACGGGAAACCTGAGAAGAAGGTTGTGGCTGGCAGAAAAAAAATCTGACGGGGGGGTCGTCTTGATTGTGATAGGTTCCCAGGAAGTGAATGGTGGAGAGATCATTCAAGGAGCCCGATAGTAAGCGAATCGGAGTGTGGGATTTATATTCTGTGCTTTCCTTCTTCCTCTTCTTTCGCCTATCCTTACTTTCCTTTCTGCGTATCTTTCACCGAGGAAGGAAAACAAGTCGAAGAAGAGAAAACAGACCGATTTCTCCAAGCTACCCCGGAAGAGTTCAGTAAACGAGTTTGCATCATCACACAGCAGATCAAGTTCACACTTTGAAGCAATCCAAATAATTCGGACAAGAGTAACTCGTACCTCAGAATGGACGAAGGGGCAGCTCCACTTAATCAGCAACAACAACAAACTACCGGGGGTTCACCCACAGAAACAACAGATGGCACCGTCTCCAATTCAACATTACAGAATGAGGTCACCAGCGGTGAGAAGAGTGACAGTGGTAAGGTGGCTTCAGCAAGTGCTACCGCGAAGGCTTCGAGGAAACGTACAAAGACAGGATGTTTAAGTCAGTCGCCTACCAATCCCCTTGCTACATGGAGTGGAAAGAGACTTCTGTTAACATAGCAATGCAGCCTGCCGAAAACGTCGCATAAAATGCGGAGAAGAACGCCCAACCTGTGGGAATTGCATCAAGTCCAAACGTAACTGCGAGGGATACAACCAACGCGTCGTCTTCAAGGACGGTATGAACGGGATGTATAGGCCTGGGATGCTGGGTGCGGCAGGAGGTACGGGTGGTTCGTCAACAGATAATCGACGTCTCATACAACCATATCCCATCCAGCCTGCCCCTGCTCCTGGGTCGTCTGTTACACATCAGCCAATTGCAATTCGACCTGCACCGGTCCCACAGGCACAGGCAGAAACATACTTGAACCTCGCCCAGGACCAGTCTAAACCACCACATCTGAGGGCCATATATGCGGAACGTGGACAAGCACTCCAGGCCCATGGGCAGCTACCTCCCCATCCATTGACACCGTCGGATCCACATGGGCAACCCGAACAGTATGGACATCATGATCCATACCAGCAGCAGGTACCCGTGCCGCAGTCCAACGACACTACGGGCCAGTATCCACCCTACTATGAGCATATATCAGGTCCGGGGACGGGGTCCTTCCCTGGAGTGGTTGATAGGTCCCTTCCGCCAGGATCGTCTACTGAATTTGGTGCTCAAACATTTTTTCCAACACCTCAGTATATCGGATCATCGTCGGCGCCTTCTTTTCCATCGTCTCACCCGTCGGCGTCGAACTCATGTCCTTTCAACCCACCAATGCCTACAAAGTACAACATGGAACAGATGAATCAACCAGGGCAGGAGTTCTCGGATAATCGTAGGTCTCCCCTCCTCTGCTTCCCATGATTCTCCCAAGAATATGTGCCTTGAACGGCATTGCGTTATGTGAAGAATATGTTTGCGAACGTTTGCGTGTAGAATTTTTCTATCAATGAGAGGAGTGCGCGCCTGTCTGTTATGTGTAAATGTTGGGACTGCGTGGTTAAATCCATGTATGTGACTCCTCCTCTCAAATCTTTATATCTGCCCACCCCAATGAGTTATGCAAGACGATTTCTTCCTCTTTTCTTCCTCGTCATGTTTACTTAGAAGGCTTTTATATTGTACTTTTGTTTTTGTTTTTCTTTATTACGTAGTGATGTTTGCTACTTGCGAGCTCAAACTTACGTCGAAGGTATCCCGTCGTATTTCCGACGCTGACCCTGACAATGTAGCGACTTCCACGTCCTACCCAGAACCACCTATGATTGCTGCTCCTAGCCACGACCTCCACTTTCTCGGGCCAGAGACAGCGCACCTATCCCATCGTCGCGCAAGTGGGGTTGAATATAACGACGATGAGGACGATGATCTCTACGACGTAGAAGACGACGATGAGGAGGAGGAGGATGACGATGACGACGACGACTATGAAGTGCGTGAACTTGACCAGATGATGCTTGACCCGGACGGCCAATCAATCTCACCCAGAGCCCATATCAGCAACATCATCGCCCCACTCAGCAAGCATCTGAATGAGCACAGCAGAATATCATTCAGGAGCTTCCTGCCCGACCAGAACACACTAACAAACTACCACCCATCAATGGGCTCAAGCCCGCTCATGAACAGCACCACAGCGAAGATCTTCTGCCATTTTATATACGTCCTCGGCCCCAGCCTGTCGCTGTTTGAGCGGCAACCACCAAACCCCCACGTCGCATTCACGCCCGGGGCTGGGCTGCAGGGCCCGCAAAACGTGTGGTCATACACAGTCCCGATGCTCTCGCTGAGCCATCCGCCCCTGATGCACGCCATATTGGCACTGAGCAGCCTGCACATCTCAAAGCTCACCAAGGGGCCCTCGCACCCCAGCCTGCTGCACTACCATATTGCCTTGCGGCGGCTCGGAAAGGCGATTGCGAGCGACAAGCACAGGGGCCATGTCGCAACCCTGTCGGCAACCCTCCTCCTGGGGTACTATGAAACCATGGCCGCGGAACACGATAAGTGGAGCTCGCACATCCACGGCGCGAAGCAGCTGCTGAAGGAGATTGATTTCGACCGTGTGGCGAGGCGGGTCGAGATTCTGGATGAGCAGGATCGCATCAGCCAGCAGCAGCAGCGTGAGGGTGGCGGTCCGGGTGGTGAGCAGCAGCAGCATCTGCAGACAGAGGGCCAGCTCTGGCCGCCGCCTCCCCCGCAGCCGGGGCAGCAGCCGAGTATGCTCCGGCTGCGCAAGATGCGGAAGCAGCAGGTATACAACGACGCTGACGAGAACTTTGCCTCCATGCTCTCTGGGCATGGCCGTGCTGCGCGGAACCGCGGAGCCAGAAGAGGGGGACAGCAACAGGAAGGAGGGGGAGGAGGAGGAGGAGGAGGAGGAGGCACAGCAGCTGGAACGACCACCACTAAGGAGCTGGATGTGATGCAGTTGCAGGCAGACATGTTTTGGTGGTTTGCCAAGATGGACTGCTACCAGAGCCTTGTTAGTGGATGTCCCCTCGTGTAAGTTGTCGCCCCCAGCCTTTCGTTGCCAGCCAGCCCTAACCCTGCCACGTCGCTCTTTGGGGGGGAAGTCTAACCGCGGGAGGATTGGGATTGGATTGTTAACAGAAATAATAGATTGGACTACATTTACTGGTCGCAGTGTCCGCCCCGCGCGCGCATCGGCACGCTCGGCATGTCGTATGGCAGCTCCGACCACTACTTCCTCCTGCTCGGAAGGCTGTGCGCGTTCCAGGAGAAGGACTTGAAGAGGAAGAAGGCGGTGCAGAGGGCCAATGGCGGGATGTGGATTCCTCCGCCGGAGCTCGGAGGCCCGCCGAGAGGGATGGCTGGAAGAGGGGCTGGGGGATGGGGAGAGGGGGGATGCAGGGTCCACCCCCGGGGTGGACGGGCCCGCCGCCGCCCGGGTGGGGGAGAGGTGGGCCGCCGCAGGGAATGGGAATGGGGGGACCGCCGGGTATGGGTTTCCCGGGTGGACCTCCGGCTGGTATGGGGCCGCCTAATGGCATGGGAGGGCCACCGAATGGTATGGGAGGGCCACCTTCTGGCATGAACGGTATGCCGGGCATGAACGGTGAGAACATACAATACGGCATGGCACCCGCCCCCCCAGGCCCCCCGCGAGTCCCCCCAGCCTTCGCCCAAAACTTCCCCGAACTCTCACGCGAAAACGAACAGCGCCACCAATCCCAGAACGAACCCCCCGAAGACCTCACCGCCGCAACCCTCGAAGCCGAGCGCGAATGGTCCGCCATCCAACATGCATTCCACGTCTTCCAGCAGTCCCTCGGCGAGGAGTACCAGCCCCTGCCCATCGAATACATGCCCGTGCAGAATACGCCCTTCGGCGCCGCAATCTATTACCGCACCTACTCGATCGCAACACTGCAGATGCTCTACTACATGGCCATGATCGTCCTCGAGCGCTGCCACCCCTCCATGCCGGCAGTCACCATGATGGCCGCCGGCGTCGCGGCCCCCAAAACCGCGCGCATGGCAATCGACATTGCGCGCGTCACCGCGGGGCTAGTCCCCACGGACCCCAACGGCCAGATCAACCCCGCGCTCGGTGCTGGGCTTATCGAGTCGTCGATGCCGCTGTTCTTTGCGGCCGTGCAGTATCAGGAGCAGGCGCAGCGCGACTGGGTCGTCAGGAAGCTAAGGGAGATTACGCGGCTGACGGGGTGGGCGACGGCGTCGCGGGTGCTGCTGGGGTGTCAGAGGGCGTGGGAGAGGGCCGCGGAAATGGGGAAGGGGCCCAGGTATGAGAGGCCGCCGTTTGAGGAGGAGGGAGAGTTTTTCTATGAGTGGAATTTGGGCCCGGGGGGTGCTGCGGCGGCGGCGGTGGCGGAGGCGGGGAATGGAGAGGGGAGGTATTTGTGGAGGAGTGCGGGGAGGAGGTTGGCGGGGGCGGCGGGGATATTGGGGCCGTTGAGGGAGGATTTTGGGGTGGGGGGTTTGACGATTTAGGGGGGTGGGGTGTGGGGTGTGGGTGTGGGTGTGGGTGTGGGTTGTTTTTGAGGGTAGGGTAGGGTAGGGTACGTAGATACATGTATGTACGATAGGAGCTGGCGATATTAGTTGCTATCGCGAGCATGTTTCTATAGTTGTGGATTTTTGTTATTATTTTTTGATACTGTGTATATGTAAATTAAAACTAGGAAAAATATATATGCAAATGGTTCGGCTACTTAGTTATATAAACTACATACACGATATATCACCCGTCCGAGAGATCGAGTGATTATCCATGCCGCATCATCATCAACCCACACCCCCAGCCCAGCACATGCACAGCTCCTTGTTTAACAACCCTTACCCTGGTTCTACCTACCTACCTACCAAGCATCAATGACTGCTATTGCCGCTTTTTTTCACCAATGGATATGGAATGCGGTGCTTAGGCCCGATCTTCACATAGCGATGCATGCATATATACGGCGCCGGTGGTTAGTGCTGACGGCAGATACAGGTGTTTTTCGTGTCAGCCCTGGATGGATTGAGTAATTCGGGTTCGTCCGTTGTTGCAGCCTTGGGCCGGCTTGTGAGTCATAGCTATGGGTTGGGTTGGGTTGCGGTGAGGAGTTCTTGGGTTCTGCGGTAGGTGTTTGTGTAGACATACGGCGCTGTAGGTGCTAGCTAGCTTCAGTGTGGATCTAGAGTACGGGGGAGGCGGGGTGTCTTTGCTTATTTGCGATACTCTGCTCTCTCTACCTGCAGGTAGTTCACCTGTTCACCGGTGCTTGTAGGTGCTGTTTACTGCTGGGATATGCAGAGTACAGCTTGCGGTAGAAATATGGGAGGAGTCCTATTGGCTTGCCCAGCCATAGAAACCCTGTTTTTAGACCTTGTTTCTACCTCTCGCTGTATATATGGTATCGAGAGTTGGGCAATGCTTACTTGCCTGCTTGCTAATTTACTTGCATATAATTACCTACTTGCAGCCCCAAGTAATCGCAGCTAACTAGCGGTAGTTGGTATGTACCTGCGTGGAGTAGATACATGAGGAATGTGCTTCTGTTGCGCAAGTAGTCTATCCCTGCCTGGCATGGGGTATCATAACTCCCGGGTCTATGCTGTGGTCTGTGGTCTGTGGTGGCGGTCTGTGGTGGTCAGTGCTTGTGGTGGGGGAGTCAGTCCCCAAGTCTGCGGGGTAAACACCACCCCTCCTCCCCCTCCTCCTCCTCCTGTTATATAAAATACCACCCCCGCCCCCCGCCCTCCCCCTCCTCCCCAAACAAAACCACACACTTCACAATGTCCCCCACCACCCCCTCCTCAACCGCCGCCTACTACCACACCTACACAACCACCCACCCACCCCCCCACCTCGCCGCCCACCTCCTCGCCGACCAGCGCCTCATCCGCCAGAACCTGCCCCCCTCCCCCCTCGCCCTGCACATCCCACACCGCCTAATAGACCCCATCGCAACAGCGCTCTGGAACCCAACCACCGACGGGCCCCCACCGCCGCTCCCGGCGCTCCGCATACGATACCACGGCCTCATCGCGACCATCAAGAACGCCATCACCGCGCCCCCGCAGCCTGACCCGGCGCCGGCGAGTATTGTCCCCACGGACGCAGACTTCGAGGCCGCTGTGCGCGTGCTGGAGTTTTTGCAACGCGTGCCGAGCACCCGGGTTGCGGGCGACACGCCGCTAAGGGATGTGGTCGTTGCGGTGCGCGCGCTGTGGGGCGTTGGCAGTGATGGGCGGGGGCGTATGCGGCGCTGCATCCGGGCGGTGCTGTGGGCGGCGGGGGCAAGAAGCGTGGTGGGGGGAAGAGGAAGCAGCAGCACCAGCAGCAGAGGTGCTATATGTGCAGGTACCACAACGCGACGCCGCACCCGCTGTACCGGTCGCTGTGCACGTCGTGCGGCGCGTTCAATATTGCGCAGTCGGGGCTGAGCGCGCCGGGGGTGTTGCGGCTCTCTGGGCGCACAGCGCTGGTGACGGGGGGGAGGGTGGGGCTGGGGTTTGAGGTTGTGCTTAGGCTGTTGAGGTGTGGGGCGGCGGTGGTGGTGAGTTCGCGGTATCCGTGGGATGCGGAGAGGAGGTTGAGGATGGAGGGGGATTTTGGGGAGTGGCGGGGGAGGGTGGCGGTGTTGGGGGCGGACTTTCGGAGGATGAGGGATGCGGCGGGGTTGGTGGCGGGGGTGAAGAGGGTGCTGGGGGAGTGGGGGGCGGGGAAGGGGGCGGGGAGGGGGAGGGGGTGTGTGCTGGATGTGCTGGTGAACAATGCGGCGCAGACGCTGACGGACTCGGCGGGGAAGGAGGGGAGGGCGGTGGGCGTGGAGAGGCGGTTGAGGGAGGAGGGGGAGGGGAGGGAGGGCGGGGTTGTGAGGGGGCAGGAGGGATATTGGCCGAAGGTGAGGGGCGGGCAGAGGGGGATGAGGATCATTGCTGCGGTCGGGGAGGAGGAGAGTTATGGCGGCGAGTGTGATGCGCCGCGGGCGCAGGAAGTGCCCGGGCAGGAGGTGCTGGAAGAGACCGCACCAGAGGAGACACAGACACTACCGGAGAATGATGGCGCACTAACACAGCGGCACCAGTCCTCCTGGACGCAGAAGCTCGCCGACATCCCGTACCAAGACATCGGCGACGTGCTCGCCATCAACTCCTTCGTCCCACTCCTGCTCATCCGCGAGCTCCTCCCACTCATGGGCCACCCCCCTCCAACCTCCACCTCCACCACACAGGCCCCAGAAGACAAGCCCACAAAGCCCGCAGGCTACATCATCAACGTCTCCTCGCGCGAAGGGCTCTCCGAGGCCTCGCCGGACGCGAGCATCAAGGGCGGCCACCACGTGCACACAAACATGTCCAAGGCCGCGCTCAACATGATCACCGAGACGGAGGCGCACCCGGCGTGGGCGGGGCGGAGGGTCGCGATGAACTCGGTGGATCCGGGGTTCATGAGTGCGGCCGATGGGTCGGAGTGCCCGATTGGCTGGGCGGACGGCGCGGCGAGGGTGCTGTGGTGTGTGGCGAAGGGGGAGGTGGAGGGCGAGGCCGTGTGGGGGAGGTTTTTGAAGCATTTTGGGGGCGTGGAGGCGGTTGTGAGGGGCGTGTGAAGGGTCGAGTGATGGGCGGTGATGTGGGGGGGGGAAATGATTGTTGGGGGGCTGGAATGGGGGTGTAGAGAAGGGCAGTGTGTTGTATTTTAGTGTAGGTAGATTTAGTTGGCATTCGTTTTCCGCACTTTCTCGGTATTCAGCCCTTCTTCGGCGTAAATAAGGCTTGGTAATGGCCATCATACGGCCCAGTGCCGGCAGTTGTAGGCCGCCGAGTGAGCATGCATATTGCCAAACTAAACACACACACATCTGATCCATACATACACACATGTATCTGCCCTTACCCCGCAGACCCCCATCATCATGCAGGCAGTGCAATAAATGACTCATGACATCTGCCCAGCTCTAGTAGCTCTCGTCTGGAGTATATAAACCGAGTCCAGGCACCTCCACACCCGTCCCCATACCCACCCATATCTATCCCAAGTCCCCTCAACACACCCAAGCTATATATCCAACCCCCACCCACAATGCCGCCCACCCCCGCCATCGACCCCACCACGCTCTCCGACCTCCCCGCCCCCACACTCCACAAAATCCTCTCCGACCTCCCCCTCTCCTCCATCCTCTCCCTCGCCGCCACAAACACCCCCCACATCACCACCTGCATCCTCACCCACCCCACATACAGCACCCACTTCCCCACCCCCGCCGCCCTCGAAACCGCAGCCGCCTACCACACGCTCCTCACCGCCATCGCCGCCGTCGCAGGCCACAACTCAAGCCCCGCAAGCCACATCATCGACTCCACCACCCGCAGCGCCTACCACCCCGCCTGGACCCACGCCCGCACCGTCCAAGAGATCAACGCCCTCGCGCCAAACGACATCCACTACTTCGCGCAGTTCGACCCGCCCGCGTCCAACATCTGGGACAGCAGCAGTCTGCCGCGCCTGCAGGCGCGCTTCGACGAGGTGGTGCGCAACAGCGCGCGCCTGCAGGCGGAGAAGCTGGCGCAGCTGCACAGGATCCATGCGCTGCGCGAGGGGCATGTGGGCCGGTTGAAGGCGAAGATGGATCCGTCGCAGGAGCCGCGGCCGAGGGGGTGCCGCTGCTGGAGCGATTGGGGGGGCAGGTGAGGATGTTGCGGGCGGGGGTGCCGAGGGAGAGGGTGGGGAGGTGGTCGGGCGGGGTGGAGACGGTGAAGGTGTGGAGGTATCTGGGGAGGTGGGTGCCCGTGCCGTATGATCGGTATTTGGTGATGGTGTTGAAGGTGTTGAGGAGGTGGCCGTTGGCGGATGAGGCGATGCCGGGGGTGGTGGTGGTGGTGCCGGGGGGGGAGGGGAGGAGGAGGAAGGGGGTGAGGGCGGTGGAGGTGGTGGAGGAGTGGTTTGATGAGGGGGAGACGTATAGCGTGGTGCCTGCTGCTGGTGCGGAGGGTGTTGGTGGGGAGAAGCCTAAGGAGGAGGAGGCCGGGGAGGGCAAGGAGCCTGCTGCTGATGCTGGTACTGATGCTGATGCTGCGGAGAAGGTGAAGAAGGGTGGAAAGAAGATTAAATATCTCCCCTCCCCTAAGCGCCCCCACACGCACACCTACCCCGCCAGCGCGATCAAGAACATCCGCACCGCGCTCATCGGGCTCAAGTACACCTACGCCGTCCCGGGCATTTCCCCGCGGCCCAGGACAATGTACACGCCGTACTCTGCGCCCGAGTGCCAGAGCGTGCAGCGCAACATGCAGCCGTGCTTTGCGATGCCGGAGGGCCGCAACGAGCCGTTGGCGTATAGGCTGAACAATAAGGAGCTGGAGTGGCTGGAGGCGTTTCTGGCGTGCTGTGATTACATGAGTGGGATGCAGGAGATGTGGTTGGAGGGCGTGACGGTGGAGGAGTGGTGGAGGAGTAGGGAGTTGAGTTGTAGGTGAGGGTGGGTAGCTGCTAGCTATGTAGCTATGAGACATGCTTTGGCAGTACTAGCGTTAGCCGTTAAAACGCGGTTTTGCGACAAGTATATTTCTGTATGCAGAGGGGGAGAAATACATGTTTGTGAGGTTAATTTCCTTTAAAGCTGGACAAGTCCGTACCGGCAGAAACTTAGTGGTGCAGTCCCGTTCCATGCGAATAGCTATATATTTCAAAGTAAAACCCTTACTAGTATTGAGTGAAAGGTAGACAAGTCTATAACTGTGGTGATTCCGGTTGATTCCAGACTACTGAGTTCGGAGGCTAGAGACTCCCCCATTTAGCTGGCCGCGGTAGAATATATCGGGCAGCCAAAAGCCATACTGCTGCATAAAAGGAAAGGGTACAATATGCTATGCATGCATGCGCAGAGTACGCATATCTAGATCCTGCATAATAATTTGTCCCAGATTTCCGGGGATAATATTTGAGTGGCAATATATATATATATATAAGAATAGAACGAATATGATCTCTGATCGATTCTTACCACCTTTGTTACGCCCAGGACCCAGATTGCGGTCTACCGTTGACCTACATACATGTAGCTGACCAGCCATAAGCGGGAAGATCTGCCCGCCTGTGGTCCGGCCATCCCGGGGAATCCTACATATCAATACATGTGGGTAGCCCACTCGAGTAGCTACACACGTCAGCAGAATGGGCTGGACTGAGCCAGGTTGTCACTCTCCCGCTTCAGCCACTGCGGGGAGCTACATAGCTGATCATCCCGCGGTGAGGGGGTGAAGGTGTTGACCCTGTCCTGCAGCTGAGTACAGCGGGCAACCCACATGTGCAGTGTCCTTAAGGCGTGAGTGGTATCTTAGCCCGGCGGAGGGGACTTTCCTCCGTTCCTCTCCCGCTCTCTCCCTCGCTCACTACGCCCACTCACGGTATGCTGGCGAATCCTGGATAATGGCGGCCAGGGAGTGCTGCAGCACAACTGAGTGAGTACACCTGAGAGTGTTGGAATTAATTGCCAAGGTGAGTTCAGCATTCTATTATGACCGCTAGACGGCTTAGCCACCCAAACACCCCCCCCTCACTCGAGAATTTAACGCAAACAAGAAAGGATCTTCGCTGTAACCGGCTACTATACGTATATACCGTTGTTTCACCAATCACCACCCACTGTCCGAGTGAGGGGGCGTTCGAGTGGCTTTGGAGGCAGTCCGTCGATATCAATACAGTCTGTCATCCACACCTCGTCAGTAACCTCTCCGCAGCACACCCACCGACCCGAGCTTTGACCCCTCGCACGCCTGTTGCATGTATGGGAACCTTTCTAAACGGGTTCATCCCGGCTGGATCAGCAGAATAGGCGGGCCGGAAGCGTGCGTCCACCCACCATCATCGTAAGTAAGGTTAGGCCCGGGCCAGTCTGTGAGCACGATTAGCCAGATCTATTTCGAGTTTCAGAGGTCCAGGCCGGTGGCTATTCTGCTTGCTGATATCGATAACAATATGGTCCCACTTACCTGTCTCCTGGCTCGCTACACAATGCGGAAGGCGTCCCCCCCTGATCGCTCAATCTAGCCAATCAGGCCTGTCCCGGCCGTCTCCTCTCTACACCCATTTGCCCGCTCCGTCCTTATTCCTGGTTCCAACACACACCAACAGCGGAAAACTATGGAACGAGTATCCGACAAACTAATCGTCGCGTGGTCCACAACACTATTCAGGGCCACCAACTGCAATTAGGGGGTTCCAGAACCCGCCCGCCACTGCTCGCGGAGCTGTAACCAAAAAGCGGGTTTTTGTTGGTTCCCCCGAGTGATGGCCCATGACCCGTCACTCCTCTTAGCGCGGTGAGCTATGAGCACATGTCTAAATTTAAGGTTTAGGGCACCTCCGACCGCCCCACCGTGCAGAGAAGGCAACAAAAAAAAACCTGCAGCTTTGGTCGCTGGAACAGGCACAAGGCTGACCCCGCACAAAAGACATGTCTCATATAATAATAAATACATCCCCCCCCAAAACGGAGGTCACAGCCAGTCGAAGGTCAGTTTCGGTGATTAGTAAATAAAAGTAAGCTGAGATAGATGGTGGTGGTGTGTGTGTTGATAGCCCCACCACCACATAACCTGAGCTATGCGGGGAAGGGGGGGGGGGGGGGCGTATGGTGCGACTTTTGGAGTTGGGCGTCTCCATTGGACAGCGGATATCCCCGTGGATTATGCTAGTATGTTTCGAAATCCTGGGGTTCTGTCCGTGGTTCCTGGATGGCGCAATACGCTGGAAAATCCCATCCCGCAAAAACCGTCTGCTGAACCCCACATAAAATCATGCACGAGTGATATCCTGTGATCCCTACTAAATTCCCTCCTGGGACAGCCGGCGCCAGGGCGGGGATGTGTGATCTACAAAACCAACAATCACGCCCAGGATCTCGAAATCTAGACCCTCCTTGCTACATATCCGATAGCAAGCAGGGGCTGCACGCAGATCAGATATTTTATCGCACAGTCCCTCTAACGACCAGTGTATGAGTTTTTCCTATTTTCCTATCAGCACCCTTGCGGCTCTCAGCTCGCTCGAACCGCAAAAATAATAATGGGAAATGGTATGGGTACGTATAACTTTCTCACCGAGAAAGGTGAGGAAACATAATTCCCTCATGCTCGTTCGATCGAACACTCACACACACACACACTCACACTGTTGCAAGGTTGAGCGTCATTCGGGGGGATGATTGGGTTGGACTTTCCCAAACATTCGGGGGGTTAAAAACAAAAACACAGAAAACCAAAAACGAAAAAAAATGACAGAGAGACAGAACAGCAACATAACCGAGCGGGTAAGTAGGCGTACTAACAAGGGAGGCAAACAAAAAAAAGAAAAAGAGGGGGGCAAAAAAAAATCTCGAAGGCAGAAAGGAATGGAGAGGAAGGAAAGCAAAGCGGTCAGTTTTCTGTTCGTTTCAGCACACAGTCCGTTTCCCCATCTCGCGCCAGCCGTTTGATTGGCTGGGGCCAGCTGAGCGTCCCACGCATTCCAAACCCCAAGGGTTAGGTGAATGCGAGAAAACACCACATCCCCGGCGCAAATCACAAAGCCTCTCTCCTCTCTTTGCACGATACACCGCCAGATCCGCGGGTTGCCGCTATCCGCACGCCTTCCCACGCGGTCGTATCTTACCTAAGCCCTCCCTCCCCTCCGCTCTCTCTCGGCTATCTGGAGTTGTGCAGTCAACCCAGCTAGGATGTGCTATATTTGGCAGACTGCTATTAATTTATTAACGCATGTGCACTCACTCGCCTCACCTCACCTCACCTCACATCACTGACTACAACTACATACTAACAAGTACGGCTACAAACGGGCAATTGGGATTGGTTGGCTCCGACCGTACTCTCCCTCTCCCTCTCCCTCTCCCTCTCCCTCTGTACCACCGTCCCACACACGCACTCACGGAGGAGGAGGCAACGGGCAAAGGAGAGAGGAGGGGGAAAAAAAACATTCCCATGTGAACGCGTCGCATTCCCCCTTCAAGAGAGGTCATGGGTGGTGGTTTCCCATTATATCTGGAGTTTTCCGCAGGCCTACCTTACCTAGGTCCGAGGGGGCGGGGCGCGCGCGCGCGCGCGGGGCGGTATGCCAGAATTCGAAGATCACAGGGAATTCATGGGAGAGAGAGCGTTGATTATAATTATTATCAGTTAATTTAGATTTTGGTTTTTTTTTCTTCTTTTCTTGCCTTTTACCTCACAAATACATGCAGCGCGCCAAAGTAAGTAAGGTAAAACTAGGTAACTAACTCAGTAAGTAAGTAGTGAGGATGCATATTAAGTATAACTTGTGATAATTGCTGGGTCCAGCCAGACAGCAAATTGTGGCTGGGGGATGTGTAGGAATATTGCGAGAGAGAGAAAAAAGTCCACCCGGTAGAATGAGAAGGAGATGAGGAAGATGGGTTTCCCGATGGGGAAACCATTGAAGAGGTACACAGGGCTGAAGGGAAAAATAAGAAGTGAAGAAAGAACGGGGGATAAAAACCGAAAACATAGAAAGAAAAAACCCGAATACCATACAGAGACGAGAGAGATGAGAAAAAGAGGTAAGGTAGAAAGAAAAGAGGAATACCCAGAAGAGATAATAAAAAACCGAACGATAAAAAAAAGAGGCCCCATCTATAAAAATAACCCCCAAACAGATAAAGAAAACCCAAATACAAAATAAAAAAAAGAGGAAACATTAAACCTCCCAGAGAAAAGAAAAACGCCGAATAAACCCTCCCTCTCTACATCCCTCGATCACTAACCAACGGCATACTCAGCCTCACGCCGCCCACCCCACCCCACACCCCGCCGCCATCACCACCTGTTTCCGTCCCCTCTTCTCAAACTCCAGCACCAAATCCCTCCACCCCCACCCGCCGCCCCTCTTCTCAAACTCCACAACCAGGTCCCTCCACCCCCACCCTCCTCCCCTACTCAACTCCAGCACCAGGTCCCTCCACCCGCCGCCGCCAAAGCCCACATTGCTCAGCCCGTAACACACAAACCCAAAGCGCTCATAAAAGCGCACCAGCCCCTCCCGTGCAATGATCGCAATGCGCTCCACCACGCCCGCTGCGGCCTTGAGACAGTTTACGATGAACTCTGCGAGCAGCGTTGTGCCGAGCGTGCGCCGCTGGCACGCGGGGACGATGGCGAGCGAGTGCAGCGCGATGGTGGCGCCCGTGGTGTGCGACGTTGTGGACGTGCTGTAGCAGGAGTCGGTGATGCGCAAGCTGGTGATCTTGGAGGCGATGGCGTGGCCGAGGAGGTGTTCTGTGGGGTTGTGGGCGGCGGGTGCGGTGCCCGGGCTTGTAGAGGTAGAGGCAAAGATGCCGAGGGAGAGGGGGTGGGATGTGGGTGGGGTTGAGAGGAGGGCGTGGAACTGTGCTGGCTGTTAGCTATGAATTGAAGATGGGGGGAAGGGGGGGGGGGGGGACTAACCTGTTTCCGGGTGCAGCGCTCCACGGGCACGAAGGCTTGTGTCTCGACTGTCATGACGGCGTCGAGGTCTTTTAGTGTCAGTGGGCGCACGTAGATGCGCTCCTTTGCGGGCTTTGCGGGGACGAGGGATTTGGGGTCGAGGACCATTGTGGCGGGCTGGGGGGTACGGGTAGGTTCTGTGGTTGTTGGAGGTATTGTAGGTAGCGGTAGGTAGTGGTAGAGGTAGTATAGGTAGTGGTAGGTAAAGTGTGTGTGTGGGTATAGAGTGGCCTGATGTGATATATGGGACTTTTCTTTTCTTTGTGCGTGAACGACTGTTGCGGATTAAGGTTTTTGGGGATGGGATGGCCTTAGCGGTGGCGGTTGCGGGAGTGAAAAGTGGGTAGAGGCTGTAGTAGTGATAGTAAGCAGTAAGAGGATGAGGAAGAGGAGTAGTAGTGAGTGGTAGTAGGAGGCGGGAGGCAAAAAAAAGGTTGTGAGGTCTGAGGTTTGAGGTTTCAGTAGTTGCGGTGGTGGTGGTAGTAGTAGCTGTAGCTGTCTAGCTGGATATGTAGGTGGTGGGCAAGCTGGTAAAAGAGCGACTGTAGAACTCCAGGCAGCAGGAGCAGTAGTAGTAGCAGTAGAATACCGGACAGAATCTCAGCGAACGTAAGAATTATTAAAAACGAAGGTTGGTGGGGGGAAGGTGGTGGGGAGGGGGGCGGGGTGTGTTATCTATATAGATAGAGCCGGAGGTATGAGTGAGAGTGGTAACTAGGTAGCTAGAGTAGGGAAGGGGAAGTATATAGTAGGTAGATATGATAACAGGGCCGGGCCAAGTACCAGTTAGCTATCTATCTACTTGTAGCTATCAGAGGCTGAAGTTGGAAGTGAAGGATATAGCAGGCTAGCTAGGGGTGAGTGAGTGAGTGAGTGAGACCGACGGTGACTCTTAATAGCCGCACCACTCAAGTAGGTATTGACAGGCAGGTACGTACATGTGGATTAATAAAATGCAAACAAGCAAATTGCAAAAAAAAGAGGTTGGCAGGCTACTATTGATCCACCGCTCCTCCTCCGTCTAATCCCCCTCCATCCCCTCCACCCCTGGCCGGTAGTGGGGGCGAGCTTTTCACTTTCTTTATTTCTTTCTTTCTTTGCTTTATTGCACCAGTCAGTAGCATGTAGGGTAAGCTTTGGTTCTGTGTGTTTCTCAGCTCATGTAACGCTCGGCCGGAGGAGGGAGGCGTGCGGTGGTGGTGGTGGTGGTGGTGGTGTGTGCATGTTAGTTATTCCCACCCAGCCTAGGGTCACCGATCGTACATCGTACATTACATAGGCGAGGGCGAGGGAACTAGGGCGAGGGAAGAAAGAAGAATCCATCTATCCACTCAGGGTGCATGATGCAAGGTATTTTTTTATAGATATATATTGGATGGGATGGGATTGGGGGGGGGTTGCGGTTGGTTGGTAGATGTTAGATGGAGGGGTTATACGTACATTACATGATCATATGTAGGTACCGCCGAAGCAAGATGGGATGAGGGTGGGAGGGGCGTCGCCGAATCTCGTGCGGATAAAAAAGAAAGAAGAAAAAAAAAAAAGAAAGAAAAGGATTGGACAAGACGGGTCGACGGCGGCGATGCTGCTGCTTCTGCTGCTTGCTGCACAATGACAATATGCTATCCTCCCTCCAATGCTATTCCAACAACCCAGTACCACCGACCGCAGAGAACTCAGCCGCTTCTACCCTCATGCCATGGGTTAGGTAATACCATACGGGGCTGGGGACGCTGTCTGTTGCTGTTGGTGGGTTGGTGGAGCGCGGTGGAATGAAGGACGTGAATAAGGGGGCTTAGCTTACTTACCTGGTAGAGGGGTTGCTTTCAGCTGGTGAGGGGTGGTGTAGCGAATCGCTGGGGGAAGAGAAGTCTGCACATGACTTGGGGAAAACCATCGGAGAATTAAACGGTTAAAGGCCGCACGTAGATGGATGGCGCACATCAAATCAGTCCATGGGAATGGGATGGGGATTTTGGAGGGGGGTGGTCGGAGGTGAAAGAGGAGGAGGATGGTTGGTTGCTTGGTTGCTTGGTTGGATGGATGGTGTGAATAAGAAACCCCTGGTTCTGAATAGGTGATCGATGTGTAGTTGTAACACCTGGTGGTGTAGATTGTAGTTGTAATAGTACCTGGTGGAGCGAGTAGGTAAGTCAGGTCCGGTCCGACAGGAGCACATTGTGGTACCTGCTCCCAGTATGCTATGCATACGGCAACCCATAGGATGATGTAGCTTATCCAGACAACCCCCCCTCCCCCCAATTGCACCATTGCACCACACCGCACTTCATGTAGGTACTCGTACAGAACAGGGCCTGGTGACGTGCTGGCGGCAGGATGACGCGGAAAGACCGCAGCTGAGGGCCGATATGATGATTGAGTGGTCGATTGATATATTGATTGACTGAAATTGAAAATAGATAAATACGGGCAAACACAGGTATGATACTCGTACAACAAGTATTAGCCATTTTTTTATATTAAAGGGTTGAGGACGTCTCACGTCCAACGATGGATGCTTCGGCCGGTGATGATGCTTTTGTGGATTGGATAACACCACCACCACACCCATGCTGGACGAGAAGATAAGTAAAGTTGCAATAGATGACCCAACAAGGTGCGGAGCCTCAGTCGGCGCCGGCGGTGAGAGCTCCTTATCCACACACTCATTATTCTATCGTCGTCCACCACCTCCGACAGCTGCAGACGGATGCAAATAGATGCAGATCCATCAATCCATTAATTATCACTGGCCAAGGTCATGAGTCAATTCCCGGATTCTTTTGCATGCTATCTGCCTGCAGATATTTTTACCAAACTCACGACATGCATGAATTGTAGGCAGAGGCCTCCCCAAACGGAGCTCTCAGAGAGAGCAAAACGCTTTCTGACTGCTGCAGTGCATCATGTCTGTCCCCTCAACGGGGAGAGTTGGGTGGAGGAGGAGCGCTGCAAGCGAGAACGAAGCGGGGGAGATCTGCCTGCCTTCTGCCTGGCGCAGCTGTCAATTGCGGTCAGAGATCGGATTGGGGAAGGTAGGGCCAATAATTATTTGGTTTGGCACTACTCTACAGCACTGCTGCTGCTTCTTCTGCTGCTGCTTGTGGCTTGTCCAGGTTGTCGCTTACTCTGCGCGGCGGCGTGTCACATTAGTCTTACTTCCTACGTCGCCCGCCGCAAGAGTAACGCTCGAAACGCCCCTCTTACACGTAGGTATCTTCTCTCACATCCTGACTTGACTCCGTCTGTCCCTTTCTATCCCTCGCCTTCTCTCTCTCTCCCACTCTCTCATCCATCCTCTTCTTTTTGACATCCTTCACATACTCCATCCTCCCCGCCTAACTACCCGCGCTTATCCATTCCCATCATCAACCATCAATCTCCATTCTCGCAAACTCAATCTCTCTCCCGAAATAGCTCTGACATAACTTCCCCACAATCTTATCAGAAATGTAATAACTGTCTCCCCCCGCCACCCCTCCACTACCCACCAAAAACCAAAATAAAAACTACCCCACTTATCTTGATGATTTATCTCCTTTCAAGCTACTCACTTTCGAGTGACTGACAAACTGTGATCCTACAGGCACATCACCATCTCCTTCATCAGTACGAATGAAATCATAACGCTCGATGTCCACGAGACCATCACAGTCCAGGACTTTAAGGCTCTTATCGCCTCCGAGCTCCCCACTGTCCCACCAAACGCCCAGCACCTGTACCACAATGGGCGATTGCTGGGCGACCAAACGAGAACTCTACAGGAGTGCGGTGTGGTGAATGACGACTTAATTGTCCTACACTCCCGAGCTCCCGGCGGCCAGCAGCAGCAGCAGCACCAAGCCGGGGGTGTACCTCGGAGGCCACAGCAGCAGCAACCACAACATCAGCAGCATGGCGGTGGGCAGGACCCAGAGCTTATTCGCCTACAGGTCCTGGGAGATCCCCGGTTGTTGGGTCAGCTACGGGAGTCGCAGCCAGAGCTAGTAGCGGCGGTGAACGATCCTGAGAGGTTCGCCCAAACATTCCGGAATCTGGAACAACAAAGAGCCGAGATGGAAAGACAGAAACAAAGGGAGATCGTAAGTTTTATTAAATTTAATATTGACGAATTCATTAACTAATCTAACCCGGTAGCAAATGTTGAACGAGGAACCATTCAACATTGAGGCTCAAAGAAAGATTGAGGAGATTATCAGGCAGGAGGCCGTTATGGAGAATTTACAGAGCGCTCTAGAGCACAACCCAGAAGGTCCTTTACCTGTAAAGTCTTATTTTTGGGATCGGAATGCTGACTGATGCTTAGCTTTTGGTCGTGTGACCATGTTGTACATCCCCGTTGAGGTTAATGGAACAAAAGTCAAGGCTTTTGTAGACTCTGGTGCACAAGCAACCATTATGTCGCCCTCCTGTGCTGAAAGATGTGGAATCATGCGTCTTGTTGATCAACGCTTCGCCGGTATTGCGCGCGGTGTCGGAACAGCCAAAATTCTTGGACGAGTTCATTCCGCGCAAATCAGGATTGGAAATCTTTTCCTTGCCTGTTCATTTACAGTCATGGAAGGCAAGGATGTGGACCTTTTGCTTGGACTGGACATGTTGAAGAGACATCAAGCAGTCCTAGACTTCAGGAAGGGATGCCTGGTGATCCAAGATGAGCAAGTTGAGTTTCTTGGGGAGAGCGAGATCCCAAAGAACGACCACGAGATGGAAGCAGAGAACGAGCCAACCGTCGAGGGGCCCGGTGGCGCGAGAGTTGGTGGGCTGACTGGGGCTTTAATTGAACCATCGATCCAGTCAACACCAGCAAGATACGGGGGTGCGAGTGGCAGCGGAAGTGGCAGTGGCCAATCATCGACGCCACAGCCGATGCAATCGCAGCAACCAGCCGCACAGCCAAGTTATACAGCCGAGGCGGTAGAGCAATTGGAGGCATTGGGATTCTCCCAGCAACAGGCAGTGGCTGCACTGAACGCTACCGGGGGTGATATCGACATGGCCGCCAGTTTGTTGTTTCAGTGATTCGGGGGTGGGGAAACAAAGGAGTTTTGACGTGTAAGAATCAGTGGCTGGATTTACGAAAACAGAAAATGTGGGAGTTACGGTATTCTTTGTTTTTTCCTTTTTTTCCATAATATGGTTTATCCTGAAATTCTTTTGAATCTGCCTGGATCAACTTACCGGTATTAAAATAGAGGGGTAATGAAAGTTACGGTGCGACATTATCATGGCAGGGGACACAATTAGCTTTCTTCTACGTATAACGAATCTCATTTTTTTTCCCTTTCCCATCTATCTCTATCTCTGCTTTCTATTGTTGCCACTTCAAATCATGTCTAGTTGCTGTTGCGAGAATCTATCGACATGTGGATTAGCTTTCCTCCTAAATTTGACAAGTATGTGCTTGATTTGCTCGGATACCCGCATTTTCCTCGCAACTGCATGTAACGCAACAACCATGAGTGATCTCTCAAGACTCACACACAGCAGCAGTACCACAGTTCAATCATATTCTGATGACGTGGTTCCGGCGAGCCTCTTGGACACAGAATGAATCTGTCATTTTTTTAGACGATAGGGCCAGTCCAATCCAAGCCAAGCCAACCACTGCATCGGTGCCCATCCAATTAAGTATCCAACCCCATCTCATCCCATCATGGCCTCTCACTCGGAACCCACCGGTAAGTTTCGGCTGTGGCTAAATATATATTTACCCGGTCCGTTCATACGAGCCAGCCAGGTATGAGCGTAACTTAACGTCAGAACGTGAGGTAAGGCTGGAATTGAAACGGGACGGCGGATTTTTGCTTTGAGCACTCACTGCATACTCCACATGTTAATCTTTAAGTGCGCGTGGGTGCTCGGCCCAATTATAATAGGCGTTCTGGCGGACGCAAATTCTATTGAATTTGGGCATGCGCATGTGTGATGTAAATCTGGGATGGATTGGGGGGGGGACTAGAATTAGGCTGCGCATGCGCGTGTGGGGTGGGGTGGAGGGCGGTGTGGAGGGCGGTGTGGAAGCCTAGGTGGGGTGGGTGAGCCAATGATTTTTTTACGGGTGTTGGTGTTGGCGGGGACGCTGGCCATCACCACCATCACCACCACCACCAGTGAGAAACCGCGTTCAAAACCAGAAGATTTGCTTCAAAACCGTTGCGCTGTTTCTATGCGCGAAAATAAATTCGATTCCTAAGTTACCCAGAAATCACCCACACTGCTAGCTCCAGACACCCTCACGACTGTAGCTATAATAGGGAACTTGCCTACAAGACCAAAGAGCAGTACCTTACTGTATCCTCGTAAAAGTACTGCGGCGGCACATCATAAAAAGCCTGTCGCTACCCGCCGGGCTCCACCACCCCGAGATGAAAAAAAGCTGGAGACGCGGGGAATCGAACCCCGGACCACCTCTAGGTTATTGAACATCCTGAAGGACGCCCAACTGCTAAAGAGGTATTATACCACTAAACCACATCCCCTTCTTGGCGTAGAAGCTGAGGATAAAATTTTTCAAGTGGTAGTGTCATGGTGTGTCACTCGGTTGTGTAATCGATTCTAGGGGCTGTGGCGCTAGGACGAGTTGGGTTTGGTTGGGGATTAAGGTTTTTCGAAGGATGGTATTTTACACTTGAGAACGCCCAGATCTACGGGGTACAATTAGGAAGTTCCAAGGGAATAAAACAACGTGCAAACACTTCACTTTGGTGGTTGTTGAAGTTTCAAAGCACCCCGCCGAAGTCTTGGCATAGCAAAAAAATCTTCCACCAGCACAAAAAGAATGGAGACGCGGGGAATCGAACCCCGGACCACCTCTAAGTTACTGAACACCCTGAAAGGACGTTCAACTGCTAAAGAGGTATTATACCACTAAACCACATCCCCTTTCGTGGGAGTCTAGGCCGTGGAGCAGTCAAGTGGCGCACGGGAGGGCAGGCAGGCTAGTAAATACCCTTGTCAAGAGGGTTGGGTGTACGTCTCAACGAAGTACTCGGTGGGATTATACTAGTGGGCGGTACCTGATCATTCTAGTGGTGGGCTTGGTGCGGTATGTGAGGAATTGGGCTGGGACGTTGGTTTTCGAGTCTCATAACTTTACGTCAAGTGCACCGTGGTACGGTATGCCTTGTCTGGAAAATCGGTTTTTAACAAGTCATTTCCCCTATAAGTATCTTAGTCAGTATATAAGCCTCCGATAAGTCATATAAGCATATTATAAGGCTGGATAAGGCTATAATAACCATTTATACTCTAAAGACTTATAAATATAATTAACGAGGGCGCTTCACGATAAAGTATTTTGAGGTAGTAGTTATAATCCGGGCACCTTACTATGTTGAAGAGATTTACATGGTTTAATTTTGTAGGATATGGGTTATGGACGCAGAAATTTAGAGGGTAATGATAAATCCACGGGTGGAGCAGCCGGAAAGCCCCCAGTTTCACAACCGTAATGATAGTCTCACTGAAGGTTCAGACAAGGATTACGAGTTAAAGAAGCCATCTATCTCTCAAGAATTTCATTGGCGATAACATGGATTATATTTCGATCATTATATAAAAAGCAGAGAGATGGCCCGGAAGCGTTATATATTGTAGTTTGTGAGGTGCTGTACGTGCGTAATAGAAGAGTTCTCTAGGACTATGATGCCTTAATTATCTGTTGTGGACTCTCGGCAAGTATCCATACTAATACTCCGAGTATTCAAAGGCTGTCTAATACCGCCACATCCGTCCCACTCCCCAACTTCTACTTCCACAAAACACAACTTTAAAGCTAAAAATATCAATTGCTGCATTGCCATTATAACGCGAAAAACAGAAGCACAGAAAGAAACCCGAAATCCAAACCCGCAATAACACAAAGTGATATATTGTACAGTCCCACCGTGTTTACACCTAGTCCATCAAACCATAACTCGCCGGCGAGCGCCCTAGAAGGCGAACCGAATAGCGTTCGAGTCCTCCTCCAGTCTCAGATCTGACCTTCGGGGCGCAATAAGGGGGTACAGCTGCGCAAGCAACGTTATAGCTATATCCCAGGAACGCCAGTTAGTCAGTGGTCGAAAAGAGCTACTACTCTACGGGCAAGGGCTACATACACCACATGAGGTAGCAGGCGACAAAGGTCAAGATCAAGGAGCTCCGCCAGACACTAGTGAACAGATTAGCTTCCGGAGGAGGGAGGAGGAGGATGGTGGAGACGGACGTTTGGTTTTCGCCCTTTGGTGAGAAGAACCAGGCCGCGCCGGAGATCGCGACGACGACGATGAAGCCGACGAGAAGACTGTAGCTATTCGGGGTGTCAGTCAAGGGGGCGGCATGCGCAAACAGAGGGTTGGGGGAGGAGGTACCCGTTTGCCATTGTGGTAGTAGTATGTTTTATGGGGATATGATGTTTTTGAAGATGGATCTTTAGCTCAAGTATTGACGTCGTGAACGCGCCGCCCCTGTTCGGTAGGTGGTCTTGTCATCGCAACAGCCTTACTCGACAAAGCCATTGTTCATATCGCCGGGTAACCATACTTGAGGCTCTGCAACATCCTCTCACCCCGATTATGTCATCATTCCTACGGCTGGACTGCCATAGGGCAGGAAACCCTACTACGCAACCCATACCCCACACACACAACGGCGCCAGAGGAGGATTGCACCACAAACAATTCTCAACCCACATACACTCGGACCGACCGCAACGCCAAACTCCAAAGATTATCCCCAGGAAAAAAATAATCATCACTCAAAATGACCAAGCGCACTAAGAAGGTCGGAGGTACGTAAACATCGAATTCTCGAAAAAAAAATTCCCGGGAGTTGGTGGAATTGGAGGACGAGGGGGAAATATTGAAAGTTTTTGGTTTGGGGAGCTGGAAGCTAATTCTATGGTGTGAATAGTTACCGGTAAATACGGTGTCAGGTACAGATAACCCCCTCCCAGCATCCCTCCTCCATCCAACGCTATACCCTCGGATTGAATCGCGTTCAACGAGCGAGCCAGAGAGCACGGAATTGCGACCTCGAGCCACGAAACTAGTGCAGGAGAAGCCGAAGCTAACAGCGGGAAAACAGATATGGTGCCTCTCTGAGGAAGCAGGTCAAGAAGATGGAAATCACCCAGCACGCCCGCTACACTTGCACTTTCTGCGGAAAGACCACCGTCAAGCGCACATCCGTCGGTATCTGGGAGTGCAAGTCTTGCAAGAAGACCGTTGCCGGAGGTGCCTGGGTTGTCTCGTATGTGTTTTCCTCCACCTTCTCTTCTCCGGCTTCCCCCGCGATTAGCTGACAATCTGTGTGTGTCTGATAGTACCCCCGCTGCCGCTGCCACCCGCTCAACAATCCGTCGTCTCCGTGAGATCGCCGAGGTCTAAACGGTCGTGGGGCTGGTTTCCTTTTTTTTCCTCTTTCTGCCAAATAAAAATAAATTCAAATCTTTTAGGGATCAGGGTGTTTCTTGCTGTTTTTGTTCTTGCTTTTGCGAGGTGCGGTTTTTAATGACGCAGAATTTCAAAATTGCTTTCTCGTCCTCTGGTTATTTTTCCCTGGTGATCATCGGGTTGGATTAGATTGGTGGTTTGATATGCAAGGGATCGGAGTCTTGGGATAGGGAATAAGCAGGATGGGAGGTTATCCATGAATTTCTTGAAACCGGCAACTGGGAAGGATATGACTCTGTATGCCACGGACTTGGGTATTGATATTGGAACCAGCACACCCGCCGGTTTTGTTTTTGCATTCTCCGCTGGAAAGGCACATATTTCATCCGTGGATGTGTTTGTAGAAGCGATCAAAGGATACCCGTAGTTGTAGGTGCATAATTCTTCACCCTACGTCATGCCGATACCGTAGCTCCCAAAGCTCCACGAACCCCATTTGAAGCTCCCCGTGTGCCCATAAGCTGCCAGCATTCTTTAGTGTCCCTGCATAGTAGTTACGAGCTGCCCGTAGACTAAGTAAGCCAGGTAAGGTTTATGGCATTAGCAGGCCTTCACCGAGGGTTACCCATCTTTGATAGCATACGACATTCTACCGGGACCGTATGTAGCCTATGGCTGCGCAAACCAGTACATATGTAGAGAATCCCAAGTGGTTTTGGGGATTTAAAGCAGGACTTGTTTTTTCGAGGGGTTGTATTTAGTAATAGCCCTATTGAGACACCTCCGACGACATGTGTGAAGAGACCTCTCGGAATAGGGCTCAGAGCTGGACAGGACGCGGACGAACAGGACCATGAATAAAAGGCCTCCGAGCTCAAATACTAGAAAGTCCTAAGAGAGATTCAGGATTAAAACTCTGCATGCAATAGATATACTAGTTCACGGACAGAGCCAGTATTTTGGCAGAATACCTACCCTTAGCCTTATAATTTTATGCGGTTCGACAGTAAGGTATTGCCGGGTGACAAAAGTAACCGTGATTTTGCGTAGCAACCAGCAAAAATTGCCCAAATCAACCAACTCCCAAAATCGGTTCTCGAGATTTATACCCAAGGGATAGGTTCTATCAATCTAAGGATTTCTAATTAAACAATCCTTTATTTCATATCTATTATGGTTGTGGAGTTATATTTGTTTCAAGACGCATTCCCATACAAAATCTGCAATGTAAAATCACGGTTACTTTTGTCACCCAGCTATACCAAGCTCCATGCCCATAGCAAAAAAGAGATTCTCGTCTGGGTTGAAAGGAAAATGTTTTCAACACCTGGCCTGAAAACCATGGATCTCTACCGGTACTAGACTAAGTAGATTAGCATTAGTGAAGAGATGAAGAGATGATTGTAACTAGTACTACTTGAATCTCTAGGAATTAATAGAATGTTTTATGGGACATGTTCCCATTCTAGAAAGACTAACCAGCGTCACCAGCCCTAAAACTTAAGCTCACATACTATCTGTGAGTACCTGTAGTCGCTGCCACTTTTTAAGATGAAAATATAAGGAACGTAACTTCCCGGCATGCACTCCAATTCTGGTATCAAAACAATATCTCGGGGCGGACCTGTACCTAAAATAACTTGTGAGGGTTAGGGTTATAACCGAGTGATATCGCGTGATTAACATGTCATCCGTTCGGATAAGAAAGCTACTTGAACAAGTATGAGAGCGTTACATAACTTGAATTTACAGGAAACTCTATCAAAGTATCTGGGTAGAAAAATATCTTGATATCAAGTTGAACGCTACGATCAGCAACCGGTTACGAGTGATATGCTGTGATTCACATCAAAAGTTCCATGACGCCAATCTGAAGATCTGCTGCAAGATTTTCCCCAGCACAAGCCTATCGTTCATCGACCGTTACTTTGATCTACCCCAACAAACCTATCGCATGGACCTAACTATATTCTGGAGGGTACCCGAGAACTAACGGGGATTATGGGAGAGACCCAATTCGAGGTCTTACTGGGGTGATTCACCATGAGTTGACTAATGACCAATCGTTTGGAGTTCCGGGCTCCAAGAGGCTCAGTGATCAGTATAGAGTACCTATAAGCTGACATACCGAGGAACCCGAATAGGGAATAACCAGTCGGAATCCTGTTCAGAAGGAGTCAAACAATAGGCTTATATATATTGGTGCTAGGATCATCAGTCGCTGACTTACACATGACGAAACCTATATTGAAATTATAACTACTCGAAGTGAGTATTGCGTAAATGGTGTAATAAGTTTCTTATGTCACGTAAAAATATTTCATCCTTGGTCATGTGTTTCTTTCCTGGACTAGTTTGTAATGGAAGTATTGAGTGACCCCGGAGCTTTTATGTGGGCGAACAACTTCGAAAACTAAATTCTCCAATGTCGCCTCTCCGATGAATAGGTAGAGCCGTGAGGGTCCTCCAATCGTAAAAACACTCAAATTCGCGGCCCGGCCCGTCCTGGAAGTCACTAGACAGTGATTAGTGTGCAGCTAAATGTCCTCAAAGCGTTTGTGTATGTAGATGTTTTTGAATATATATCAGTTGTGGAGGATCACTTTGAAACAAACACCACATCGAAGGAATAAGCCGGGGTAGGGTAAAACGAACAAAATAATTGGAGGGGTTTCTGAAGGAAAGAATGGTAGGATTGGTTTAGAGGAACTTGAAAGAACCCAGTCGAACAAGATACGTACGAATACGAAATATCGATACATGCCAGTTACCAACCCCGAAGTATATAACGGGTTGTATGTATTCATATGCAACAAATGACATAACTGTTGGGGATACGATAAAGAAAAAGGGAACCAGTATCCCACAATGGACGCCACGTAATTTCTGGTACTCCAGGAACCTATGAGCGGCCTTGTGATTCCTGGTTTCCTAGACGACGGTATCTCATTGGTCCGAATAATTTTGTCGTGTACCAATGACACGCTGGGCGAGGGAACATGCTTAATCCAGCTACACAGCCCTTTCCGCAATTCCCCAAACGATCCAGACCTAAAGAAAATGTTGCGTCAAAACGATCTCCGGCGTTATCACACAGCCTTCGAATCTGCGTCCACATTGATTCAATCTATCAAGATGGAGATATTTTTCATGTAGTGTGAGTCTCGCCGAATGAATTCTGGATGCTCGACTGCAATCATATTTGTGGTAATGGTGGTAGTGGTGGTGTCTCCAGAGTAAACAGCGAAAACTCCCCGCACTGGATGACGCTAGCGGTTATTTGTTTCGCTGACAGGTCATTCTGTAACGTCACTCCGCATTTGTTCTGGTGCATGGCTGGGAGTCGATCATAACTCACATAATTTCGTTGCCTGGTGTTATCTAGTTGCATAAGCATAGATATCAGCATCAAATGGATTGGATTCATAGGCTGAGTAGAGTTGATGATTCTGAAAGAAGGCGTTGACTGCAAAATCCAGGCCTCTGTATGATGCCTGGCTGCTTATTGGACGTAGATAATTTTTTATATCGGATAAGCTTTTAATCGACTCAAGAGATTGTTTGCTAGTGATAGCTGCCTAGGGATTTTAAGTAGAGTTTTTTTTATGAGATAGAGAACAAACTATGACTGTGTAGTACAAAAAAGATATCGGATCCGGTATTCCTACCTGTACCCAGATCTCGGGGCCCTCACAAAGTGAAATTCAATTCCCCACAAGAATCCAAGTTTGATCTACATACTTCCTGTCAAAGGTTAGTGATGCCTGAAGAAAAAATTTCTCGGAGTTTCTGCTAACCTTTAACTTAACCGCTAAATATTGGGCTATTTCTAGAATCCATACTTTGATACACTCAAAGATCTGGAGTTAATGAACATCACATATCAATGGTTCAGTAAAGGTAGGCATCAATTAGCTATGCATTATTGCGTCCGTGTTATGCACATATCCACCTGAAAAAATGCAATCATGTGTTATTGATATCTTCTATGCGGCCACTTCTCACAAGGCTCGATCGAGCTGAATATTCAATAATCGCCACCGATGCCACGTATCCAGCATATTGATGTAAGATTCATAATGTACTTTCTGTCTTTGTTTGTGTTCTGTGACACATATTCGGGACCTTGTTTGTCAGCCTTTTCTTCCGTATGGGAACCTGCTGCACACTCAGAAAAGCGAAGTTGCCAAGACAATAGGTACTCAAGGTGATGAGATCTATTCTTCGCTACTTACCAGCTATATAGTAAGGAGTACTTACATGTACATAGTTGGTAGTGGAGTGTCAAGTCCTTCGTGCACAGATGCGCGTTTGTTAGGGATGTAGCGATTGGGATCCCGGCCGATCAAGTAATTTGACAGAGGGGAAACCCAAGGGAGCCCAGAGAAGATAAAAACAAGAAACTTGTAGATGGACCCTTGAACTCATGAAACAGCCTCAAGCCCTCGCTTGTTGATTAGTAGGGTCTGCAGGCTGACGGGAGGCTCCGCCCGGCGCAGGGAACCCTATCCACAGGACGTTCCATCTCATTGGATGGATTGCGACATGGAAATTAAAGGTCAACACCAAAAACTTGATCCACGATGCATACGACCGGAGCAAAGTGCAAAACGGCGACAACAAACGGACGTTTATCAGTATTCACTGGTCTAGCTGCTGCCTTGTTCAGCCGCTTTTTCTTGGGTATTGATGTAAGAGGCAAGGAATTGCTTTGTCAATTGGTCACCAGTGCTTGATGTGAAAAGATTTGTAAAGTTTCGTGATGATCATCATAACGAAGCACTTGGTCCCTGAGCATCGGGGCCGACGGAAGGAACCAACGCTGAACAGTTCAGGGTCTAGAGATTTAGGTATTCCCGCTATCCATCGATCAAGTGCCTAGGCAATTGCGCAAACGCAGTACAGCCTCCGGTAGAATTATTGTGGAAAACAGGGACCAACCATCACGCCGAGAACAGAGCGATTCTCTAACGCAATAATTCTACCGGAGGCTGTATATCCATTCCTGCCACCGCCACAATCTGAAAGAGAATAGGTATGTAGCCCCCTGCGGATCAAAAAAACTCCTCACACATATAACCACGCATTTTATGATCAGCCTCTGGGGTGCGTTTTGCAATCCGGAATTTACTTTGAGTCGTTGCTTATGTTTCTCAAATGTGTTGTCAGTCGGAATTCATCCGGACGTTGGTTCGTCTGATTTCCTAGGTTTCTTCCCCGCCTGCCAGAGAATGGAGTATGGAGAGGAGGAGGGTTCAAGTCTCGAATAGGGTGCCTGGGAAAGTGATGAGTTGTTCGTTTTAATATGCTCAGTGGCGAGATGATCATCGTTTCAGTCTTGGGATGAGCATTCGAGAAACACGATGTGACGCAGATCTTTCTAGATTGGGATGCGGGGAGAAAACCAAAATTTACGAGTGGATGGATCGTGAGATCTCACAGACTAATGAATTGATGCAAAGTGCCGTAGCTGAAGATATTTCGACAAGGCTTACTGTTGAGTAAATGTGCAAACCCACGCCAGAATTGACTATCTCTACCCCTACTCTACTCGCGCGGCCGAGTTTCGACTTACCCACGTGACGCTATTTAACAGGTTTTTTTGGTTGCTCATAGGTCATGTGATTATGTTGGAACTCAGCCGCGCGAGTAGAATAAAGCTGAAATACCACAATAACTGCACTCTTGGTCATCTAAACTAGTCTCTGCATTTCAGCCCTTATTACCCCTGAGATTGAATTGAGGAATATGGTACAATGTAGCTAGTGTAGAATAGCCTGCTCTAGACACGTAGAGTAAGGAAAACTACATTTATTTCCTTCATCCAGCAACACGATTAATACCTCAAGATTCGACTAAAGACGTCCAGGCACAGATAATTAGGAACATGGATGTCTTCATAAAGTGTAGTTGCATTGACTTTGTCTCTGGTAGAGTACTGCATGTTGCTATTCCCGGAAGCAGCTCTAACTTCCCCACTGTGTAAATCCATACACATGTATGTCGATTGAGTACTCCGAAGTAAAGCGCATGTTAGAGCGTGTGTACCAGAATTGAGCCGCCGCGCGCTTCGCGCTCCAAAACCCCCTGTTGGTGTATATAGAGCCAGGGTCTTGCCTAAGTTCATCGTTATTGTGCGCTGTCTAGCTGTGCCTTGCCATACCGGGCGCCGGAGATTCCCTCCCTTACCTTTGATAGAGTACATACCTAGTTCCTGCGCGGAAGCAGGGACGTTCAACATTGACGTGGAGGGATCAGCCCCTGTTGCATATTGATAGATGGGCTGCGTCAAGAGAACTGCACTGCAGCGCAGGTACATGAGTAAGTGGTGTTCAAAAAACCCCGTAGCCAGATCTGGCCAAACCCGCGGTAATTAGTACAAACCAACCCTCAATGTCTTGCCTAGATCCTGTGCGTATCGACCTTGCTTCTGTCAGTCATCTCATGTGTGGCCTAGAGAGGAGGTGGAAAGTAATAACCAAGGTACGGGGAGTGAAAAAAATTTCTTTCTCGCTTCAAAACCGAGTGATACCAATGAGAGGGACGAGCGGATAGTGACAGACAGGGGAATACCTGTGAGCAAGATTGATATTGTTGCGGGAGATAAGTGCGGGCCATTCCATTCCGGGCATGGGATCCTTGCTCGCGTCCCTGTAGTGTGGGCTGAGATTCGGTCATCCAGACCGAAACGAAAACCTTAGTTCAACCTTGGTTGAGTGCATGGCTTCCATGTCTTGTCGTGAGTGCAGCATCGGGGCAGAGTATCTTGTGTCTAAGTCAGTCAAATTCGTGATAGTACCTAGCCCAGTCCGTATGTTTCGCCTGTCAAATCGAAGGATTTCAAACCTCACGATACATGTGTTTCTGCTGTTTGGAACGGACCCAACTAGCCATGACCTCATTGTGAAGGCTGTGTTTCCATCGGAGAAGGTCCCTAAAGGAAGGGGTGGATGAAAGTAGGCTTTCTGTACGCCAAAACGGCTGAGCTGGCATTGGATCATCTCTGCAGTCAGCCTTTTATACTCACGTGATGTTTACAGCCCTAGGAACTTATTTGGAATCACACACATGTTGGTTGAGCCGCAAGAAGAGCCGCCGTTTCGTGATGAAACGGGGTTGTGCGTTTGGTGTTTACTCTTTTTTTTTTTTTTTTTTTTCCTTTCTTGTGGTTGTGGTTGTGGTTGTTAACTTCACAGAGACCCTGGCGACCCTGGAGACCCTTGAGGTCCGCTGCCGAACTTCGCGCACAAGCGGATAGACAGGGGTGACGCGTAGCTAAAGTTAGGATAAAGCTTGTCACACTAGAATGAGATAATGATGAAAGTGACGTCATAAAAATATTGATCTTGGCGTTATCTTTCCTTCTCGGCGCACGGGCGCTAGCCAGGGCCTCAACTGAACTTCCAAGGCAAACCTGCAAGATCTAAGACTAAAATTTCGAGGTTACAGCGATCGACTTTCCCACACTCAACCCCTTCCCCTACCGCGCACTCCACCTGCGCATCCACCATTGCCTGGTTCTTGCTGACGCTTTTCGGCCGCCCTCCGTACAAGCGACATCATGCAGACATGCAGAATTGGGGGTTGCCAACTCATCAATCATCACTGTCGACCCGATTCTAGTACCCTGGGGGCGGGGGGGTTCAGGTAGACAGAGATATACCAGTCCGTGCGTTTTTGCATCACGGGAAATAGTGATTTTCTGATTTTCCTTGATATCGTTGAGAAAACGGCCAGACATGCCAGATTGCCGGTCTATTCTAGGCTCCTAGACCAATGGATGACTCTGGGTTTGAGTTTCTGGATCACTTATTCAGCACCGCTAGAGCAGAATGCAGTCTCTAAACTTGCAGAGTAGAGTAGCGTACCTACTCTGGGGTATGTAGCTTTCTGAATGGCTCGCATAATAGAAAAATTGCGCTATTTTTTTTTGCTTCCCATCAATGATACTCCAGACCCTATGGCGTAGAGGGCGTAATGCGGCCGGCAGTGGTCCCTGCAAGCCTTGTTCCGTCACTCGGTTGACACAGACTGCCCAGCCACAGGCTGCACACCCTCTTTTTTTCCCGGACAGATCCAGGATGCTAAGTGGTCTTTCTTGAGTGAAACACTAACATGGGGAAATCCTGCTTGTCACACCAGATGTAGCTCCCGTAACTAGGTAGGTAATGGAGTTGGGGGAGGGGTGGTGGTGAGGATGAAGGTGTATAAAACTTCCCTCTCCCACCCCTTCGAGCTTTCTTTCTGCTCATCATCCAACAACATCATCCAGCAGCATCATCAAACTCCATCATACTATATCACTCATACCCAGTTATCTCATCTCTACAAATCAGTAACCATTAAGGACCCAAGGCATTCCCCAGATACCCCAAAAATGAGCTACTACGCAGCCCAGAACCCTTACAGGAACTCTACTGGAGGCCTGAACCTCGGCCGTTCTCCTCCACGAACCCAGATTATCATTCCCGTTAGACCTCCATCCCCAGCAGACTCTGCATGCTCATCATGTGATTCTTCTCTTCCTCTTAACACCCCATGGTCTGGCTCGGGGACCCAATTGGACCAGACTGAGCGTATCTGCACCCGCACTAGGCGTCTTTCCACCCACTCCGAGGGCCGCCACTCCGATGGCCACCATATGGATGGCCACCACCACCTGGATAGCCACCATGATAGAGGCCGCCCAGCCCCTCTGATCATTCGCCAGGGCGGCGGTCCAGGTCCTCTCTCGGCTCCTTTGGCTCAACATCGAGGATACCACTCTGAACATTCCAGACAAGCCTTGGTTGTTCCAGCATCCTCTATTGATCGTCACCGTTCGGCCTCTAGGTCCCGTAGCGGCTACACTAAATACCACCATGCCATCGAGCACCTTAACGACGAGTCCTTTGAGGTCGGTTCCGTTGGCTCCGAAGTTGGACGTAGGGGACGTACTAGATTCCCACGCAAGCTAGTCAGCAAGGAGGCAGTTGAGGAAATGGGCCTTCCATGGTCCGAGGAGTCCGATGGAGCTCTCGTCGTCCTGAGAGCACTTGACAGAACTGAAATTGAACGATTGGTGGATCTAACCGAGGAGATCCGACGTGAGTCCACTGTATTTCTCTCTTTCCTACGTTGAGAGCCCCCCTCTCACAATTGAATGAAAGCTAACTTCATACCCATAGGTCGTCGTAGTGGATCCGGAAAGTCAGTATCATTCATCGATAAGGCAATAATTCATGACGCTATCCCATACGCTCCTACTCCCCCTCCGGTCATTACTGAGCAGCGAGTCGTCCACCACTACGCTGGAGAACGCCCATCCACCCCATTAACATCTGAAAACATTGCACATCTCAACAACCAAGGTCACAATTCCTCATTTTCTCAGGTCACTACCACAACTACTACCACCACAACTGAAGAACCTATTTTGATCCCAATCATTGGTAAATCTCATGGAGCGACGAAGATCAAGACAACATATACAACACCTTCTTTTCCATTGCCACAAGATAGCTTAAGCAGAGCGGAAGAAAAGATGATTCGAGCTGAGGAGAAAGCACACAAACTGGCTATTGTCGCGAAAGCTACCGGAAACGCGAAAGATGAACATGATGCTTATAAGGCGAGGGTAAAGGCAGATGAGAAGAGGAGGAAGTTTGAGGATAAGGAGTGGAAGGAGAGAGTAAAGAGAGATGAGAAGGAGATCAGGCACAGGGACGAGCGGGAGACTGTCAGAACTAAGGTCCGAAGAGGCGAAACTGTGGTCATTCGATGATCTTTTGCACCTGTTTGCTTGAGCATTTTAGATACTCTTTTCATTCTCTGTTTAGTCTTTCGAGGGTGGCTGATTGTTTTACTACATTGTCTTTTTCCTAGTCGGATGCGATTTAATTCTTGTACCCATTTTTTGTTTGACATTGCTCTGGAGTTTGTTTTCTGCATTGGATTATTTCTTTCCTTAACTTTGGCTATTTCATGGATTTTCTTTGGGACGATGGGTGTTTGGAGAACAAAAAAAATTATAGGAATAAATCTCGTTTCTACTTACACACATACACTTCCGCTCTCACACTACTACTGCCTTTGATACTTACCGTCCGCTTCTAAAGGAGGTTCAAACTCGATGAAGGTGAGTAGTCAGATATCCGAGTTCCACAACCTAGAAGTCACACTGACGACAAAACTGTCTTACTAGTCTCGTGCCCACCACCCCGACAAACAAAGTTGGTTGCTGACTCTTAGCTTATCATAAGCTATGATCACGAGACGACAATATACTTTGATATGTCAGATACCGGCCCACCACATGAGTTCCAAGTTAAAACTACCCCGCACGAATGTTTCGGCCCGCAAAAAATACTCCTCAGTCAGCGATTGGTTCGAGAGCGTTTGAAACCGAAACGAGTGACAGCTGTCACAACGATCGACAACTCAACCGGACTGTCTTCGAATACATAGACTAATCGGTCGTCGTCGTCGTCACGATGTTGTGCATCAGGGATCGTCAGTGGTGGCGCTTGTGGCTAGTTGGGTGAGCACATGCAGGGATTACCGATACGCACCGGTTTAATAATCATAGGTGGTCACTCGGAGGTGACTCCGGATTATTTTTAGTACTGGAAGTAATAGAGAAGTATTGTGTCTGTTCAACTCTAGATAAACGGTTGGGGTACTTAACACCACAACGGCATGAAGTCTCACCTGGTTACGTGGTGTACCAATGATACCTTATCATGTAAACCGCCTTGGAACAAAGATTGCTAGAGGTCGACTGGAACATGACAATGCGCTGGTTCCTGCCGTCGTCAGACATGAGCGTCATATGATATTGAAGAGAGTCTCGATTTTAATTCTAAGACTACGCTAAAACCGAAGTGGTTAAATTTGCAAGGGGTTGTTTGTCGCTTGGTGAGCTCGGGACTCGGTGAAGACACATTGGTATATCAAAGCCAGGTACAGGAGGAGCTTACGGGGGGAGCTAGAACTTGCAAAGAAGACAAGGGGATCGAGGATCAAATTTTACTTTTGAAAGGTATATCCAGGTTTATGGGTCGAGGTCGACAGGAATCGGAGGATAGGAGAAACTGTGTAGGGCGGTTCTTTTATTTCTTATTTCTTTATTTTTTTTTTCTTGAGAAGTGTAGATTTGGGCGATTGGGAAATGTTTTATAGTCTAGGAGCAATTTTCCTATAGCTAGAAAGTTCTTAACAAAGACATGTATAGATCTAGCCCTACAGTTGAATAAGAATTTGATTGACTAAAGAATAGGGTGCTTGGAGACAGTTCGGCCTAGCTCACAAGATTTCGATTTCCCAGTCAAGGTCATTTAGGTCAGGTTTAGCTGTCCCTTTACTGCTCCACCTGTGGGGAAAAACTTGTTTGTTTACAGAAGATGGCACAGGAAGGTTGACTTTATAGAAATGTTTGACGTAGGCGAAAAGAGCATACAAGTACGTTCGTTATGTATCAAGGAATTGGGTTCTAGTGCCAAGACACCTGCGAAAAAAATTTCCTAGCCGAGTGACAAATCATGACACACCACTACATAAAATTACAAGTTTCGTGTGTTCATCAGCTGTGCAATTTCTTTCTTTAATCGTTTATTAAACGCGCCAGACGATCTCGATGAAAGAGAGCCCTAGAAATGGTACCGAATGTCCAGAGAGTATCATGCGCATAGCTACTTGTAAGTGTACGACAGTGTCTGGTGTTGAAGGGCACACATACTGATGCGCACTGTCAGGAATAGCACTTTACTGGGTAACAGGCTTTCAGAAGAGTGGTGGAGGCGCCAGGGACTATTAGGGGCCTTATCACAATCGCTAGAGAGCATCAGGCGCCGGGAGATGATTTGCGTCGCCCCGAGGGTTGGGGCGCTAGAAGCTGCGCCCGGTGCGCCCTGAAATGCCAGTAACATCTCCGGAGTTGGAGTTTTCCTACTGAGCGCCCCCAGCCTCGGAGAGTCTGTAAGACGTAGCGTCTGACCAGAACTTGGAGTTTGCTGATGATGTAGCTACAATACAAGTATGCCTTTTCAGATAGTAACCCTACTTAACCTCAGTAGTGTTGAAACAAGTACAAAATAACCTTACTACAAGTACATGTTTGTACGATGTACTTATGTAATTCTTTACAATTACCACAATCTTCTTCACCCATGAAATAAGGTTGAAAAAATCGTTGAAAGATTTAAGTACAGCGGTAGGTACATATAACTGATGGAACGCGCTGAGATACAGTTATACCTGCAAACACCATATGTTTTTGGTGTTTCACCCAAAACAAGTATCACTGTGTCTCAGGACGTTCTATTACTTATTGCTTACCGCTGTACAAGTGCTGAAAACACTAATCTATCCTTTCTAAGGATTTGATAGTTTTGTATGAGTCTTATAAGAAACTCGGTTCCGGCCGAAATATTGATATCCTACTGTCTACATAAGCAACCTATCATAATTCATCCACAGACGATCGATCAAGGAACCAAAAAATGATATCTCTCATATGAATATGATTCTGGCAGGGTTCGAACCTGCGACCTTCTGCGATTTTCTGTAAAGCAGACGCGCCTCCACTACGCCACAGAACCGTGATGAAAATCAGTTATATGCATTATTTGTTGAAAAATTCTAGTGCACTAGAAGGTTTCATGGATCATCGATCAATCTAAACTCGATCAAGCGTAAGAGTAAGCAGACCCATGCTAGCGTATAGTGCTACCATACAAAAAGTACATTTACTAACCTCTTATTACACAAAAGCCCGTTCTGGAAGGAATATAAAAAGCCACCATTGTTCTTACTCAATTAGCAGTGCGTTCGATGTATGTGTGGCTTCCTGTGGGCGCAAGTATCAGTGCATGTACTACTTGGTTACTACATGTACTTGGTACTTGGTATGTACTACTTGTAAGTACCATGCGCACCGTGTTCTATATATGAAGTATACGGTTACCTCTATAATCTAATCTAACACGTATATGAGGATATCCCAGCGCAAACAAAGGTCTGACATTTCCGTTATGTACTTACTTCGACTTTCAGAGGAATAAGTTCTTTCTTCTTTGCCATCACTAAGGATCTTAAGTATTTTTATAATTTTGTGTCCGATATATCTCATCTTGTAAAGATTTCTTGGTAGGATAAGATTCATCGACAAGCACGATTCAAAAATTTCTCTATTATTTATTAATCTCTCCTTTTCTCTAGGAACCTCGAATTAAGAGCACATGGCGAATCGAAGCCATTTCCCTTATCGTGAAAAGGTAACTGAGGCAGAAAGGCTTGAGCGCGAAGAATTACAGACCGACGATGGTCCAGAAGCCTCAATAGATCAAGGAGTCTTACTAGACCAAGGGGACACAGATGGAACAGGAGTGGACGCCATCACTAACGACTTTGGGGGTTTATTTCCAAGAAATGAATTGCTATACGTCCCGGATCATCAGCTCGTACCAAAATCAGTAAAAACAACATCGCTGGACAGAGCTCTGGCCTATCTTGATTCAACTTCTGGAAATTCTGGGCCTACTGGAAACTACGCCCTTCAACGGTTTATTCAATCGCCAACGGTACCATTAGCCCATCTGGCAGACCCTTTTAGTCTCAGCACTGCTTCAACAGATCAAGAATCTAGACATGAGATGGACAGACCGAGCGATCCCTCATACTCAGAGCCTTTTGAAACGATAAGATCATATTCACAGCCGACGTATGGAATAAACGGTGAGATTGTACAGACGGGAAATTTGAGTTATCTGTAAGTATCTTTAACTGGGTTATGCCCCGGAAGACTTTAATCTAATATATAGTTACTGTCGGTGTACTAGAGCAAAGCATAACCCGGTGTTCCCTCCCCTGCCATCAGGGTCCCGACTGCAGTTGGGTAATCTGCAACAGCAACAAATAGAAGCCGGTGCAATGGGTAGGGCCACACAATCTTCACTAGTCAATTTGGAACTGGAATCACCTGGTCCGAGTGATGAGTCGAAATCAGAACGGGAAAGTGTAACTACAGGAATTGGCTCAAGTTTGGACCGACTACGTGCATTAAGACAGCGATCCACTAATCCATCCACCAACAGATCCAGTTCGAATATGAGTCTGGATGACGATCTGGAGTTATTAGATTTTGACTTTGACCCACCTATAACGACAGGCCCCAGAGAGGTAGAGTTTCCGATTGAAGATATTATTAACACCCAGTTGGTGGATAATGTAAGCGTGACGCCATCAGGCCGAGTCAATATTACACCAACGCAAAACCATCAATTTGTGCCTGAGTGGTCCCTTCTGCTAGACTATCCTCAAAATATTGTAGCTCCAGAGGGAACGGCTCAAAATTCTGGCCAGGCAATATCATCTATGTCGTTTTCATCATCTTTCTTGGTAGCACCGCCTGATTCATCACAATTCACACCACCATCGTCAGGAATGGGATATTATCCATTAGAGGGTCTACCTAGAGCTCAATACGGGCTCTTCCCACCGCCTGGAGTAATGCATTCACATGGGGTACCAACACCTATATCCCAATCCTCATTTGAAGTACAGAATCCATATGGGATACAAACACCTATGCCACAATCCTCATTTGCAATTGAGGTACGGCATCCATATAATCAACAAGCGCCTGGAGTCCTATCCTCATCTGGAATGATAGGGAGACCACCAATGCCACTACCACCAACACAGCCACAACTACGACCACCATCTGGGCCACCACCTGGTTTAATGGGGGATATGCATAGGCTATCACCACGGCCGCTTGTACCTTTCTCGACTGAATTAAGACAACTACCCGGAGTACCGATACCCTCTATACAGCCTAGTGTAACCGAAAATCCGGTAACAAAGAAGAAAAAGAACATGCACAAACCGTTTCAGACTCAACAATCCAATTCTACGAAGACATCTTCTAGTCTATCTGGAGGACTGATAGTACCTTCTGTACTACCTATATCTAGTATACCTGAAAGACACATAGCGCCTTCTATACCACCTGGTCTACCTGGAGGGCCGGTATTACCCTTTGAACCTCGATCTATGATAAATCGAGTAGCGCCTAGTCTACCTGCATCTCAATCACATTTACCAAGTGGAGGACATCCTAGAGTATGGGTACCTGGAGCACGGCGCCGTGGAGATACACGGTGGGAGTTTAGTGGCCCACTAATGCATGGAAACAGGACACCTCCACCGGGTTTACAACCACATCCCCAGGCTATAGGCCAAATAATGGAAATACAAAATGGACAATCAAGCCATCTAAACGAGGGCAGAACACCTTCACAATATACACAATATATATTGCCGTATGCAGGAATGGACCCTAGGTTATTGGAAATACCTCCAGTTCATATAAATTCGGCTTTGCGCCCACCGCCTGGGCTGCCCTTACCAAGGCCTGGAACTGGATCCCCCTTTTTATCTCTAGATCCTCTACTTGCCCGTCTTCAGGAAATACCTATAAGACCCGTAGAAACCTATCATGGTTCTCCGGAAACTACAGAGAGCCTTAATCATGGTATAATCGTCAACTATCGGCATCCAGAGCTACATGAACGCGGTGGGGTATTGATGGAACTACGTCCGCAAAGAGGAGGTGTAACACAACGAAGTACGAGAAATTTGGTGAATCGACGTACTCGGTCGGGGCCAGAACTCCGGGGACAAACTGAACTAAGAAGACCATCCAACAATAGATTACGCCGTGGATAAGTTTTAAAATCATGGTTAATCTTATATACAGCTATAAAGCCCGCCTGGCGGCGTAGCGAGGAGGGAAGACATTTGTATTTGTAAGATGCGAGTAATTGGAAGGGGAGAGCGAGGTTTTGCTTATATGTTTTTGATCTGGCTGAGAGTGTAACCAGAGTAAGAGTTAAATGACGTGTATGATTAAAGTTATGTGGTCAATGGGGTTGTCATTATAATCGGGCCTTCGTATTGTATTTCAAAGCAACTGTCAGGGAACAGATACTCAAATGCGACATAATAGAGTTACAATTAATTACATGTATCTCAGTAATAGTTCTTTTATGCTATCAAAGGAAGATTTGGTATAATGAACTGACGGTCGAATTATCTGCGAGTGATGGCCTGTGATCCAAATAACCACAGCCGCGAATAGCTCAGCAACGGGTAAGAGAGACCGCTTACCAAGCCCTTTTTTTGATTTTGATTTTGAAATTTTTGGATGGTTTCTGTATGTGCAAAATGTTATGATAGTTAATGTAAAAAAAATGTCGCACTTATTTCTAACCACGAAATGTACCCTATTTACATTTGAAAGGGGATTGTTACTACGCATACCTTGTATATATATCGCTCAGGGCCCGGAGACACTGTGAAAAAGGGAAGAAAAAGGGGGGCCCCTCACAATGGGCCGGGTTCAAGCCTTAGCCCTGTAGCATGACGGTATTTTTCATGCGGGTTACTTATTCGGTCCCCGGTGGCTATTTCGAATAATCTAGTCATGTCATCAATACCATGCGATTGGTACACCTGCAGAACCCTCACGCACAATTCCCATCGGCCCAAAACACCAGAGAAAAAAAGAGAGAAAAATAGATTTCCACATTTCTAATCCCGCCACATAAAACAAAGAAAGAGAAAAAAAGGCCAAAATTCAAATGTATCTAAGACACCCCCATATTTCATGCAAGCACTAATTATATTAACACAACAGGCAATGGTTATCAAACAACACCTTACCAACCCCTCCCGGCATCCGAGCTACGCTCCCCGCCAGAAACAGCCCCCTTCCCTAACCTTCCAAAAACAAGGCACACATGGTCCCCATTGGGGCCCTTGTGGACGAAGCGCTCTAGATACCCAATGACGTGGTTTGGGTCGTCGCTCTTTGCGTAGTTCATGGTCTCCTGCTCGTGCACGTCCAGCTCTATCCCCTGCGAATCGGCCTTAAGAATCTTCAGTGCAACCGGCCTCTCAACTCTGCCCGCCCTGCGTTAGACTCGCAACCCCCATCCCATGGAATTTCAGTGGGAAAGTAGACCAAGCTCACGTAGTGTCAATTGCGAGCCATATGGTCGAAAACTTGCCAAACCCCAGCTTCCGCACAATCTCGTACTTTTCGTTGAACGTGTCGCCCAGCTGCACGGGATGGTACCCGCCTGGTCTGTACTCGGCGATGTCCTCTTCGTAGAACTGGATTGTCGCCTCTGGGACGATTTGGCGCTCTGGTTGTTGTTCTTCCTCCTCGTCGTCGCTTTCGGAGCGGGTGTTGTTGGCCCCTGCGAATTCGAGGTTGGTGGCACCGGCGGCGGCGGGAGCAGAGAGGGGGGATTTGGGGCGCTGGACGGATCTGGGGGGAGTTTTTTCTTTTTCTTTGACGGGGAAGCTGTGGAGGTTGGCAAGGTTGCTGGATGGATTGCTATGTTAGGAGGGAAAGGGGTTAGTGCTTTTGAGTTTTGAGTTTTTTTTAAGGGGGAGGAAGAAGGGAAGGGGGGGTTTACTAGAGGTTACAGTAGGGAATCATTGTGCGAGGGGTTATTGTGGTAGTTATGGTAGGGAAAGGCTGGTGGGTGCTGGTAAGTATTTTCCCAGATCTACTTATTGCAGGGTCCTTTATATATTAGGGTTATACAGGGAAACAACTCATGACGTCTCTGGATGCTACACGTGCAAGTGCAGTAACACAGGCATGAGGCTCTGTTCCGGGCCCCGAAGGGGCGTTTTTCCATTACCGAGATTTTTTTCTTTTGGACTGAAAACGAGAAATTATCGAATCTGTGTGGAAATTTGGGGCGAGATGCGTGGTGCGTTGCGGGGAACTATTGAAGGCTTTGGAATGGGGGTTGGTGTATACTAATGGTCTATGTATCACGAGCTATCACTCGGATGTTGTCTATTGCCCGAAATGGTAAAACCTCAAACATTAGATTTCAAGTTGAAGCCCATTCGCTATATGTGGTATATAGCCTCCCATAGGTGTGATATAAGCATGTTTTAAGTATTTCATAAGGCTGGAAAAATTCCCTAAACGATTAATATTCCTAGAGGTTGTTGTTTTGCTACGGCTTACCCTCATTCCCTACGGGCCGGCGGGTTCACCGCTTGCCGGGCGCAGCACCTATTCCCACATATATATTTCTTCGCTGCATCTTTAGTGACCAGTTTTTTGCGTGGGAGAGGACTTCACACTCGGTAGGCGGTGAGCTCGTTTGGTGGTGAACTCGTTTGGTGTGGAATTCGCTCGGTTTCAGTTTATAGTAGGGTTAGGGTTTGGAACAGGCAATTGGTTTATTTGTGGGACTATGGCGCGAGAAGGCCTAGAGGAATTTCGTTTGTATGGGAATCTGAGAAGATGCTAGGGTTGGTCTAAGCGCTAGTACTATTATGGCTAATTTCTATAAGTTTGATTGGCCGATTCTTTAAAAAAACGCCGAAGTTTACACACCTACCCCCCATAGCTTCTCGAGCCATATATCATTCGCACAACCGACTCGCCAAGACTTACATAACCCATGTTTTATTTACCAGCTCCGAGATCACTACTAAATCATAAATGAGAACAGATTGATCTGATCACTCAGAAATGGTGTTTTCTTCTAGATCTAGCCTCATCTAGTCGAAATCGCAAAATCACCATCTTAGCCCTCGAAGTTAGACGAATCACCCGGGCGCGCCCCTCACCCAGACACTTGATGGTGATTGCAATAAGGGCCGATTACAAGAAGATCTTCCTATTGTTATGGTAACTGTCCGGGCGAGTGTTAGAGTTGTCTGCCTCATAGACTGTCGGGCATGGTGACTTGATCACAGATTATCACTCTGTCGTTAACCCAAGCTCGGGTTTCCCAAAACTTTTTTGTCGTGAACTCACTGATTGTATTCAGACCTCCCGGTACAGAGTCCGTAAGGAAATAACGAGCGTACTTCTGGTGTAGAAAATACTGGGCCGTCTGAGGTCTACGGCGAGGTTTTGATATAAGGCGGTCTCTCTACAAGAGCACCATATTAGGTTCTTTGTTTTGGGTTTCAACGCTGGTACTTTCTCTATGAACGAAGTAATATCCCTCCTATAACGATACTAAATCCCGGCCCTGAGCGTGTCCCTCTAGCAAGGTTTCGCTATAGGGGGCTTATCAGCCCCTCTCTCCACAGCCCTGAAAAGACAAACAAGAACAACTGAGAGAACGACGACCCAGAGCTTCGATTGTCTTGCAAGTGGAAAATCCACCAATTGTATTTGTAGCATTAGTACTGTTATGGCTGGTTGGCGCAATGGTAGCGCGTGGTCCTCCTAAGACCGAGGTTGAGGGTTCGAGTCCCTTGCTGGTCGTACAACAGTGCGAAAAGTCTTTTTCCTGTATGGGGAAATATTTTCAATAATTTAAGGCCGGAACGGGTATTAAAATAAATGCCAGCTGAGGCTCAGTCAGGAAAGGCGAAAATAAATACTTCTGTAGATCTACTTTTTTTGTGAATAAGCCTCGAGGTGCAGACATGTTCTGAAGAAAATGTTGGCCTTGAAAAAATGTCTTATTCGAGATGTTAAGGCTTATGTAGACCGCAAAAAAAACTTACAGCAGGCCTTGTTTTTCTCCCTCTAGTTAATTCTGCTCACACCCCGCAAAGTCACGCAAAATGTGATAATATCATTAAATCGACGAAATGACTTTCTAAAAGATAAAATTACATAAATGCAAGCTTTGATAAAGCCCCACGCGGGGGTCGAACCCGCAACCTTGAGATTACAATAAGAGTCTCACGCTCTACCGATTGAGCTAGCGAGGCATGCATTCTGTGGCGCCCCACGTCATTACAAAGCACTCGGCGGAAAAAGAAAATATCGAGTGACTAGAAGTGATTCAACCGGCCAACAAAAACGATCCTAGAACAAATGGCCAATAGATAGACGTCTCGCTTATCCGGCCTATGGCGCTTAGAAATCCATAGTAGTGTGGTGATTGGATAGAGAGACGTCAAGTGTCGTGTCACACTAAATTTACTCTTTTGACGGCTGCTGCTCAACAATTTAAAGTAGAGAACTGTATTCAGCCTGCAGCCCCCGATTTCTGTTGTCTAGTCTTTGCGGTATTTAGTCCGGACGGGTTGAGATATATATAGCCAATAAAATTCTCATTTCCACACGTTAATAACAATGGAAAGCTAATACAATGACACACACCACCCAATCAAGCCAGTGCTACAAACAGTATAAACACATTGTCGCCGCCTTTCCTCCTTTTGTTAGTAGCTGGTATATGGTTAATCGACTCAACGCTTATCGATGACGTTAAACAAAAAAAAGATAAGGAAATTAAGCAGGGAAAATTGTTAATACTCCATAGCTTATGCTTAAAGAAACAACACCCCCGAAAGTTGTATAAAGAATAATCAGAAAACCTTTAAAGAAATACCGGACTCCGACTTAGTGGTTCACTTTGATCCACCTGCGACAAGCAACGAAAAACATTTGAAAAACGTAGACAAACACTTGGCAGAAAAGGAAACGTTGGGGGAAAAAATAGCAGAACCAAAAGAAATATGGTGTGAAGAGTAGTGGCGGAAAGGTAGGGTTAAACCTACTCATTTACCCATAATCCTGATACCACAAGAGAGTATTATATGCACATCCAAAGAAAGAAAAAGTATTTTACGACATGAAATCGACGACACCTCTATCACCAATCAACTGCCCACCCGTTCTCTTTCAAAAACAGGTCGCTTGCCGCCTTCAGTGCATAATTCGGGATAAGGTCCTTCTCGCTCAAAGGCTCCCTGGTCAGAGGGTCGGTTTGCGAACGCCTCAAATGATCCAGAAGCGTTGCACGGTCGTAAGAATGCCCATTCTTCGTCTATTTTGCCGTTGAGTTAATATATATAACCGGAAATAAGCCAAGAAAATATGGGGAGCTTACGATGACCGGATCCAACATGATGGAGAAAGTGATATTATCGATGAGATAGTCTGGAACCTCCCTTCTGGCACACCTTACGGCCTCTGCCTTCCCAAACACGTCTTCTAAAGTTCTCACTCTTTCCTTCGCCTCGTGCCTAATTTCCTCTTCCTGCTCAGAAATATTTATGTTTCCATTGTTCATCCTACCCTTTTTCAACAGCTCGTCGACTGCCCTATCCGCATCGCGCTCAATGATATCCGTCATCTTCAGCATCAATTGGCATTCTCTCTCCCTACGTTTCTCTTCACGCTGCTCCCAGCGCTTCTTTTTTGCGTCGAGACAGGCTGCTGCAATTGATGCAACGGAAGGGGAGCGCTGCGTAATTGCGAGCTCGTAGGCGGTCATAGAGGAGTGGAGGGCCTCGCTGGGGTGATTGAGTGCAAGTTGAGCTTGCCCGAGATAGCTATATGCTTTCACTATGGGTGTGTTAGCTTGAGAACGTGGTAGGAAGGCAGGGGAGAGGGGTAGATGGGGGTGACTGACTATTTGAAGGGGAGAGCTCAATTGCTTTAAGACAGTCATTAATGACGTCTTCGAACATCTCCATTTTGAGCCTGGCAAGAGCGCGGTTGGTGAAGAATGCAGCATTGGTGCTGTCGCGAATTATGCTATTGGGGTTAGATGTTAGCCAGGTCGATTGTTGTATATAGGCAGCTGCTGAAATATATTCGACCCCGAACCCATTCAACCACCACCAAGCAGGTCAACCTGTATACTTACCACTTACCCATAGAGACCTCACTTACTGGTACCCCTCCGATCCTCCATAATAAAGACAGACGTGCGGGTGGAGAGCAGGCTTACGCTTGAGTATAAAACTTCTCTGCCCCAGAGAAGTCGCCAGCTTGGAAGCACCTGTAGCGTCCCCGCGCATTAGCTTTCCATCTATCCATTCATCCCCGGAAGAGATAAAGACTTACACATTCCCCTTCTGCTTCAGTTCGTCCGCTTTCATTGCCATTTTCTCCGCTCTACTCAGTACCTTTCCTGTTCCCTTTCCCTTTCCTTTTCGAAATCGACCCTTTTCCCGGTTCCGCTCGGAGCTCAAAGAGGAACCCAGTTGATTTTCTTTCTCAGTGATTCGGCTAGAGATAGATAGAATTCCTTATCCTCTACACTTCCGGGGATAAGGTCGGAAACGATTGAGGATGATGGAATGTGGAGGTGTGGGTGTGAGTGTGAGTGTGAGTGCGAGCGAGTGTGTGTAGGTAGATAACAGAAATCTAGAGTTGCAATGGCTTGTGTGCGGCTTAACGATCAACAGACGGGGTCTAACTCTAGTCTTGCTGTCTATTTAGTGCGGGAGAACCCTGGACAAGACAATGAAGGACCGCTATGCAGTAAAGTGACGCTGAAACAAAGTAAGATCGCAAAAAGATCGCAGGGATAGGATCTAGGAACAGAGCAACGAACGGAGCAACGAACGGAGAGGAAGTAGTAGTGGTGGTTATGATCTTAACAGAGAGGATCACGATAATGCTTGCTTACAGAAGATCGAACGTGCTGGAACTCAGTTCGCAGGGATTGGTGGTTGGGTTGGCACGAGCGTCAAGTGGGTGGAGTGCTCAGCCATGTTCAACCGTCGGGTCGGGTTCGAGCCACAGCCGCAGGAAACGTGGAGGCAACGTTTGGGCTGCCTGACATTGTAAACTGCATGACAACCTATGGATGACAACGAGTAAGTGGAGGTTTGTACGCACCTACTACATGACTCACTAAATATTCTTAGAATGATCATAACACGCGCCTTTTATCATCAACAGTGCCTTAAGTAAGGGTAAAAACGGTTTCTAGGCACAGCAGTGTTCGCCTAATGACTGAAGAGACTGAACGGAGCAGTGCAGATATCCCCGGTATGTATTCCGCCCTGCATGCGTGTACCGGGAAACGAAATGGAATAAGAACCCCCTGTGTAGACCGGCAGTGCTTCAAGGAAATCAGTGGGCAGGTAACAAGAACTCTTTGTTTTATATGATAAAAAGATTCAGTTAAATAGCCCAAATTCATTAAATATCTCAAGTTGCAATAAAGACCCAGATTAAGTCTCATGCCTCCTATCTTGACTGACCCATATTGAGCATACCAGCACCCAAAGGCAAAATATTTCAATTCAAAAAGTTATAGTCAGATTTGTGAATCAATAAACACAGCCAACTTACTTCTAGTTAATCAGCTACAATCTCGATTCAAAAGCAGAATTTCAACAAAGGCACCGCATGATTGGACAAGACCACCATTTCAATTGAGACGAAACGAAACGAAACGCGAAGAAAAAGAGGGGACCCCTAAACGGAAAAATGACAGGAACGAATGAGAAATGAAAAAAAAAGAGAAAAGGGACCCAATTATGTGAGCCTCCGAGATTCAGTTTGTTTCCAAATGTGCAGATTTACGCCCCGCCTTCTCTGTTTTTCCTGTAGCTTGCCTATTTACCGGTCCCGTTAGTCTTCTCCGTTATTTGTTCCAAAATGTTAGAAAGAGAAAAGTAGGCTAGTCGCTCATCCCATCCCCATAATCTTCACTTCTTTTGGCCTTCATAACATCGTCCAACCCCAACAGCTCCGATCAGCTGCCCACACAAAGGAAAGAAAATGTGCAAAGTATAGGAGAGAAGGAAGAAAGAATTCATACCTCCTGTTCGACTTGTAGCCCCTCAATCAATGGTGCAAGCTCAGAGTAAATCTCAAAAGCTTTCTTGTGGAACTCCAACTGGGCCTGAACCAAGTCCGCAAGGTTTCTCAAAGGTTCGGGGGTGTCGAGGACGTTCTTCATCACGCCAACAGCCTCCTCTGTGCAGCCGACAAACTCATCCTCGGCTGTCTCAACCTCAACTCTTTGCTCCTCGGTCAGGTGCTCCTCGTGATGGGGGTCTTGTTGTCTGGCACCGCCAAGGTTAGGGAACCCGATCCCACCACCGCTCTTGGCCTTAGATTTAGCTGCATCGAGAGACAGGCGAGCATTCTCCACATTTTTACGCGCTTTTTGTGCGAACATAATGTTCGTATTCAATGTGGTTGTGAATGCCGCGTTGAAACGAGACTGAATCTGGGCATCTTGTTGGAGACGGGCTTCGCCGACCTGCTCAGATGCGAGAGCGTATTTCTCGAGGGCGGTCGCAAGGGGTTCAGACGAGTCAAGCGCATGCGCAGAATTGAGTGAGGCCCGGGCGATGGCGTGGGCGAAGGTCTTTGGGGCGGATTTTGTACCGGGCTTTGTCAAGATGTTCTGGGCCTCAGTAGCAGTGTTTGCAGCGGAGAGAAGCTGGACCTTCTCGGTGATTGTGCGGGAAAGATCGACAAAGGACTCGCGCTATGGAGGAATCAGTTTGGCTGCCCCGAGCTAGAGGGGAGGGGGTGCTTACGTAGTTTGGAGGGTAATCATAGGACTTTATTCGAAATGAAATCTCGTTAGCATGTTTAAAAATAGATCATTCGAACAGACTGAGCTTCTACCTCGTTAGAAAATTGAGAACTATAAGAGAAAAAATATTAGCACGTGATACTCTACCGGATAAAGTAAGTATCTACAGGGCGGGGAAGACATACGTTACAGCCAAGAGTTGCTGATGGACAAGTCTCAAGGCATCGACACGTTTCTCGAGCTCGAGGTAGTCCGGCGGTAGTTGAGTCTTGGTCTCAGTCAGCTTCCTGCGGATCATAAATACCAAAGCTGTCTCGTTGAGTAGCTCTGCGAGACGCCTGGCAGTAGCAGCCGCAGAAGCAGTAGCATTGGCAGTAGCATTGACAGCAGCAGTGGAGACGGAGGCAGCGGTAGCTGCAACGCCGGGGGCAGATGATGATGGTGGGGAAGCAGCAGAAGCATCGGGTATAGGGACAGCAGTATCATCAGAGTCAGGGGAAGAAGAAGAGGAAGTGGGGTTGGTGGTATCAGGAGAGGCAGCAGCAGTGGCATCATCGACGGGAGCATCGGCTGGGCCATCAGTGCTAGCACTCTTACTAGCACTGGGAGCGGGAGAGGGGGTGGAGACCTTATCCTCGACCTGGGTGAGCTGCTCCCGAACGAACTGCTGAGTACGAGCAGCAAAGGGAGTAAAGCTCGTTGAGATGTTCTTGCCAAAATTGGCAATGTTCTTGGTGAAATCCATTATCGTAAGAGGGGTTGATGATAATTAGGCGATGACGTGGGAAAAGGCAGAGAGGAATATGTGTGAGAGAAGTATGTACGGCGGTTGAGTGCGAGATGATTGATGGATGAATACAAGACTTCTGATAAGTGGATAGATGATGTGGTGGGGTGGGTGGGTGGTTAGGTATTCGACTCAGCTGCAAGCCAAACTGCGGGCGCTGGCCCGTGATTGTGAGACATCACTTGCTGACTAGTGCTAAAAATTACGCCGACCGCGCACAACTGGGTCTTCAATGTTTTCATGGAATATCACTCGATTATTATCAACAAACCATCCCTGGTGAAATTCTTTGGATGAGCTTCGTTTTCTTTTGTTAAGGGAATTGAAATAAAATATATATACCGGTAGCATTCGTTCTGAGTTGAATAGCTGCCAAAATCTTATACCACGACACCCCGTCACATAATTTAAATCTAATAGATCCTGCTAGAAAACAGCTTCGTTTTTAAGAAGATCTAGGTGCAAGGCATAGACCATAGTCTCGATACGAGCGGGGGTTAAACTCGAGGGATTTCCAACACTGAAGTGACCCCGAAACCCAGGAACCCGCACCCCGAGTCTCTGAGGCTAAGGCCTCGAAGATCATGTCTATAACATCGAATATCGATATCCAAAGTGCATTACGCACAAGCAGGTATTATACTCAGAGTTCGGAGCCTTTGCACAATATTATGGTTTTGTTACAACGGCGGGGAAAATTGGCTAACATAAAATTAGAACTACCTGTGACGTGCTCGTTGAAGTATCTAAAAGGAATACAAATAAGGGGATGTGGTTTAGTGGTATAATACCTCTTTAGCAGTTGAGTGTCTTTGAGGATGTTCAATAACCTAGAGGTGGTCCGGGGTTCGATTCCCCGCGTCTCCATTTTTGCCTCACATGAGGGGGTTCGTTTTTTGTTTCTCCATCCTTCGTTAAAGCGCAAGCGCTCACGATGACATGTCGATTTACAACTCGCTTTCTCTTTTTACCTTATGCGCACGGCCTGTAATTCAATTGTAGGTCATAGTGGGTTGTGTTGGGTTTTTTTTGTGGTTCGGGAGACTCGACTGGACCTGAAGGGCTCAACCTCAGGCTCTGGAGCCGGTTGAGAGAAGTCAAATGCGCTTAAATGAAAAAAAAAAAAAAAAAGCTTTCGGTTGAGATGGGCCAGTTGAGTTAAGTTCGACAAAAAGGGTAAAAGTATCGAAAGAATAGTGCACCACGGGAAGAAGGGGGATATGAAGCTAAGGAAATTAACCCCCCCAAGTCTCAAGCAAGATAAGTAAGAGCCTCTAAAAAAAACCTAAAGTCAGTCCCGCTTTCAACTTTTGGTTTTTCTCGGGAGGCACTCTAGTCTCAAGTTTCAACCCGACTGGCTTTTTTGATTAGAAAGAAAAACCGCCCTATAAAACCCAACTGACTTTGATCACCGTTATTACGACCACTATTGTTACTGTTAGTGCCAATATCTACAGTCCGACGAAGATGTTGAAATTGATGGTGACACAAGACTGGTTTTAACCGTTGCTAATCCTTGTGGGTCCCTGCATACGCACCACACTAGCGGAAGGTAAAAGATTTTTCAACAACTCCCAGTGAAAAAATGAATCAATGGACGTACTGGGAATCGAACCCAGGACCATCTCAAGTCACGTGTGCGAATGAGATATTATACCCCTAAACCATGCGCCCTTGATGTGGGGTCCTATTTTACTAGGCTGTCATAATTCAAATCTAATATCGTTGTTTGCGCGGGGGAGCGCTCGGTGTTCATTGATTTGGAAGCCTCCTTTAGAGTGCTGCCGAGATAAAGCAATAGTTTAAATGGATATAAAAGTCAGTTTGAATGTGGTTTTGCTACTTCAACTGTGAGAGTGAGGTGGTTATCCGACTGGCTAAAGAAACGCGCACCCATGACTGAATCATGATGTTTCTAAGAACCCTCGAATATTCTATTCGAGAGGGAGACATTCGAGTTCAAACCTTACTACACTTGAAGTAAAGTTCGAAAACCTGGAAGGTTTAATTTCACCCGGACAAGACCCATCCGCCGGGCAATTGAAGGTGATTGGTACTTATGTTGACAAAAGGTAAACTGGTAGATTTGCAGCCTAAAGCATGAAATGCCGGTACTGCTTTGCCTGGTCCGTTGGATGAAAACTTTGTTTGCTTGGATTATCCGGAACGTGGGCAATTTCCATGTAGCCCAGTGGCAATGAATCAAATGAGGTCAGGATCAAGCTGACTGGGTGACCAATTATAGACTTAATTTTCTTGCTAGACTCGGACTACTTTCTAGGAGTGTGTTGAATGGCCTTTGCTGGGTGCGTTCTTCTTGTATTGACTTATATTTGTTTTAGTACTGATACGTGACCCAGGTTATTTCAGGTTCAGGATGAGACATGGGGGGAAAGGGGAGTATCTACATCCGAAAGATGTGGTTATTCTATTTGAGGGGGTGGGGGGGGACTGAATTCCTCAACGGCTCTAACTCTGGGACTATACTAGGAATCTCAAGACTCGAACTTAGTGCCGTAGCCCAAGAGCAGAGCCAGCTCGAGCTTTGGGCTTATATTAGCTTTCGGCTCGTTGAAAACGAGCCTCATCATTCAGCGAGCCCGAGCCGGCTTGGGGGGTTTTCTCTCAAGGCTTTATCGAGCTTAGGTTTGCATGAGACTATGTAGGTTTGAGCTCAAGCTATGCAATTTTCGCTGAGCTCGATGGGTTATGGCCGGGACTGTGAGAAGCTTAAGGAGGTGTCGGCTCTGACAAGGAGATATATATATGGCCCACCAAATACCTTTAGCCATTAGAACGCCCATTCAGTTATTTATATCATCGCTCTAGCTGCGTTTCCAAAATATGGCAATGTCTATACCTGCCATTTGGCTTAATGAATTCTTGTTATTCTAATCATTGACCACCAGCGAGCTTGTGGGCTCTTCTTTTCTTTTGTCACCAACTTAGAACATGTACATATTCTTTAAAAATAAGCTTTGAAATCCAAATAATAATTATTGGAGGTAATGTTTAGTAGCCGGAGTTTATTACTGGGGGCTTAGAAACAAATAAGCATTATGCTAGATTTAACCCTTATTTGAGCCTTATTTAACACTTATGACGTTTTTTGCCTCAAAAACCTGTAAAGTACATTATAAACCTTATTTAGGACAAACTCGTACTTAAAATAGAGCGTCATATCAAATAATTCTAACGCCACCCTCTTTGTTAAAAACGCTTATATTTAATGCTATGTAATCGTGACTGGAGTTTTTTATACCCATTTTGACAGCAGTGGAGAGAACCTCGAAATCTGAGGCCAGAAGATCCTCATGAAAATTGCAAATATTCTTTAATCTCACGTGTTCGTTCATAGAATATTGAAAACTGGGCATCCCGTCCGCTCTGCCAGACATAACCAACATATCGCCTAGTCAGTACTGCGGTGGGTGACCACGTGGGAATCCTGGGTAACGAACTCAGCTTTTATTTTTTGTTTAGTAGAATAACGGAGGCCATGAGCTCACTGCACCTGGTCTTTAAACCATCTCACGCAGCTGCAGGGTTTCCTACCAGATCTCGCATCCGGCACCTAATACGCTCAACCTTCTTTATGGATCCCTAAAATCGGCGTTTTGCAACGCTGCACGAACTTTGGTCTCTACAGAAACAGACGGTCTTGGAACCTTTTGAAGAGCAGAGCCCAAGTGCGGTCCTAAGTGCGCACTCCTTGAGTGCAGCGCCAGCACTCACACTTCAACTGTAAACAAAGGTGATGGTTGGTTCTTTTACACGTCTCTTTTCACTCGACAACTGCCAAAATTTTCATTAGCTTCGCCAAGAGTGCACAGAGTTAGTGCACACCTGTAAAAGGTGTTCTCACTCGACATCGCACTTACAACTTGCCCTAGATGTAAAATAAGTGCGTGCGGCCCTGAAAAATCTCGATAGTAATTAGAACGTTGAAATCTCCGCCTAAGTTATATTGATACCTGTTTTAGTAAAACATGCTCCAAGTATGAGCGGCAGAATTAAATGCCAAATTGATACTACCGTCCTATCGCCTGGTGAAGATTCCTCATATCATCATCATTCTTGGCATGGACACCCGCTTTTTTACAGCTCATTTGTACGATGTAAAACATACCATAAAAGATAGCGGTGGAATTTATCTTCTAGTATGTCTAGGATTACCAAATAAAATTGGGGGTGATTACACCTGCGAGTGAGAACTCATGACGGAAATGATTGCCATTTGATTGATTGATTACTTATTAATTGTATGAAATGTTTACCATGAAATTAATGATCGTTCATGTATTTATACGAACGAATAAACAAATGTAGGACCCGAATGTATAATTGTGATATATTTGAATTCAAGTGTGTTAAAAACATTTAATAAGGCCTTCGGGTGTGCTACTAGTAACCTGTTCTTCATCTGGGCCGAAGGACTATATTTGGTGAAGTGCAGTGATGGTTCCAGAAATTTCTCGGCCTAATAAGTAAAATAAATGTTGAGTCAGCCAAAGGCATGAAACTGGGTATATATCCCAACTTGCGGATCAATGTCTCTTTAGCCTCGAGATACCTACCTGTCTTCAACCAACCGACACCTCACCTTCAAAAGACTCGATTCGAATTCGCTATATACTCTACCACCGAAGTTAATGCATCATGGAAATGAATCAAGGAAATGAATCAAGGAAATGAATCAAGGAAATGCATCAAGGAAATGCATCAAGTCGGCAGTATGTGGCAACTCGTCGAGATCTTATATGGGGAAAGTCGTTTGAAAGGCATCGATAAAGTCGTTGGGAAATGCAGTAAATTAACTCGTCAGGAAATGAATCAGGAAATGAATCAGGAAACGAATCAGGAAATGCACGACCAGGCAATGGATCTAGGCCCAAACTAGGCTAAAAAATTATTTTTCGAAAAAGTCGACTTGAGTGGGGATTGAACTCAGGTCTTGT